TGAGATAATAGAGTGACCACCAGCTTATGCTATTGCTAAAGCAAATTCTCTACCTAGTATTCGCAACCCGAACAGACCAGTCCTCACAAGCAGCACCCGTTCAGGACTATGATGGATGTGTGTTTCCCAACGTGGGGACACACAGGGGGGCAATTCGATAGTTAAGGGGGCAATTCGAAAATAGACTCTATTAAAATGATATGAAATTGATTTTCAATTGTTTATTATATGGTTTGAAAATTTACTTACTGTTTAATATCAATTAACAATTTCCTAGTGAATTTCCTATGGGGTGGGTGCAATTTTAGAAAGGATAAGGGTTGGGAAACACTGCTCTAAAGTGTATTTTTAATATCTGTAATCTCTATCTTGAGGATAAAAACCATCACTCCTAAGAATATCCTTCAATTCTTGTCTCTGACAGGTCTAGGTAGCGAATTATGAAAAAGGGCGAGCACAGTAGATCTATGCATAGTGCAGATATACTATGAAACCATGTGAAACCAAGAAAGTTTAAACGTATTCTGCTAGTTATGGACTCTATTCGATTAGTTCCAAAAAAATCAATTATTATTAATGTTTTGTGTGACTACTCTATCCTTAAATTAAAATTAGTACACAGATTGTCTATATACTAGCGAAAATTTCAGAGAATATCCTCCTATAACAATTTCTATGAGACTTTATTTGAGTGATATCGATCCCCCGTCCAATTCATACGGTGATCGAAATTACGACGGCCTGAGCCGATTGAACCCCTAGCGGTGCCCTCAGACTAAAGTCGTATCCGTCAGGCGGGAGTTGGGCTTCTGCTGCTCCATAAGTCCTTCCGCGGGTTTGGAGTGCCATCTGCACACGCCCCCTATCGTCCAGTAAAGCTGTAAAGACCAGCTGCGGCCAACAGTATTAGAGTAGTTCGAAAAAAAAGTTAACAATCCACGATTTGTGACGTCAAAATTGGCGGTACTTTTTTTAATCATAATAGTATCGTATATTTCATGCACAATCATAATATATAGAGCGTTTTTACAATTGTATATGAGTTATATCTAGTGTTGTCTGGATTTATATCAGAATAGGTCATTGATGTTAAAATATATAATTAGGTAACATACCGATCTGACGGGTCCCGGCCCGTCCCGGACTCTGTACTAGATATGTATGTATTTATCGTAACACTGTCAATACGCCTTGCAGATAATGTATATTAATTGGCTTAATAATTAACAAAGTCAGTAGAATATAACATATTAGACTGATATATAAATGTTACTCAGAACAAATTAAATAGTTAACAAAAAATTGGAACAATAATCATAACAAAACGTCTTGTTATTATTTTCCTGTTTTTTTGTGTGTTTTGTCAATATACATTATGATAAAAAATTCCATGTGTTAATCTAGAATATGAATATTGAAACGCGCCCGGTCAGTACCTACAGACAAATCTTAAAACATGCAATATACATATGTATATATTTTATGGATGATAATGAAATGATGTATCCGACCGAGCTAATGATTTCGCTGGTGAAGCACCAATGGAGGATGATAAAATGAGCATGATGTCAGGTCAGTTATCTCATCTTGGTAAATAGCAATTTACGATAGTTCACTGGTGGAACTGCGTGGAGATCAACACTGCATGGTACAATGCTTGTAATGGGGTTATTAGTCTACATTACCAACAATCCCCTTCGCTCTCAGACAATGTTAGAATTGAATTATATCCATTAGAAATGAAAATCAATTGCCGAGTGTATAAGTGCTTTATTTAGCAAAAAAAAAAATAATGAAAAAAATTATCATATATAACTGATTAAATTAATCGTGAAGTAAAACAAAATTTAATAATTTTGTTAAAAAAAATATCAAATATCCCACGCTCTACTTGTGATTATATAGGCCGTAGCGAAGTCACGTCACGAGACGAAAATTGGCAAATCCAGAGACACTCCAAACTTGCAGAACTACCGACTGTAGCTGCTTTTACAGCTTTCCCAGACGAAAATTGGCAAATCCAGAGACACTCCGAACACGTAAAAGTACTTACGGAACGGCTAAAGATCAACTCTGCCTGACGGTTACAACATCAGTTGACAGTTGATGGACACCCATGCAAAGAAGGAGGGTATAGGTTGTATTGTAATCTATTGTGATGGACGTTAGCATCCAAGTGTAGCCTCAAATAGCATCTCAGCTTACTGCCTACATTAATACAGGGTCACCAGCGTTATAGGTAATCGTGTGTGTTTTATATCTTCATAAGTTTTGAACACAGATTAAATAACTCTATGTTTTATAAGAGTGGGCACTATTCATATGTGAATTGAACAAAAATTGTCTTCTATATAAATCTACGTGACAATCTAATATTAAATGCTAATAAATCTTACTGTCTCTATAAGAACGGCACTACAATTGAAACTATCTACCTGATATTAAATTCTAATAAAGAAAACCTTTGTGCAGTAGTTACAAAGGGCGTAATCAATATATTTACAATGTTACATTTTTACGCAGTAACCTAAAGAGTTGCAAATTCTGAGGCGCCGCGCTCTTTCTTCTATCTGAATAAAGAAAAAATTTTACTACTTGTAGTTTAACAAAATTACACTCCCTAAGTCTACCGTAACCTGGGTTACGGTAAGGTTGGAGACTCTCCCTTTCCCCTGCTGGGCCATATCAAAAACTAACCTCAAAATCTATACAAAGTAAGTTCATTAAATTCCCTTATGTAATTATAAAAATATTCAATTCGCATGTTAATATAACATCTACTTCTGTATTTGAATATCGAAACATTATCGATTCGAATTTAGTTCATATATTATCTATATTTTTATATCTTTTATTCTCATGTTCTTCAGTTTTAATTGTTTGTATTATTGGGTGTATTCCATGTATCTTATGCATATACACGTATTTATAAAATAAATATATTAAATTACGTATTCCTATCAATTGTTTAGTATTCATAGTATAATCTTTGCTTAACTTGGGACTAGATAAAGCTGTATAAAGAAAGACAGATTCAACCGATTGTTAAATAGTTGAACACTTTCAATTTTCTTGATATCAGGTTTTATGGCATATCAGGCTGCTCTGGTTTCGCCCGGGTGCCTACTCATAACACTATGAGTTACATCTATATATGATATAATGTAATGATATAAAGTATTCACTGAAACAATTTGCCAAATTAGTACAGTTGTTTCAAATAGCAATAAGTACTATCCACATAGCAAAATCTCTTTTCTCTCTCTCTCTCTGTCTCTTTTTAAAATATTTCTTCTATTCTTCCCAAAAATAATTAGAGGTTACAATTACATTTTAAAACCAGTGTTTTATTATATCGATCTTAAAAAAATAAACAAAGTACTAAAACAAAGGCATTGAGATGAACTTTAACATTATCACGGCCTGGGTGTGGCAACATCTATAAATATTGCATCATTGCATGCGAGTGGACCGAGACGTTACTACTAGTTTGGACTGGTACAAGAAAATTACTATAGGTAGCTGCAGGTGGACTTTTAATCGCGTATTAAATTGTAATAATAATAATCCAGTACAACAAAGACGCTTGTAAGTTCTCTCTGTTTTCCTTATTTTTCTCCACCACTCTATCCTGTCCCGGACATCGTCCTCAAAGATCTCGTACTCTGTCATGTCACTTGCAACCACATCTTCCCACCCTTTCCTCAAAGACGCTTGTAAACACTTGGTAAAAGCACAGATAACATAATATTACATAGTAAAAGTATATAAAAAGTAAAAAATTAATGATTTTGTCATTTACTTAAACTCAATCGGTTAAACCTGTAAAAGATTCTGTACACAAACGAAAATAAAACGAAAACCTGTCCACCCGGTCAGACAGACAACTATACATCAGACATACCTATGTAAACAGACGTAAATTATAAATTTTAGCATCGGACTGAGTAAAAACGTAGTAAAACTTTTTTATTATTAAAAACGATTAAAAAGCAGTAGTAATATTTCTTTTTTACTGTGCTAAAAACGTTATTTAGCAAACATTTATTGCTCGAAGGTCTGAGGTGCCTAGATAGGAGATAGGCACGCGCCATTGCACGCGCTGACGAAACAACGCCTTGGTGTCTGTCATCAACTACGCCAGCATACATATATACATAGGGATGATCGATAAACATCGATATTCAGTTCAAAAATATCATTTTTTTTATATCGATTTGAACTCACCTATAGCATCGACAAAAGATCATTCGAAATTCAAAATGATACGATATCAGATAATATACAATATATGATGACCTAAAAAAGGTGACATATATAAAAGAAAATATCGATGTATTGTGACTTCGATATTAACAATTCAATATTCAATCAAGCATTTCAATATTTGTAGACCACGTATTGGCGTAGCGTTCGTTGTTTAGACTACAGTGTTCAAGGTCGGTGGGTCAAATCACGGCGTTCAATCCTCCGGCCAGTTCAAACGGGAATCGAAATTACGATGCCCTGAGATGACGTTAGAACCCTTAGTAGCTTTAGACTAAAGTCGTATTCGTCAGGTGGGAGTTGGCCTTCAGCCTCTCCATAAGTCCTTCCGCGGGTTTTGATTGTCATCTGCATTCGCCTCCTATCCTCTAGTGAAGCTGTAAAGGCCAGCGGCATTAGAGTAGTCCGAAAAAAAGTTGCAGATTGATGTCGACATCCATATGAATATCGATGTTTTTCTAGTACCGATCATCCCTAAACAATTTACTGATGAAACCTGCTTCTTTATTTCCATACACTTACATTCTCACATACCTATAACAGCATTCGATAAAGGTCATTGTCGAAAACAAATATGTATTGAGAACGTAACCAGTTCAATACTATTACGTTTTTTATTGCGTGTGACGTAGTGACGCGCCCACAAAATCGACCAATCACAGCGTAGAACGCAAACACTCCTATGTTATATATATTGCGCACGCGCAGATTCGAACGCATTCTCCTTTCGCAAACGTAACTTTGCATATATATTAATAAATGGGTGATCGATTAAATATAATAGGATATTATAGATGGTTGATACATCTCTTCAGCTTCAGTAACTTTGCGAAAGAGATAATTTAGAGTTTTTATAACTTTTTTTGTAATAAATAAATTTGAAAGTATTAATTTTCACCCAGTTAAAAAATATAGTTAATTTATAGTAATATTAACGTTGATAGTAAATAAAGAATTATAGTAAAAATGCTGCATTTAAACAGTGTACCGGAAGACTACGTAAAGAATACGGCCCAGTAAGTTCATTTAATGTGATTTAATTTATTCTTAGACATATACCAAGTAGTATGAAGTATTTAATTTGAGGGGATACTGATTTGTTTGAGTATTAAATCGACTTAATAGTTGGTGCAATACATACTAAATTTAGAAACAAGACGTACTGTGAGATTCCGATCTTGGATATCGAAATAATTGCAGTAGAATCGAACTAGATGTTGGACAGCGACTTTGATTTTGTGAATATATTTATAGTAGCGAATTAATTACCGATTTAATATAAAAAATTAATATTAATAGTGTCTGTTTATTATATAAATTAATTTATATTACATATTTTTAAATATTAATTTTATACGAGTTATATATGATGTATGTTTAACCATTTTTATTTTTAATTTGCTGCCGTTTATGGCTTCTTATTTATTGTGTATTTTTTTTATTATCTAAATTGGCTTTGAAGTTTTTGTTACCAAACATTTCCCCATTATCGCGTGGAATTTGCCACTAATCGTCAGACTTCTCGATCTTTGTATGGACACGAGGAAGTTTTATAGAAAAGAAAAACAGTTGATTTACACATGTGTGCATGTGTTACTTTGTTGAAACATTGCGTACAATGTACAATACACTGTCTTTGTTAATACACTTCAAGCCTTGTAATAAGAACGTTCATAGACAATATTCCTCTTAAATCACACTATTAAAAAGATTATCTTTCGTTCTTTTTTCAATTTGTATCTGTTAAGAGACATATTTTTTTATTTATTGTTCGATATTTTACTTTGACCAAATTTTATTGCATCTATTCGCTGTGGTGGACGTTGAGGGGTCGTTCCGATGTATAGGAGTTGTCTCTATTCTGTCCAGAAGACTCCTTGGAGTTTACCATGGCGGGTGGCGTATCCTGCGCTCTCTCTAGGAACTATTAAGAAACTCAAGAAAATATTTTGCACTTACAACAATTCAAGAAATATACAATAAACTAAGAAAATTAAGAACATCAAAAAAATGTCGACATGGCTGTATGGGCGCAGTTCTCTTTATCTTTCCGTTAAAGGATAAATAGAACCAAAAGAAAAATTACATATATTTTAAATTACATATTTACTTTAAAGACAAATAAGTTCTAAATTTTTGTAGAACTCTTAGAGTTGAAACGGTATCTGTAACAATACGTGATAACTATGTATAACTATATGTGTAACTAGCTATGCCCGAAAGTTCGTCCGCGTGGAATTTAACTTTAATTTTCTAAAATAAAGGAATATTTCTAAAGTAGATTAAGTTACTCCATCATATTACATCAGCTACCTGCCAATAAAAGTCGCGTCAAAATCGGTCCAGCCATTTCAGAGATTAGCCGGAACAAACAGTCAGCAGACAGACAAAAATTTTAAAAAATGTTATTTTGTTGTATGTTCCGAATTTATATTCATATGCATGTAGTAAAAACGGTAATTTCAATATTACAAACAGACACTCCAATTTTATTTATATGTACAGTAGTATAATGTAATAATTTCCTTTCCTTCTTTAGAAGGCGCATAAAGTGTTCTTTTTTATCTTATTTATAAAAATATTAATAATAGGCTATTTGAGCCTAACAATATCCGCATAATCACTTGTAGGCTACCAACCTCCTTGCATAAACTAGCCATATAACACAAACACATTTAATAAAAAGTATATTGTCGAAATGTCAAATTGATTCGCTTGCAAATGACTGATCTAAATGAGTTGTTAAATTAATTATTATTTGTTATTTTTAATTCTGATATTATATACACCGTCATATATTCAATATTTTATTAATATCACTCCTTCTGTATATCAACACGCCAACCATAACCACACACTTAACATCAGGATTATTGCGGTCATACGCGCTCTAATTCAGTAATAAAAAATCATAATTACTAAATCCAAATGTAGGTACTAGATCTAATTTATAACGTTTTTATAATGCCTCAATTACTTCAAAACAATTTACTTAACATTATTTGAAGTATCTTTAGCGCTAAGTGAATATGTGCGGTAGAAATACTTACGACCATTTTTTTAAAATAAGGATTTAAATATATCTATATGAAAAAACATATATACAAACAAGCTTACCCATGCATAAAATTGTTTACATAGTGCGAGAATCGAACCGGACTATTGGAAGTACGGGCTTGGAGCGTGGTACCGCTATACCAATGAGGCTGTTAATATATGAACCTACTTGTTTATTTATTTGCACAACCAACCTTAATAGATTATCTTAATAAGATTATAAACGCGTAAGTTTGTGAGTATGGATGAATTTTTGTTACTCTTTCACGCAAAAAGTACTGAACGGTTTTTGAAGAAACTTTACAGTAATATAGCTTATGCATCAGAATAACACATAGACTATATTTCTAAGAAATTTAACGCGGGTTATTTCCTGCGTTAAATTTCAATATAAAAGATATCGCGGGGCACAGCTAGTAATACATATCCGGTAATGTAACAAATAACATACAATGTAGTTTTTGTGAATTCACACAGACTACACACAAAAAAATCCGTTCTTTCTGTTATTTGATTGAGAGTGGCCAGTAAGTCAGCGGTGCCTAGTTTAGTAAGTTAGTTCTGCCACGAGGTATCGCTAGCAACTGGGGCATTCGTCAACAACCCAATTATCTGGTACCCATTTTTACGTGGGTAAATCCATTATGGAGATCCGCCTGTCTCGGGGGAGGCGAACGGATACTGCCGGACTTCTACCGGCTGAAACCCCACGGTGTTCCTTCGACCATGGCTGTAATTAGCACGATTACCGGATTTCTATTGTGCCGCAAAATTATCTGGTACCCTAAAACTTTGCAAAGCAAGCACCAGAGAATTGCTAATTTGACTTACATGACATACCTAATTACCTTTAATAATATTTTTATAACCTGTCAACTTAATTTCATTACCAATTATATATTTCTTGTGTCAATTCTTGCTGCCAAATAGTCATACCCACCTACCTACCTACAATTGATAGTTATTTAATGTTCTCAAATTACAAAATTCATATAAATGAACATTTAATACAACATAGCCAACTGTAGGTAGTAGGTATAGTAAATTAATATAAACAATAGTATTGTATTTCAATATTAATAAAGTGTAATCAATTTTGTTTGACGTGTTTAGTATGAATAATTTTTTATCAAACAACAATGAGTTGGGTTGACTGGAAGAGGTCTCTTCTAGGGATAAGCTCGCCTTTGCTTCACATACAATGTCGCGGGTTCAATTTCTCGCACGGCACAAACATTTATATTCATGAGTTTGATTGTTTGTATCGGTCTGGGTGTTTTCTATGTATAATATGTATGTATGTACGAAAAAAATATATAATTTATCTAGTACCCATAACACAAGCTTTGGCTTAACTTGGATCTAGATGGCGCTGTGTAAATTGTCCTGATATTTTCATTTCTTCAACGGTAACTTGTTTTAGATAAAAGTTAGCAAAAAGTTTGCCAATTTTCTCGTAATAAGTATAATATTGATGCCATTTATGCTTCGTTTAATTTTTTGCAGATTTCTGTCTATCAAATTCATCAGACATTTTTTGCGTTTGGTACATTCTACTTAATGCTTCATGCAAACCATCCAGTTTACCTTTTGATCTTTCATATTTTATGAATATAAACAAAATTATAATTTTTCCTATTCGTAATAATATTTAGACTTTCCTTAACTTACCTATTATTTAGCTAAGCATTACAGTATTTAACCAGTTAAATAATTAAATTAAGTATTTAATTAATACTTTTAGAATAGTGCAGTCTAAATGAGAAATGAGTTCCGTTTCGTAGTATAGAGGCCGACCGTGATTACTAGCCATTAATTAATCGCAAATTTTCTGCAAATAGCGTATATAATTACAAACGAAAATATTATACAGATGAGTCATTTTATTATGTGAATTATTAATTTAATAGACATATAACTCATATATAACAATTATATAAATTTATTTATATCATTAACCGGGTCTTAACACGAATGACTCAAGCAGTCAGCTCATGACCACGGCTAGTGCAACCTAGTCGAAATGATGGGAGAGGTACCTTTATTTGCCATAAAGTTTTTCGTATTAAGACCCGGTTAATAATATAAATATTATATATTAAGCACGAAAGTTTAAAAACAACTAACATAAATTTAGGGTCGCACGTGACACCCCTGGTGGCTCAGGCGTTCATAGGCTACGGTAACCATTTACCATCAGATGGGTCATATGCCTGTTTGCTACCATAATAGTATAAACAATAAATAAATTATTTATAAAGTATACTAAGAAGAGTTTCTATGCGTTTGAGATGGCGGTTGTAGTCTTTTGAACATCTCGCTACGACAATTTTTTTCATAGATTTTTTTAATAGATGTTAATAGAATACGCTTGTGTCGAACCAGTTAGGGATGATAAGATGAGCATGAGGTCAGGTCAGGTAGTCAATCGTGGCAAATTCACCTGGAATCTACGCGATGGTTTCCAGGGAGAATCGCGTGACAATAGTACAAAGCTAGCAATGGGGTCCAATTCCAATTACTAACAATCATCTTTCACATACAACGTATAAGTATTCACCTTCTCGGTCCAAGCACAAAGGGTAAGATTCCACGTTCATTCAGTGATTAACACAGAATCGCATATTGTACATTAGACTTCGTAATTATATAAGCACTTATTAACACATCATTTAATGTATGTAGCAATTATTACCTATACAATTAACCTCTTACTTAATTGCAGCGTGTTATTAATAAAAAAAACTTATCAAAAACCTGATTATCATTAAATAAATTAGACATCATCACATATAAAAAACATACAAGTTATCGGCGCACTAAAATTCTCATGGCAAGAATGCGTTGCAGTTATGCACTTTCCTAACTGCCTTGTTAAATTTCCAAATACCAAACATATGGATGTCATCTATGTATATGCTCTTATACATTTTTCTACAATTAAAAGATATATATTGTATACAAGAAGAAAAAAAGTAGATACAACCATTTGTTGTTGAGGAATCCATTTGGTCATAATTTTTATACGAGTTTTTTTTATCGCGTATTTACTCATTTGATGAAAGCAATGGGTCTTACATTTTATTTACAATTCTTCTATCAAGTATGCTTATTTCTGCCTTCAGATCGATGAATCCATTGTTCAAGTATATGGAAACTCTATAGGGTAACGTTAAGCGTATTTATAAACATACGTAGTTGACATTTTAGTATTCTATGTATCGAGCACACACTATCGGATGGGGCATTATATTATGTGATATTCCCAGAAATATCAATATATATTCATTGTTATCATCTTCCTTGCTTTGCCTTTATCCAATCATTTAGAGTTGTAAGAAGAGAGCCTATATCTCTCACAGCTCTTGCTTACTCTCCTTTATTCATAAATATGTCGTATTTCACAGTCCAACCATCATTTTCGATCGTCCTCTTTTGTTTACGTCAATTCGTATTATTGTTTAAAATGTGATCTTCTCTCTTCGGAATAACATACTTATATTCTTTACTTGTATAGCTATTATAAAAATTATATCAATTTACTTTCACTGTAGTAACGAGAAAGTACTTAATACACAAAAAACAACACAAATTACGCTATAATAAAATTAGTCTAACATAAGGAACAAACGTTGGATATTAAATTGATATTGTTCAACAGATGTGCTCAGCTGGCGCTGGGCTGCAGCCGTGCTGCTCATCAGACAGCGTTACGAGGAGCCTCCAATCCAAGTCCTCAATTGGCAGCACTTACTCCTAAGGTACAATCGCCAATAATATTGATTCTCACTATTTAAAATTAGAGATATATTGTAAAATACATACTAATTGCTTATGGATAGAAAATTATGGAGAGAAAAAAATTTCATTCATTCCAATATTTATTTATAGGTTATATATAATAAGTTTTTTAATAAGTAATGTTACTATGTTCATTACTTGTTTAGAGCTAGAAATTTAATTAATTGTTATCTATTCATTTATCTCATTAATATCATAAACGCGAAAGTTTGTGAGTATGGATGAATGTTTGTTACTCTTTCACGCTAAAACTACAGAACGGATTTTGATGAAACTTTACAGTAATATAGCTTAGGCATCAGAATAGCACCTAGGCTATATTTTTTATTGATATTTATACATATATTAAAACTTAACGCGGGTGAAACCGCGTGCACTGCTATCATATATATTCTGTACTACCTTTTATATTGTGAGCTATGAAGTTAAATGAATAAATAAAATAATTGTTGTTTTGACCAGGTTCGGGCTTTCGTGGAACGTAGCGCGGCGCTGTGCCAGCCGGAGCACGTGCACGTGTGCGATGGCTCTGATGCTGAAGCCACCGCACTCCTGCAGCTCATGCAGCAGCAGGGCACGTTGAAGCAGCTGCCCAAGTATGATAATTGGTGAGTTAATGTACATACAATATCTCTTATTTATTATCTTACTAATATTACTTACAAACGCGGAAGTTTGTGAGTGTGGATGGATGGATGTTTGTGACTCTGTCACGCAAAAACTATTGAATGGATTTGAATGAAACTTTTCAATAATATAGCTTATACATCAGAACAACACATAGGCTATAAATTTCAAGCGAGTTTAACCGCGGGCTCAGCTAATTTGTCATCCGTAAAAATTGCTAACCATAAACTGCGAAACTACGGCACCGATTTGAGAAACACTTTCTCTGGTTGAAAGATACATTATTACAGAGTAACATTGTCACATTACAATAATATATAAAAAGTATACAAGTTTGAGAGCAGTCTTACTATCTTATTTATAAACGTGGAAGTTTGTGAGTGTAGATGGACGGATGGAGTTTGTTACTATTTCACGGAAAAACTACTAAATGTATTTTAATGAAACTTTACAGTAATATAGCTTATAAGTACATCAGAATAATACATAGTCTATAAATTACGAGATGTCAAATAATCATTAGCCAGTACAAGTTATATTAATCAACGGAAGTTGTCATGAAAATTATTATTTAGAATTCTGGAATAAAAAGGTATCTAAACTATATGTAGATTTAATGCGAACTTAGATGGATTTTTGACGGTGAATGTGTAGCCGCCTGTGTGGATGAAATGAGCATTTTCGATATCCTTTAAATAAATAAAAATACATCAGAATAACATATAAGTTATAAATTTCACAGGAGACAGTTAATAAATAAATAAACAAGAAAATATATTTTATACAGCTGGCTCGCTCGTACGGATCCTGCTGACGTGGCACGTGTGGAATCTCGCACTTTCATCTGCTCCGAGAAGGAAAGGGATATAGTACCAGTGGCGAGGGCTGGCCAGAAGTCCGCCCTTGGTAACTACATCAACCCTGAGGACTACGAAAAGGCTGTGGCCGACAGGTTCCCGGGATGTATGAGGGGTGAGCAATAGAATAGAATAGAAAATCATTTATTCAAATAAACTTACAGTGAAGCACTTTTGAATTGTCATTACATTTTTTTGTATCTACCGCTCATTCGGAAAGCTGTCCCATTACAAGAAGAATGAGCAAAAACTTGCGTGTTGCTCTTTTAAATATTTTTATTGTTACATTTTGTTGGAACTGTTTGAATACAAACTACCAACTACCAGTAATTCAATTAAATACTTAAATAGAGAAAATATTAAATATTACACTAATACAAACTAAATAAGAGTGAATCAGTCGTAGTGATTAGAGCAGACCAGTCCCTGCAAGCGGTACTCGTTCACGAGTATGACGGATGCCAGCCATCACTGCATCAATTTTATGATATCTCATTAATACGACTTGGTCTAACGGTTAACATCTTTGTACAGTAGTTACTGAACCATTAAGTAATAATTTTCTTTGCTGCTTGGCAGCTTTATTAGAACTGAGGTACGCACACGATTTTTTAAAAAGTCTATCGCGGTAAATAGTCAATTTATTTTTTCTATCACCAGGCCGTACTATGTACGTGATACCGTTCTCAATGGGACCAGTAGGCTCTCCTCTCTCCAAGGTCGGCGTGGAAGTCACCGATTCTCCATACGTGGTCTACTCTATGAGAGTCATGACGAGGATTGGTAAGTACAGGTTTTTTTATTGACGGTGAATGTGTAGCCGCCTGTGCTACGGTATAGGTATGCTGACAGAGATCCAGTGGTGGATGATAGGATGAGCATGAGGTCAGGTCAGTTTGCCCGTCATGGAAAATTGACTAGGGATTTATCAGGATGGTTTCCAGGGGGAACCGCGTGAAGGAATAGAAAGAAAGAAAGAATAGAAATAATCTTTATTCAAATAAACTTACTATAAGCTTTTGAATATTCAAGTTTTTGATTCTACCGCTCATTCGAAATACAGACTCATCACAAGATGAATGAGCAAGAAACTTGTGTGTTCAACATAGTGAAGGAAAACCTGAGGTGGTACATTGTTAATAATGGGGTCATTAGTTCACATAACCTATCAACTGTTATCTGTTAAAATGACATTAATTCCCCATCAGGAAGACCAATTATAGAACATCTCACAGATGGGGCTATAGTAATCCAAGTCCAATAATTGGCTCCTTCGCAGATGAGAGGATAACTAACAATCCACTTCCACGAAGGTGAACTGAACTTCAGTTAGAAGCATATTTTAGTACTTTATCACATTGCTATTATTGATTATTTAAGTCTGAAACTGAATATGGCAAAACAATGATTTCCGGGACAATTAGTTGTCTCTATAATATGTAGGTACTACAATCAAGCCGCATAAAGTCGTGTCAATTTCATCGAAAGTCATTTATAGCAACGAGCAAAGTCCTCTGCCTATTGTATTTTAACATTTATTGATAGATTGGCTGAGCCCATGAAGTTCGTAAATTGGAATAAAACAATTTAAACTTTAAGTTAACCTTACGACAATACATTATTGAAAGTCATATCCAAATCGATTAGGACATTTCTGAAATTAAAGCGCTCAAACGCACAGACCAAACGGAGAAAAATTGTAACAAACGTCGTTTTGGATTCAATTACTTTGGTACACAATTATAGTTTTTCTTATATGTTCCATGTACAAACAACTACCAGTATATATTTTTTTTTTATTTTTTTTTAATCTCGCATTAGGCATTATTAGACACTGAAATTGCAGGATTATATTATTTTATAATTCCCCGTCCAATTCAAACGGGGATCTAAATTACGGCGGCCTGAACCGAGGTTCGAACCCCTTGCGGTACCCTCAGACCAAAGTCGTATCCGTCAGGCAAGCGGGAGTTGGCCTTCAGCCGCTCCATAAGTCCGTCCACAGGTTTGGGGTACCCTCTGGACTTATCTGCCCTCTATCGTCCGGTGAAACTGTAAAGACCACCTGCTGCCAATAGCAGTAGAGTAGTCCGAAAATATGTACTCTTACGCTTAAAATATTGGTTATCCTTATCTCTAAGCTAGTCGAGTAAAGGGCTTTTCTCTAGTGAAACCGTTTTATTACAGGAAACAAAGTGTTGGACGTTCTTCGACAAGACGAGACGTTCGTAAAATGCTTGCACGCAGTGGGTACTGGTGGAGGCGTACCTGGATGGCCGTGTGACCCACCACGCACCATTATCTTGCATAAACCAGCTGACAACGAGATCGTTAGCTACGGTAAGGATAATTGTACTTAATTTTTATGAGAGACTACAACATGGCGTATTTTTAGAAGGGTATATTAAGGTTTCTTAAGGGTCGGCAACGTAACACCCCGGTGTTTCAGGCGTCCATTGGCTACGGTATTTTTTTTATTGGATGCTTGGACCTGTAGCATTGCGATCTACATAGATCTACTGTGCTCGCCTTTTTCAAAGCTCGCTACCTAGACCCGACAGGGACAAGAATTAAAGGATATTCTTAGGAACGATGGTTTTTATCTCCTTAAAAGAGTGTAAACTTTCCAAAGGAGATATTTCGTTTTTTTATCAGTTCCGCCTGTAATTTGTAACATACTAATATATTTTATAACTAATTGTTTATTGTTTTCAGGTAGTGGTTATGGAGGCAACAGTCTTCTAGGCAAGAAATGCTTCGCTCTTCGTCTAGGATCCGTTATAGCGCGCCGCGAGGGATGGCTGGCCGAACATATGCTGGTACGTCGAATGCTTTGTAATTAAACTAGAGTTTATATTATATTTGTATATAGTTTTTTATCCACAATGATTTCCAAGGGGTACCGCCTGGAAGTCGTCTTAATTTCCAACATTTGTCTCCTATTTCCCTGTATATACTGTCTATATTTAAAACATTATGACTGGCGGGTTATGATATATCCAAAACCAAATAATCCCACAAATAAACGTGTAATGTTCTTTAAATAAAACGCAGTTATCCGATAGCCGATTTATTGCAAACTAAACCAAGTATTAAGACACAAAGGTGACAACCGTTGACATTTATCAATAATTCATATACCTACATTTCAAAAAGTATGAATGTTTAATAATATGTATTTGTTAAATTAGAATTAAATAATGACGTAAAATTACCACATAAGAATGTTTATAAACTATTGCGCCGCTTACTAACTTCTCAGTTTGCCTCATGGTTGACTAGTAGAGGACGCTCTTAGGTGTTATGTTCGCCATATGTATATTTATATATTGCATTTGTACATTAAAGTTTAAATAAATAAAAGGCCTACTTAGCATTGACTGCATTTTCATTACATTTTTGTAATTTTTTTTTACTTTTCTCCTGTTCTATATTTAGATAAAAGCTTTCTGTAATAAGGCCGCTTTATTGTAACTATACGTGTGTTCTTTAATATGTATATTGTTTACGTCTTTTCTTTACTATATGTTACATATAAAATATTCTATCGTATATCTAAAAATTAAAATTTCGTGTTGGTAGAAATCGATTTAACAAATAGATAATCCATTAACAATATATTAAATATTGTTTACATTATAACCTTTGACGCTTTCGTGATATTTAATTATATAATGTAGATGGTCATATGGCCTTCGTAATGGTCCTGCACTTTGTACTCTAGTAGACCTCAGATAATATTGAAACTATATTAATAATTTATAATGTCAATATAAGATATAATCAAATAGAATAATGGACAACAATGTCATATAACGAGGTACGTAGAACATAAATTTTTAAATAGGTATATATATATTTTAATGGATGATAATGGATTGGGGCACCCGCCTACGCAAACGATTTACTCTTGCGGGGCACGAGTGGAGGATGATAAAATGAACATGAGGACAGGTCAGTTAGCCCATCGTGACAAATTCATCAGGTATTTATCATGATGGTTTCCAGACGGCACCTCGTAGAGGTCAACCTGACATGGTATATTGCTAGCAATGGAGTCATCAGTCCACGTCATTAACAATCCCTATTCCGTTAAGTTTAGGTAATAAGTTCATATTGTGATATACCCACTTTTTTGTCTATGGTTTCTATGCAATGACACTTTTTTTTCTTTATCAGATTGTCGGTATAACGGATCCAAAAGGCCGCAAACGGTATGTGGCAGCGGCTTTCCCGTCGGCCTGCGGGAAGACCAACCTCGCTATGATGACGCCCACCCTGCCGGGGTACAAGGTGGAGTGTGTCGGCGATGATATTGCGTGGATGAAGTTCGATAAGGACGGTGTACTCAGAGCTATCAACCCGGAGAACGGTTTCTTTGGTGTAGCACCAGGTAAATTTATGATTTTCAAATGTTAATATATATCTTATATATAAAATTCGTGTCACAGGTTTCGTTCCCATACTCCTCCGAAACGGCTTGACCGATTCTAATGAAATTTTGTGAGCGTATTGAGTAGGTCTGAGAATCGGCCAACATCTATTTTTCATCCCCCTAAATGTTAAATTTATCCCCTAATTTTTTTTTTATTTTAAGGCAAAGTAACGTTTGCTGCTCCTTTAATTTGAGAATACGTTTCGAAATTTTAATAGATTATTATTTGAGACAATTAAAGATTATTAAAATCTTACTAAGGTTATAAACGTGGAAGTTTGTGAATATAGATGGATAAATGGATATGTTTGTTACTCTTTCACACAAAAACTACTGAACGGATTTTAATTAAACTTACAATAATATAGCTTATATATCAGAATAACACATAAGCTATAAATTAAATGCGGATGAAACCGCAGGCACAGCTAATCATTACATAGTATAAAACAAAGTCGCTGTCGCTGTCTGTCCGTCCCTATGTATGCTTAAATCTTTAAAACTAGGCAACAGATTGTGAATCGGTTTTCTTTAATAACTAATAATAATATATATAATACTTACATGTACACCCGAGTGAAGCCGCGGCCAGTAGCTAGTTTTATATTATACAAACAATAATATTTATTTAACGTTACTTTAGGTACATCAACGTCGACGAATCCAATTGCAATGGCAACAGTATTCAATAACTCCGTTTTTACTAATGTCGCGGAGACGCAAGACGGTGGGGTGTGGTGGGAAGGCATGGGACCAGCTCCCGCCAACCTAACCGACTGGAAGGGACAGCCATGGACACCAAGTGTTAAAACACCCGCTGCACATCCTAACTCCAGGTACTTACATTTCTATTTTAATTCAACGTCTTTGATATTTTTTTTATAATTTGCTAGAAAATTATCGACGCTGGTAACTTGAAAGTCTTTTTTTGATTCAGGTTTTTCTATAATCGCAGAGTCGATCCTCGCCATTTTTAAAATAATAATAATGATCTAAAACAATCCACACAGCACCAACTAGTCCCAAATTAAGCAAGAACTTGTGTTATAAGTACTAAACAACTCATCTAATAATTTTTTTAAATACAAATAATTATAATTATGAATACAAATGTTTGTGCGAGGAATCGAACCCGCCAAAGTAAACCGGTGTGCTATAGGCTAGACCTATCCGAAGCCGTCTAAAATGAATTCATACCACCTATCAGTTATAGTAACAAACGTATTTTTTTTGGTAAAGTAAGGCCAAGTCTGAATATCAACCACAAATGTATAATAATATCAAAATGTTTATGACCAGAATTATATATAATGCAATTCGCAATTTTCAGATTTTGTACACCAGCGAATCAGTGCCCAATTATAGATGACGCTTGGGAGAGTTCAGAGGGTGTACCCATTTCTGCCATCTTGCTGGGCGGTCGGCGGCCCACGGGCGTGCCCTTAGTGGTAGAAGCAAGGGATTGGAAACATGGGGTGTTCATGGGAGCTTCTATGAGATCTGAAGCAACAGCTGCCGCTGAACATAGTGTGAGTAATTATTTATTATACTTATGGGTATAGCCACGATGGATTTCGATATTTCGGCAGTGTTTCAACAGCCATGATCACGGGTAAACTGAAGAGCAGCGAGTAGTTAGTTCAGTTTTCTGTGAGCATATTGAGAATATCGGGAACTCAATAAAAATAAACAAAACATGGTAAGATCCCATGATTTTTCCTGATTATACGTATAAATAATTAACGCGTCAAATTTATAATAAATAACCCTGGGCACAGCGCCATCTAGTCCTACGGTAAGCAGAGCTTGTGTTATGGGTACAATACAATTGATATAATATAATATGATATATAATAATAATAATAATAATATAATATAATAATAAAATATATATATATATATATATATATATATATATATATATATACTTCGCTTTTTTTGTAAATACATACATCATATACATAGAAAAACACCCAGACCAATACGTACAATTATATTCATGAATACAAATGTTTGTACCGTGCGAGGAATTGAACCCAGAACCATCGTAAGTAAACCGGTGTGCTAAAACGCTAGACCCCGAGGCCGTAATTTTTAAAACAGTATGTAACAAATTTAATTTTCTTTTACAGGGTAAGGTGTTGATGAACGATCCATTTGCGATGCGACCTTTCTTCGGGTACAACTTTGGCGAGTACCTGAACCACTGGCTCTCGATGCCACAGGCGGGACGCAAGATGCCCAAGATTTTCCACGTCAACTGGTTCAGGAAGAGTGATGAGGTAGGTATCTTATTTCATCATTTTGAAAATTTAGATATAGGTCCATTTTTTAAAACGAAATAACAATATTGTAGATGACCTACAGGCTACTGGTAGTATCTAATGCCTAATTTATGTATTGTATGACAAGAAACTCAACTCAAAACAAATATATGTATATTAATCAAAGAATATGCTTTATCTATGTACAAAATTTCATTCCGATCTGTCCAGCAGTTATCGAGGGAAAAAGTAACGAACATCATAAACTTTTAAGGTTGTAATATTAGTAAGAAACAAATAATCTTTATTCAAATAACTTAATAACATAACTTAAAAACTTAATGTAAGCACTTTTGAATAGACATATTTTCCATTATATCACACATTCAGAATGCAGAAGAATGTCCAAGAAACTTGCGTGTTGCTCTAAGTAACATTAACAAAGAAGATTTGTTTAGATAAATAGACCCTAATGAGTTGTCATTACAGGGTAAATTCCTCTGGCCCGGTTTCGGTGAGAACTCCCGCGTTTTGGACTGGATACTCCGCCGTTGTGACAATGAGCCGTGTTACGTGGATACACCACTCGGTTATGTGCCCAGAATTCTTGTAATATTCTAACATAAGAAGGTTATTATAAATTTTTATACCTTCTTCTCCCACTAAATTCAACAATATAGCTACCTTTCTTGCGTCTGGTACCTGAACACACAAGACCTCGGCCCGATCGATATGAAGACACTGTTCAGTATACCTCAAGATTTTTGGCTTCAAGAGGTATGTTTTCACAATACCTGTTTTTCTATTACAAAAGATTTCTTGAGAAATCTGGTATTATATTATAACGTCAAGAATTTTGCCTGAGATGTCATCTATCTGTTAGATTGACGGTATCGGTTGTCTAGCGGTTTAGGACACTGTCGTACTTCTGATGGTCGCAGGTTCAATTCCTAGCACAGTACAAAAATTTGTATTTTTTTTATATTCCTTTTTTTCTCCTTATATTTTTAAGATTTTTATATATAACAATGACAATCCCATCATAAACGATACTAAGTAATAAAAACATTTGTATTCATGAGTATGATTGTTTGTATCGGTCAGAGTGTTTACTATATACATTTGTTATGTATTCATTTACATAAAAGATTTGTATGTATTTATATCAGTTGTCTAGCACCCATAACACAAGTTCTGCTTAGCTTGGGACTAGATGCGCTGTGTAAAATCTGATATATATGTATTCACAATAGACAATCTTCTTACCAACTCACAAAATATACAAATAAAATGTATTAAGATATTTCTCTATTAATCAATTGTGTATAGTATAAATTGCTTCAATATCTAATGTTAACAAAAAAAATATCCTCAATATTTACCAGAACAAAAAACATTGATAATTAATAAAACTTTCGTATTGTTCCAGGCTGACGCAATTGGAAAATATTTCAAAGAGGAAGTAGGTGATGACTTACCTAAAGAGATGTGGAACCAACTGGAGACTCTCAGAAATAGAGTCCAACAATTATAGACCAAAAATAGTACATAATACTCTAAAAGCATAGATAAGAAACTACACAGAGAACATTCCTTGACAATTGTATAATATTAGTACATAAGTAAATTTATATCATTTTAAATTATAACATTAAATATAGGAATGACAAATGTAATTGTACCGGAGATTCTTTTTTATAAAAGACGTATTACAGAAAAACATGATGGCTGTGTTATATAAAAATTTACATAAATATATTCGTATGATAAATAATTTGTGTAATGTTATAAAATTAAATATATATTATTAAATTAGCAAATAAGTAATACAAACAAAATCAGTTTTTTATTTTAATTTATTCAACCAAAATCACAGACTTGTTTAAAGAAAGGATTTAACATGAATGTTGGATATATATATATATATATGATATATATTTTAAATTACGACAAAACCGTTTTCATTCGTCCACATATAAATAGGTAGTTATAAAAACAAAATATACTGCAATATGATTTATTTTATGTCATAAAAAAATATTTATTCACAAACTAGCTACTCGCCCTGGCTTCGCACGAGTGTACATGTATTATATATATAAATCTTCCTCTTGAATCACTCTATTTAAAAAAATCACTTCAAAATCCGTTGCGCAGTTTTCAAGATTTAAGCATACATAGGGACGGACAGACAGCGACAGCAACTTTGTTTTATACTATGTAATAATAATGATAATGAAGCATCACCTAAGTGTTATGGATATAACTGATGGTATATCTACAGAAATGTGATAAAACTTTTGTATTAATTTATTACGATATAAGTGCGTTATAATAGTTATAACACACTATGTGGAATTTCAGCCCAAATTGAAGGCGAGGACGTAATAGAGCCCAGTGTGTTATATACATATGTTGCACGACGTTTTTCAACACACTTGATTTTAAATAAACTCAACCATAAAACTGTGATGCACACTGTGGCTTTCCCGTCGTTTTTTTTTTTAAATCAGAATACTACGTACTGGCTGTTGCCGCGCGGAGGTCAGTTTGAAATTTGATAAAAAAAAACAAATATTGCGGTTATGGAATATAACTTCATTTATTACTTGACTATTATTTCACTTATTTGCGTGTTACTTAGTTAACGCTTATGTTTTATGAGCTGATTTATATATCAAAAAGCGTTGAAATTAGATTCAATTTACGAGCAAGTGTGTTGAAAAATACTTAGTTCATATGCTTCGCTGAAAATACCCTCACACCATCCTGAGTGGATGCTCTTGCATATTTAGTTAACAATGCATTCACGTTCATTTTCTCTGTCGCGTAACATCTGAAAGAAAAATAAATTACTCATATAAATGTTTAGAATTACTTCAATAACGGGCCTCGGTGGTCTAGCGGTACGGCATGCCTATCCATTGGTTACGGGTACGATTCTGGTACGATACAATTGAATCTGAGAGACATTTAGTCCGTTAGATCGTTCTGGTAGTTTGTAAATAGTTTTAAATAGTTGTCTGGCTAACATATATAAAAATCAGTAACAGAAAATAAATTACCGCCGTTTTTTTTGACGGCCTGTATAGCTTACCGCTTTACTTCCGATGGTCCCGGGTTCGATTCCTCGCAGGGCGCAAATGTTTGTATTCATGAGTATGATTATTTATATCGGTCTGGGTGTTTTCTATGTATAATATGTATCTATTTACGAAAAAAATCTATGTATTTGTATCAGTTATCTACCGCCCATAACACTAGCTTTAGCTAGCTTAACTTGGGTCTAGATGATGCTGTGTAAATTGTCCTGAAATTATTATATTATTATTATTATAAGTAAAAGAAAGGTGTCACGTCTACGTAGGTACTTATTAAAATTATACTCACTCTATATATGGTGATATTTGATCCACCGTCCATTTTGCTTTTGTTTGGAAGAGAATTTTGAATCTTTCATTTATATCTTCCGGTAGGTCGCTCTCGGCAAACCCCCATATAACTTGGGGTGTACTTGTTTTATCTATTAATGCTATACCAGAAAGTAGAGATTCCTAAAAATAAAAAGAGTATTATTAAATATTGTTAATTAACGACTCGATTTCAAACTGTTTTTCAACATTACACCGTTTACTGCTCATTCCTGAGTCGAAGAGGCTATATTTAAGACTATTAAAAGTTCATAATTTATTAAAATCTACAAACTAATCACTTTTTCATAAGAAGTGAATTGGAATACAGAAAATAATATTTAAGACCTATAGACAAAAAGTTGAAAATTATTATAATTTTTCAATTCACTTCGGGGAAATTGTTCAGTCTGACGAATACTGGCTGTCGGAAACATTAAGATTAACACATACAAGGTTAGTAAACGATATAAACCTATACCTACATTAGTAATCATTCCCTCCGGTACTGAATCACTCCACGCCTGCAGGAACTCCACTAAATTGAATTTACCAGCGCTCTTCAATAACACTCTAGCTAAAAAACTGCACACTTTATCTTCTTTATATTTGTAACATTGTGCTCCATCTTCTATACTAGTTTCAAGTGTGTAAAAACGAAACATCGCTTCTAATATTGATCTAGGCACGAGATCTTTCAAGCTCTCTAAAGTGATGTCTTTAGAAATTTTATCCAAAGCCCACGAGTTCTCATCAATCAAATCTAACATATACGATAGAACTCTAAACTCATAATCAAAATCTAACAAACGGTAATAACCATCTATTTGTATTGCCTGTATTTTCTCCAGTTCCACATTTAATTCGGCTCTAGACGCTTGTATTTGATCAAATATAGCTTCATAGTTTAACAATTTAGACTTATCTACAGCGTATTCAAGCTCTAATCCTTGAAATGTTGTTGGTTCTAGAAGTTTCCGTAGCTTCGATAACCGTGGTTTGCAGGGCTTCACCTCATAATACGTGAAGAATGTACTGATAATGTCTTTATGTTCTATAATTCTTGAACTTATAGTGGTGTCGTCTGATTCTGTAGTATTGTTTAAACTAGCATTGGATTTGTCAAAGGATGAATCGGAATCACATTCAATAGAATTATTTCTTATAGTTTCATCTAGTGAAGTAGCCGCGCCGAATAACAAATCAGGAACTAAGAGAAGACTGTTAGATGTTTCGGCCTCTTTTACATCGTATGTTTTATTACTAGTGCATAATACTACATTGTCATCCGGATTACCTACAAAAATAGAGGGTTAAACACTATGTTACTACTTTTAAGTATTTTTTTATACTGCAGCATTGGCAGTCATGCATACGGCACGTCTAATGATAAATGGTTACCGTAGCCTATGGAGTTCTGAAAAAACAAGGGTGTCAAGCACGCGTTGCCGACCTTAAGAATATATTAATATACTGTATTATTGTATTTTTTTAATTTCTGTCTTATCTCTCCAAAATATATTTTCATTATTTAAAGGATTGTTTCCTTCAAATAGTTAAAAATTGATTAGTATTTTTGTAAATCTTTATAATGATATTTATTACAAAATATATTTTATAAATAAGGAGGTAAAAATTATTATGTTTATATATACCCTTAAACAGTAACTCATTTCCAGATTCAATTTCAGTCAACAAATTTGCGTCCAGCAACATAAGCTTCAGGTTGTCGTTAACTTCAGCCGGGCCCGGAAATCTTAATATCTGACTAATTTCTGTTAATTCAGATTCTTGTAGTTTTGCAGTTTTTATTATTTTCCTGGCATCCTCCGGAGTCCTTAGTTCCCTGCGCATAAACCAACCATAATCAATAACATAAGTGCAAAAAAATACATATATCTATGTCTATGAGCTGGTATTCCTACTAATATAATTGAAGTGATAATGTATTAACTATGAATTATGTAGATGTTTTTATAGAAAGCGCAGCTCAAATAGACGTGACAGAGGTACCTATGCAGACTATTTTGAACTTAGTCTACCTCAGTATTTTTCCATTACATTTCTATGGGACGCTACACTCGCTATGTTAACAACAAACGCTGGCAAGGCACCAGTGGAGTATGATATTACTCAGAGGCTAGGACTATTTTCAAATTTCGCGCCCAAAATTCCGTCTTTTATAGAGTTTAGATTAGAAAATAACAGTAATGACTGTTAGGTGAAAATAACAGTAAATGACTATTAGGTGCAATTCGCTTGATTGATTTATGCAATTATTCCATAATAAATATTCATACAAGCATGAATGTTTTTCAAATTAACTTTGTCAATCATACATCTGTAATAGTTATGATATGTCAATGTCAATTTGTCACATCACTAAATGTCAAGTGTCATTCTTATTGAAAACTTCAGTGACATCGATTTCTTGTGAAATTTCATGTGTAGAATTCTAATGTTCTAGAATAAAGAATTGTGTTTAAGATTTTAAATTAGTTATATAAAACGAAACGAATATGTCCTTGTTTGGAGATATAATACCTAAAAATGAGGAGAAAAACAATCAGGCTACTTCTAGCCTGTCTCCGTACTTGAACTTCGATCCACATTACATCCCGAAAATGCAACCAGAATTCCTATATCCAGATGACAGACATATGGCATCAACAGCTAGAAGGTCTAATGTAGCTCTCCCCATTATAGGAATGTCCTTCATGACCGGTTCAGGTATAAATTTTAAATAGTTTATAACATAACCTCAAATTTTTACATAATAAGCAATAAATAGGGATATTACACTATCAGATGTATAAATTATATTTTTATAAAATATTGAAACAATTAGTTTACTTTTATACATAAATGTATGTAATTATGATTTAAATATACTGATTATTATGATTTTATACTAATTTATTACTAATAGAGGCAATAATTAAAAATATTGCAAAATATTGTTTCTGTATATTCCAAATTTAATAATAGAAGGAGCAGTAAAATTTAATAATACCGAATTTTTAAATTTTTAAATTAAAAAAGAGCAACACACAAGTTTCTTGCTCATTCTTCTTGTGATGAATTATTCCGAACTGTTCTATTTCTATTTCTGTTCTACTAGTGTATATCATAGAAGTAACGTTATTAAAATTACAATATTAATGATACCTCAAAAATCACTAGTCATCTCTTAATCAAATTTATATAGGATCAATTGACAAATACTAATTTTTAAATAAAACTACCGTCAATATTGGTCCACCTAGAAAATAATGTTGTATTCAATACACTTTTTCCATGACTTAAAAAAAAAGAATCAACTTTTTTTATTGAAGTCAGTGAAAGTGTTGTTATTAAATTCAATATCTAACATGTTGAAGACCTCATTGAAAAATCTTATTTCTCACATAGGTACCAGCATTTTTTTATTGTTAATTATGTTCTTAAAAAATAAAAAATAAATATATGTTCTTAGTGTACAATAACTTGAGGTAGACTTTATTTAACCCCTAGATTTATTTCAATTAAAGTACCCATGGGTGATCAGCCAGGCCCAACATGTAAATTTACTTTAGCTGTGACTCACATGTGGGCATGCAGTCTTTAATGTGTTAGCATACACTACAAGTAAAATTATACTACATTTTCAGGCCTTGGCGGTGTGACCGGTTTCTATAAAGGTTTAAGGGCGACCACTCTGGCTGGACAGACTGGGAAAGTTAGACGAACCCAGGTTGTAAACTACATCATGAAACAAGGTGAGTGATAATCACTGATCAGAGTAGGTAGAGCTACTTAGGACCATTGACCTCAAACATTGATGTTAATATGTTGTTGTTAGGGAGTAATCTCCCTAAGCTTTTTATTATTTTTTTACTTAAAAAACAAATCCTGGAATTCTGGAAATATCCATATGGCAAGTACTATCTACTCCAATCACTAGTGATAATCAATAACATTAAAACAAATCTGATGTATTTAATGTTACAAGTTATGGAGAGTAATGACCATTTTATGCATCCTGAATTTTAATATTAGTAATGTATATATGTAGTTTTAATTTATATCAACTAATCACAGACCAGTCAATTAAAAACATTAAAATAATAATTAAAGTTAATAACATGCCAATTTAAATATTAACCACTAACCATAACCACTCTAAAGGTAAATATTATTATTAATTAAGACAAAATTAAATAAAAACTAGCAAATATTTCTAAGTCAATTATAACATACCTAGTGTGAAAAAAAATGGCATATAGCCATTTTTTTTTACAAAAATATGTGATGTCTCATGTGAGATATTACAAAATAAGGTCAGAAATAATATAGATGTATGGCTACTAATCAATCTTAATTGTGGAGGAAATAGTAATAATAGATATTTGTATATTTCCAACAACAACTATTATGTCGACCACCACAGTTTTCCCCATTAAAACCGCCAAGATTTATTTCTGTACTTTATTTACCATAACATACAAAGTGACCTAATTTCCTGCTCATCCTCCACTAGTGCTTATCACAGTACCCCAGGTGGAAGCACTATTTTACTATTATCCACCAAAAATATTTTTCTTATATCAATTTATGCCGACTATAGGATAAGGAAGCAATGATGATCAAATTTCATTTTATTCCCAAACAAAGAATATATTCAAGAGTATGAAGTAATAATAATCTTTACTGAAAGCTCTTTTAAATAGTTACATTTTTTTTTATTCTACCACTCATTCGTAATACATCACAAGAACGAGTAAGAAACTTGCGTATTGCTTTTTAAAATAAATATTGTTCTAAGTACATACACAATAACAACGATTAGGTATGCGACAATCAACATAGAAACAGCTACACATTCAATCTTTATTATTCTGCATTCAGATGCATTACGATGCACTGACTTAAAACTTTTTGATCCTCAGGCACAACAACTGGCTGCACCCTAGGCATCATCGCATCCTTCTATTCCTGCATAGCACTCGGCGTCACGTGGATCCGAGATAAAGAAGACACCGCGAACACATTCATCGCCGCCGCAACCACGGGCATGATCTACAAAAGCACCTCAGGCCTTCGGTCAATGGGCCTGGGTGCCGCCGTTGGTCTAACTTTAGCCGGCGTCTACACACTAGTTACAGATAATGACAATATATGGAGTAAAGCTCGATACAACCGATTGTGATTCAATTACCGCCTATTTTAGAAATTTTGTAAATATTATTTTAGTCAACGCACCAAAGGATCACGCTGCGAACTTATTGAAGCCATGTTCGTACGCTTGATGGTTAGTGCAATGTTATTCTGCGAGGTCGTAGTCCCCGTACTAAGCAGGAGTACAAAAAATGCGCATTATTAAATTAAAAACAATTGTTGGAAAATTAATGTGTAGTTTTATTTCCACATAATAATTATAATAGCAATATCACTAATGAATGCATTTGTACAATGTTTAGATTTTTAACAATTAAACATATTGTTTGCAAACAATAATACAAACTTAGGAGCAACTTATTCTACTTCAGAATCAGTTGAAATACATAACATTTTGTATATAAAGATTTGCAGTATACAATGTATTAAAGTTGAAGTTACGTAGTTTTTACCGGTGTTGTTTACACACTAGGTCAAATGTTAAGCTGAGAGTGTATTCTTAAAAACTCGACCTTGACCGATCGTAATTTTTTTGAGTGGTAAACAATGGAGGCCCGACGGTCAACCTTTATGAAATTTTGGTCTCGATCGGTCAAGCCGTTTGGGAGAAGAAGCGTTACAAAGACTGCAAATTTGATCTCCAAGATCGATTAAGATTTTATTTATTTCAAGATTATAGTTAAACTGAAATGTTATTCTGTTATTAAGAAGGCTACAGTAGCAAACAGTAAACAGTAGAGTAGATATATTGTTATAGAAGCAATTAGCTAAATCCGTAAATTTTGAGCAAAAACCTAAAATAATCGTAACTAATAAACAAATGTAAAATAATTCATAGAAAAATAATTGGATGAATTTTGGCACCAATTTTTTAATATGTGACATTTTCACACTCATTCAATTGTACAGTAACAACTGTACAATTGAATGAGTGAAACGCAAAACACGCTTTTATTACGCTTCCGAGGAGCAGTGTTTTCAATTTAATGCTATGCTAACATGCGTATACTTAATAAGTAACGTGATTTCATAGTCAAAAAAATGTAGGAATGTATAATATAGTTAAGTAGAATGGGAACATTGCATAAGCAATATTGTGGACTAATGACCCCATTACTAGCAATGTACCACATATAAGATTGATCTCCATGCGGTTCTTAATGAATTCCTCCTAATGAATTCCTGTGGAATTTGTCACGAAGCCTCACTGACCTGACCTCATGCTCATTTTGTCATCCTCCACTGGCATCCCGGTAGCGTAAACCGTTAGAGATGCATCACGTTTATCAAGCGTTATCAAAATGTAATAAAATAATATAGTAATTTAACTATGTAATAAAAGATAATAATAATTAAAACATGTTATTCTCATATTCATGTTTGTTATTGGTCCATTAGCGTCCTTCTTTTATTTTTATTTTACTTACAACATTTAAACATATATCTTTGCAAAAGCAGGACATTTTAGATCAAGGTGGGATCAGCGGGACAGGCAGTCTAAAAGTGGGACGGATGGTCATGTTATAAAAACGTGATATATTGATGAATAGAGTAATCCATAGAAGTAATTATTTTACTCTTAATATAGTCACATTTTAGATGAAAGAAATAATTATTGAGATTCTGTACAACTGTAGTTTGCAATTTAAAACCATGTATAAGTAATTAATAGTCATTGTTTTTCAAACACATAATATCCTAACTACTTAAAAATCTATTAAACTTTTTACTAATGTCTTAGTTAAAAGACGATCTATGTTAAAAGTATCTAACCAGAAGTTTCTTACATCTATCTTCACGCCATATCCCTCACGAGGTAAGCAGTGGCTGTGCCTGGAGCATTTAGCCTGTCTTTGCTTCTTAAAAGTAATGTAGGTTATAACATTTACGTTATATAATATCAACAGGTTTACAAAACACGACTTCTTATATTCTACAGGCCTGAGAAAACTTACGTTTTGTTATACGTTAGATATATCAATTTTCATATTCAACATACTCTATAAAAATGTATAAAATTATCTTATAACTAGATTTATAAAATGTTGCATACCTAATTAGTTAATTGCACATTTCATTATAATGACTACATAAAATTGTTTTAATAAAATATTAAACGTCACTCGCCGGTTATGGGCAGTCTGAATTTGTAACGATGTCGAGTGATTATTTACAGAATAATGCATTGTTGAATGTGTGGATAGTAAAAGTTGATAACACATGAAAACTTATATTTCATCGAATTAGGTGTTATTTTGCGGAAGTCCATTTCACTACTTGATTACATTATTTTATTTAATTCCGCTACAATTAGCATGTTTGTCGCTTTCAGTGATGGTGCCTCGTTCAGAGGCGAAACACGTGTCGCAATATGGGTGTAGACTCAATAATGGTCGGAATTTGATCGCTAGTGAGAAGGTCGTAACGGTGGTTAAGTTTCCACACCGAATATTTGTAGTCTCACACATGCTAAATGTAGCGGAATTAAACATAATATAAATCCATCGAGTATATGAAAAGTTATCAAACTTTTTAGATCAGAAATATATATATTATATATACGAGGACAATACACACAGCGCCAACTAGTCCCAAGCTAAGCAGAGCCTGTGTTACAAATACAATACATAGACACAGTTTTTTTAAATACATATAAAATAACACCCAGAACGATACAAACAATCATACGTATGTATAAATGTTTGTACTGTGCGTGGAATCGAACCCGCGATCATTGAAAGTAAAGCGGCGTGCTAAACCGCTAAACCATCGAGATCGTGAAAATATAAAAACTAATATTTATCACCATATGATGTTACATAAATATTTATATCTACATTTGAGTAAGATAACATGACAACAAGATAAAAATGTTAGTTACTAATCTTCTTGTAGATAGTAAGGCTGGCATCTTAGAGATTCCACATGACCTCCAAAACAATGCCACCTTATATTGCATTAAAATAATTTGACAAACTATACAACTGGATGAATGATGTTAGATTATTGAATAATCATGAGGCGGAAGCCCTGCTATTATCATTATATTCATCATTAATAGGTTGTTTCAGTATTTTTATAGAGGAGTAGTTTAAAATCCAGTAGTAAAGGGTATACCAAGCCAAAAGTCAGGAAGAGTATATAGCTAAATCATTTCCACCAAAAAATGAAAAGGTTTTTTTTAACTAAAATTTTCAAACTATATTGATGAAGTGATTTCAAAATTTTCCACCTCGATTAAAAAATCGATCAATATAACTAAAAAGTTACATTAATAATTTTCATGAATCACTGGCTTTTAACTTAGTGTACTGTTTAGTATCAACCCTGTATTACATTATATGGAAGAATAATAATTGTTCACAATCACACATAAAGTTTCATAATTACAAAAAAATTTCATTGAATTTTCGATGTTGTAATTATGTACACATTCTTATATAACATTTTAAAGTAAAACTAGGCCTATTTCATAGGATAGGTAGATTTTTATATACAAACTATAGAAATATTCTGTGATCCAAACTGAATGTTGCAGTCTCCGCTGCAGCCTCTCAGTTCCGAGGTGCAGCAGTTTGGTTGTCACGTGGGAGCATTCAGTATTGACTTCATGTCATCGGGCAACACACAATTGAGATCATCCAATCGCCTGGCCAACAGTGTTCTAGTATTATCAGCAACTGGTGGATTGCTTTTGAGAACTTCACGCAATTTCAACACCATATCTACTATTTCAACCTCCTTCTTACCGATCGACCAATTCTTTAAATCGCTTTCAGCTAATGCCTCTAATTGTAGTGCATGGAGTTTATTTGTTAATTTGCTATGTCTTTGGTGAAACCATGCACTAAAGTTAGGTGTCCTAAAGAAATTTCTATATAAACCATTCCAGTCTCCTTTAATCCCAGTTGTCAATTGAGGTCCGGATTGTTGTAAAGTTGCAAAAAAGTCCTCAGGATTGAACGGATTGGGCACAGGAGGTGCCCGGTACGGAGATATATTCTTCTGAAGAGGCATTAAGGATGCCATATACCGCTCCAATGGAATCATAAAGCTCTGAGTCAATTCTAACAAGTGTCTCTTAACCATTGCTGTTTGAACTTCAGAAGGTCGATCAGTCCTGATTCCATTGTGTAACTTCTTTATTATAGCTTTATCTTTCTCTAAAAATGGCTTGTACTGTGTGTAAACTCCAGGTGCAGTGTCTAGTAGCTTTGTATTACCAACTTTACGGAGTTTAGTTTTAATTGTTGTAGAGTCACCTAATTTAATTGTGTGTGGCCAATGTTGTAATGTTTTTGTGAAGAATGGATTTGTCACGCCGAGAATAACATGTGGTGGGTTATATTGTTTCCTAGTAAACTCTTTGAATTCACTATCATGTATAGTGAAATATGGCCTATATTCTGCTGAATATGGAAGTGGCTGGATCAAATTGGTTAGAGCCTGGACTAATGCAGAGCATTCTGTTGGTGAACTTGCCATTACTACTATTGGTTCAGCAGTTAATACCAACTCCCACAATAAATGTAAATGAGATATTAATGTAGACAATGCATCAAAAACATTAACATCTTGTATGGATGCTACAATATGAGGTATATTTGAAGAGTCAACTTGCTTGGCTATGTCTGACCTTGTAATCTTTCCTGTCTGTTGGTTAGGAATATATGACTGAAAAACTGAACCTAATACTGGTAACAGTACATTTTGTCCTGAATCCAGTACTGGCCATCTGTTAATGTCGTGACAAGCAGCCTCTAAGCTTCTCTCACCATCTTCAAAGTGTTTTGGTGCAATAAGCTTTATTACTTTATAAAATAAATTTATAAATGGCAACCGTGTCAGCAATATAATGCTTTTTTGGAAATATCCGCGAGGTAAGGAAGGGTCTTTCACCTGCCGGAAGTACACGAATCCCCAATAATGCGAAGAATCCGCACGCAGAGTAGGTACTGAATCCTCATTGTAAATAATTTGTTGATTTGTTAAAGCTGTTCGAGAACGTAACCTCACGTGAAATTGCGTGTCGCCCATACATCCAGAGTTGGAGTCAGGGAACGCCAAATAACAAATATTACACTTCTCCTGGTCGGATAACTTCACTCCAGGAGGGTACACGCTTTCCATCGCCTGCCCGAGCTCCAAGTCGAAGGTAACGACACAAATACAGTGTAACCAGTCCGAAAACCTGCTCCATTTGTCTGAGAACTCCGACTGTTCCTTGGAAAAGTCCCCGTAAGTCGACAAGCCACAAGCCATGGTGATATGGTAATGTCGCAATGTGTGATCAAACAATCATTGTACATAAATGCTACTGCTACATATTTTATTATTTAAACACTCTCTTTGCGTTGTATTTACACTGTGTACACACAAATAGCCAACATTTATAGATTTATTGTCTATAAAATAAAAAAAACAATGAAGAGAACGATTCTAAGTCTCACAACAGCTGTTTTGACATGACAGACAAACATGGCTGCGCGCGCCAATTGTGCGACAACAAAAGTTTGGTTGGTTTCATAATAATATTTACGATACAATAAAATTAAATATATATATCTACTTACCCAGAATTCATTTTACTAGTAATAATCACAACCACTTAATTGAATATATGTTTTAAGATAATTATGTGTTTTATTTTGGAATTTTAAACTGTACATATTTTAAATGAAGTAGGTTTATTTCACGGATCTAGGTTCTTGCCTTTTTGGCTAATTCAAACCACAGATAAACAAATATTATATTATCAAACACGGGTTTGTGTATTTTATTAAAAGCAACTTGAATACTATTTATATGGATCTACGAGAATTATAGCAGGCTTCCTCTCGTAATTCAAATCGGTTCATAAACAATACACGCTTCAGCGAAATATTAACGTTTTTATCATTTTATGTAGATATAATACAATCCTTTTTTAAACAAATGAATCTAACCATTTGATGTGTGCAGCTTTTTTTAAAATTGATGCTTATGATATGGTGCCAGTGGAAGATAATAAGATAAGATATTGGCAAATACACCAGGATTTCACTAAGGAGGCTATTGGTCAAGAGGGCCACTCGTCCACATTACTAAAACTCTCCCTTCACTAGTTAGATGCCTCAAGTGTAGGGTATACCACATACTTGACCACAGGGAAAACCATTAGATACCTCAGCACATGCCGACGATTTTGTGTCAAAGGCCTATTTGCTGGGCATGTGAAACGTGGATATGATTTTTATGGATGATTATGAAATGGTACGTCCGCCTGGACTAACGTTTTACGTTGGCGGGGCACCAATGGAGGATAATAAGATAAACATGAGGTCAGGTCATTTAGCAGATGGTTTCCATGGGGAACTGCATGAAGGTCAACATGGTCTGACATGGTACATTGTTAGCAATAAGATCATCTGTCCACATTACTAACAATCCCCTTTCCGCCCAATATGGATATGTTAAACAGGTAAAAATGAAATAAAATTTTCTTACTATTGGCATTAAGTTTATTTTTGTAAATCAAATACAGGCTGAAAGGGCACAAGCCAATATGACCGGCCCGTATATAACTACCTATTTAGATTTATACAATAATCGTTATTCACGTAATTAGTACTGGATCACATTTAAATATAATTATGTTAAACCAAATACATCAAAAGTGGATTTAACAATATAACCACGAAGTATATTGCTTTGTATTGTAGCATACCATACATGTATAAATTGTAACCAGTGACGTAACTATACAATCTTAGGTGTGAAAAATTCACCTTACCTTCCACTTAATCTACAAAATCTTCATATTGTATTTATTGGCCTGATTTAACAAGTTATTTAGCAAAATAACATATTCGCTATATGTAAATGAAAGATATGTAAGAAAAACTATTCGGGATATATTACTAAACTATTGGGGAACTTCACGAACACAGTAAAACCCAAAACAATGAGAAAATATATTATTCGGGGGAACAAAACAAAACTCAAAACAATCAATGTTAGAATTTTTATGTCAGAGTTTGTGCGCGCTAATCTCAGAAACGGCTTAACGTAGTAACTTAGATCAATGAATGGTGGATTCGTATGATCCCGGCCTTTTGGACTACCCTACCAGACCCTATCGACCGACCCGACTAGGCCCTAGCTTTTAGCCTTTTGTGGCTGGGGGCCTGTAGTATTGCCGATCTATTGTTACCCCACTGGTTGGTATGTTACAATTTCTGTTGGTGTAGTGGCTATTGGTGCAATTATTAATATAGCACATTGAAAAACAAGATACCCAACATCTTTTTAAATTTATACAATCATACATATACATATCTTTTAAATGTGAAGATTATGGTGCAATAAAGAGTATAAACAAAATAAATAAATTATTGACAAATTAAATTTTTCATATATTTCATTATAGAAACAACAAAAAATTTATAATGTTGCTTTTAGCATACATTTAATTTATATCTACATTATTGTCACTGAGATTTCAATTGCATGAATTATATATTTATTTATTTATTTTCTATGTGATGCTGAAGGTATATGAACACGCCACACTACGCGCTGAAAATTTCTAAACTACCAAACACAGGGCACGGCAGTGCTATAAGAGGGTCTAATAAACAAATTTTGCAGTTGAACTGTCTGTTTTACTCTCGAGTCAATTTATTAATTAAAAAAAAAATACAAGATAACACAATCAAAATACTTTTTTTTTTAATTACAGATCGATCTCTCTCGACTTGTAGTGCAGAATGAGGGTTTCTGCTACAACAGTCGCTGTAGAATACAAATGTACTTCCGGTGGTTTGTTGCCCAATGTAGGAAGCTGAGGAATGAGTATACGGACCTGACATTCCACTCGTCCCCCAGACGGGTGATCGAATTTAAGATTTCTCCACTTTAAAGGAGTTTTAGTATCTTATAAGTGTAGATGTCTAGCTCAAGAGCAATATATTATCTAGCAAAGCAGAGGGCGCGGTAATAGTCTTACCCTATGAGGTAGTTCATGTCCTTAATTATTCATAGTCTCCAAGACAAGGGACTGATTGTGATGGTTATTTTGTAGCAATTAAGTAGTGGACATCTTGTTTTGTCAATGCGCTATAAAAATAATTGCTAATATTAAATAATATATAAAAAGAATAAAGGAAATAAAAAACAAAATTGTTAAATGTTATGACACTATATAGTAATTCGATACATAACGTCCCTATGTCGCCATATTGAATATAGTATGTAAAAATTAGTTTATACAATTTAGTATACATCCAAGTAAAATAGGTAAAAATAATATTTATTGTTTTACTATTACAGAAAGGTTATTACTAAAATGGGAATCCTAACCAAACAAAGAGTTTCATTATTTACATGGAAGATTTACATATATCTATATTAAACAATCACAAACCAACTTATAGCGACAAAGGGACTATATTTCTTACATTCTTACATTTTTGTTCTGTGGTTATATTGTCATTAAATGTTTGTAAATAAAATTGACAAATTATTACTGAATGTTACTATATCACCCTGTTTATTAAAACAACATGAGGACATCAGTCTTTTAAGACCAAACAAACATCTACTATGTAATACATCGAACAACTACAACACGGGTTATACAGTCTTATACAAATCGTTTTTGCTTAACGAGCATGTATGAGTAGACAAGTAATATCAACAGACTTAATTAAAATGTATTCGTAAGTGACTCAATAAAATTGAGGTTTCAAAACGTTGTTACAGGTTATGGGCCCAGTTATTACAGTTGACTGCCCTTATTGTAGTTTAATGATGGAAATACAGATTTATATACTATAAGTATATATATATAGTATATAGGTAAGATTTCATACATACAATCTACAAATAAGATCGAAATCGCTTCCACATTGAATGAATAATTAAAACAATAAACATTTGGCGATACTTTAAAACGGTTTCAATGGATAGTACCATTAAAAAAGACGCCAACATAGCTTCAAATGGCAAAACTCACTCATACTAACATAAATAAGACGCTATTTTAAATGTTGGATCTTTCTAAATGCTGACAAGTCGACAATTGGGCTTGTACCAATTGTAAATAAAGGCAATTTACCATATAAATACTTTCATAGTCTGCAGTATTAGAATTTTTTGTACGAGAAAAGAATAAACTGCCAGAATGTCTGGAACTAGCTTAACATTACGTACATTAATAAAATAAAATTATCTACTTAACATTAACGCGAACTTCAATTATAATAATATATCAATTCACGAACACAATTTTCTCTGTGCAGATTTAGATTCATTATGTTAAAGTGCAAATTAATTGAAGTGTAACATCGAATAATAAAAACTTCACAATAGACAATATATAATGCTAATTTAAGAAAAAAAAAAATCGTGTAAATCTAATAGTGTAAACTAAAATATAATCCTTGTTTATTGCAGAACCCATAAACTAAATATAGAGTTCAGGTATATAATAATAGAAAATACAAAATTCTTGACATTTTTCATCTATAACATAAAATAATACAATTACACAAATATCACATTTATTGTAATATTTCAATGTTTCTGAGCATGGATATTTTAGACATAGACTGACCCTCCTTTTATTCAAGACATTTTATCAACTAAATAATGTACATAATTCTATGTCGTTTAATATATTTATGAATATGTATATGTAGCGTCCAGATCGTAGAATCGACTGCAGATCGTAGAATCGACTGCAGATCGTAGAATCGACTGCAGATCGTAGAATCGACTGCAGATCGTAGAATCGACTACAGATCGTAGAATCTGCTACAGATCCTGGAAACGACTACAGATTGTAGAGTCGACTACAGATCGTAGAATCGACTACAAATCGAAGAATCGACTACGGATCGCTGAATCGATACAGATCGTAGTATCGGCTACACTGTAAAATAGTCGACTATTCCAAGCAATTCTGGCATTGTATGAAATAAACCAGTAGCAATATATAATGTAATGCAACCATCTCATAAAATAGCGTAGTACTTTATAATATGATCATTCCTACGCTGTGTCGATGACAGATATATTTATTAATAAATTCCAACACAGAACCGTTATATAGATATTGAGTTGCAGTCTTTAACATAAAGGATTGTCCTATTTATATTACTCAGAAACATAGAGATCATACGCACGCTTAATAATAAAATGTATTAATTAACTAAAGAACAATATTTAGGAAATGGACTTTATAGTTAAATATTTAAAGTCGTCTTACCATTACGATTTCTTTCCATTTAATTCAGTTTATTTTTAAGTATACGTACCTACCAATAGTGTTCAGAAAAACATTGATGATCAATTGAAAATAAGTATTTGAAAAAGCATGTTTGTTTATTAGCGTAATTTAATAAAACTCAAAGTGGAGGCTCAAAGCAAAATATATACAGTCAATTAATACTAAATATCTACTGAGTAATAAAAAAAAATGACAAATTAAACTAGACACATTGTATAATGGCGTTTTTCTTAAGTTCTTATAGTATTTTCTGATATATTACATAAAAATAAGTACAACGATAATAACTTTATAGTTACATTTACACATGCTAAAAGCGCCATCGTACCATGCCGTCAGTTTAAATGCTTATACACTACAAACAAACATGCCATTTCAGCAGGTCTACTCTGGACTCCAATATAGATTTCAATTCGATACATTTTTATACAGTTCCTTCGAAACATAATCAAGACTGAACCGATACAATGTCAGTTAGTTCTTTTATTGATTACGAATTTTTGAAATAATACTGTTGTTATTTTTTTTATGCATTTTGAATAAACATGCTATAGTAAGTAAGCTATATACATGAACGGCACTATACGCATCACGTTAACATGTGACACCCATAATTCCACTCATGCGTTACCATAGGACTAAAATAGCTTATCTTGTAATTCAAGAGTGTTAAAAAAGAGATCTGATCCGTCATACTCGTGAACAGGTGTTGCTTGTGGGGACTGGTCTGTTCGGGTTACGAACACTGATTAGATTATTTGTTCTGACAAAATAGCAATAGAATACGAATTTATAAATTAATCTGTATTATTGTCAACACATGTTGACAATAACGCAGTTCTTATTCTTTTCCAATATAGTTGTACATACAACTATATTGGAAAAGAATAAGAACTGAGTTTCTTGTCAGATCTTCACATCTCGAAAGCATTCCGAACTGATGGTAGATTTGACATATCATAAGAGTTTGTAATAGACATAAATAAATAAAGATATTTTGATTTGATTTGATGGTATTCCATTAGACTTTGTTTCCAGAGTAGACCTTAATGTTAAATTAACTATAAAGCAAAAGTAGTCTACTGCCACGTGTTACTAGCTACATTCGCATTGGGCTGCGCGAACGCGTTAGGAAAACTCTGTCCTAAGTTTAAACCGCCGAATTGTTGCGGCAACTGTTGTGCTTGCTGTTGCGACTGATTGAACAGTTGATTACTTTGACCAAAGTTCTGCGTGCCCTGCAACGGTTGCTGTAACGGTGCCCCAAACTGTTGGAATTGACTACCCATCGGTTGGAATTGATTAAATTGCATACCATTTTGTGCTGGCATGTTGTTATACCCTTGGGGTGGGTACCCTCCGAAAGGGTACGTTTGTTGCGCTGGCTGCACAGGATTGAATTGGTTACCTAGATTAGTTGATGGTGTTTGACTGTACAATGCCAATATACTGTCTTTAGTTAATTTAGACTTTTCCTTCTCCGTTGGTGCGGCTTGTTTGAAGAAATTCTCCTCTTCTGTTTTCAAATCGGCCTTCACTTCTTCGGGTTTTGGTTCCACTGGTTTCTCCTGTGGCGCTGAGAAGAAGCTGGAGAATATATCATCGCTGGCTGGTTTAGTTTCGGGCTTCGCTGTGTCTAAACCGAGGAGGTCTGCAGAACCGTTTGAGGGTTTGCTGTCCGCCTGAAGTGTGGGCGTGCTTCGACCTAGTTTTGGGCTGACTGACGATTTCGGTTTTGGTAAGCTTGGTATGACCTCTGATTTCTGTAACCACAAAGTTTATATGAATTTCAGAATCTACTAAGTCTCATACGCAATTAGTATACTTTTTTGAGATACGCTTGATTGACACAGGTCATCCCGTACCTCCCTAGGGGTAAAAGTCTTGGGGCGAAACAACCCCAAAATAACTAGATTGAAGCCATTAAATAGGCAAATAATTAGTAAAGTGGTAACAATTCTTAAAACTTAAGTTTTTTTTAATTATTGAATGTATCTTCACAATAAATTTCATTAAAATCTGTTCTGGCGATTAATCGGAAAAAAAATAGCAAAGAGACAAAGAAATACATTTTCGATACTAAATATTCGTATGAATTTCTTAAAGTAAGCATATTAAATAAGGAAAAATAATGAAGTGAAAAATATTAATAGATTAGGTATTTTCAATTTATAATTATTATTTTAACAATTAACAACAAACCGCATGAGTAATTTGATGATAAATGTAGTGGAATAACATATTTTAAACTGTGCTCCAAATTAAACCATAAATTATAAGTAATATAGATTCTACTAAAATATGCACATATTTTATTAATTATTAATATATTCTCTCAATATTATATTTCACATTGATTTTTATTATACAAAAGTTAGTGTCCATCCTCGTAAGTTTCTCTTATGACAATAAGAGCAATTCACTATTTAATTTTAAAATCGGATCAGGCATTTATGCGAAAAGGCAACAAACAGATACACTTTTAAATTTACAATGGCCATATACAATTATAACTGGATAAGAGGCTGAAGGCATTCTACATGAATAAATTATTTGACTTTAAATATTAGTATGGATCACTTACATTGTATTTCTTGTCACTGGTGGTAGGCGCAGGTAGGGGCCCTACGCCTGAGGACTTCTTTTTCCGTTTCTGACGTTCCATTTCTTCATCTATCTCTTTATCCCTAGAAAATAGAAAATCTTTGTTATGCATAAGACACATTTAAATATACTTACTTATTCAGATCAAATTTAAAAAAATGGGGCGCAAAATCAACAGTACTTAAAAAGTAAAGCAGGTTTTCAATTTAACTATATTTTTGTGTGTTACCCAGAAACATTTTATATATATAATGTTATTTTTTATTTGATTTCTGGTGTAACCTCATACTTTAATCAAGATCTAAGGAGTAGTTTTTAAGTCATCCTTAAAAATATCATTAACACCGTATTTGTCCATGGCATCATTACGATATTATTGGTAACTATTATCTATTACTCAAATAGAAAGATATATATATATATTTAATTTATTAAAATCGTTAAAAATGCAAATATTTAAAACACATATTAAGTAAAAAAATATACTTTTTGGTGACTGTATTTTTAGAAAATGAAATGTATTGTGATTTTTTATATAAGCTTCATAACTAAAAATTAAAGTTGTCTGATTTTTTGTCTCTTTTCTGTCTGCAATCAGCCCTTTTAACTACTTCTTTATAACAAAGTTGCATGATCTTAAATCAAGTAGTCGTTATCTAAAAAATAATGAGTTAGTCTAAATATACTAAATTAATATACTAACCAGTTAACTTTAGGCGTGGGCGGTGGCACCCATTCCTTGGCAATGTATTTCTTCTGTTCATATTTGGCGCGAATGAATGCTTCTAGCGAAGAATCGTTCTGAGGCCGCCGGAACGAATCTGGTAGGTTTGCCTCGTACACGGCCCTTGCGCGAGAGTTGCCCATTTGTTGTAGAGATACCTGGGGATAGCATTCATTCAATTTAAAAAACGCGGCACGTTATCTCGTGACGCTTGGTCTGCTACTAAAAATATTTTTTTTTCGGAATACTCTAATGCTGTTAGCCTGCTGGCTTTTACAATGTCACCAGACAATAGGGGGCGAACGCAGATGGCACTCCAAACCCGCGCAAGGGCTTAAGAAGCAGCTGAAGGCCAATTCCTGCTTGACGGATACGACTTTAGTCTGAGGGCACTGCTAGGGGTTCGAACCTCGGCTCAGGTCGTCGTAATTTCGATCCCCGTTTGAATTGGACGATTTGATCGGAATCCAGTATTTTGATCGTTGAGTAAATTGTTTGTTGATATAATCAAACACATGTAAGTGATGTGTTTTTTTTATGGCTAATTTTTTCACACTTGCTTCTAATATTTTTGATACGAAGAAGGATTTTATTTATCTACCTGTATCTATTAACATTAATAAAAATAGAAATAATCTTTATTCAAATAAACTCAATACAAGCACTTTTGTCATATGTTTTATATATATACAAAAGCTCGTTTGTTCATTTCTCCTCAAACTAGCTTCTCTTTCGCATATTCATGGACCTTCCACCCGTGCAACCACCTAAATTTACCATAATAAAATTCACCCTGATTTGCTTTACTTTACACACATTTCTATATATAATTATAATATTTATTTATTGCCCAATAAGAAATAACTGTATATTTAAACTTTACTACTTAATATTAAGCAATAGCCCAGTACCTGCGAACTGACCTTTTCATCCTTTACTCTTGACTCACCAGTATAAATTATTTTGTATAAAGAGGTCAATTTTACTATCTTTACTTAGTAGAAAATGTAGTCGTTTCCGGTGTCTCTTCGCTTAGATCCTTTATACTACGCACCTGATTTTATTGCACTTTTTAGCAATACATTGAATGATTCTGTGATTCAAGATTTATATATGTATACATGTACACTAGTGCGAAGGTAACTAGTAAATAATAAATTATTCCTTATTGTACTTACCACTTGTTCGGGTGTCCATGAGTCCAGATTGACGCTCTTCACTTTGGAGATGTGAACACCGAGGTTCCGATGAATACCCGCACACCTGATGCACAGAAATATGCCTATATTCCACGACGCCCATCTTGGTCCTGTAATATTACAAATTCATCATCATTGCCTAGCCTTTATCCCATTATTTGGGGTCCGCGCAGATTATCATCCTCTTCCCCTCCCTATCGGCTGTCATATCAGAGCATAGTCTCCTTTTATTCATATCATCTTTCACACAATCCATCCATCTTTTTTGGTCATCCTCTCCTTATCCATCCATCACGTTCATATTATATACTGCATTTAAATCAATAATATTATTAATGGCATTTATTAATAAGCATCATCATCTGCTTCTTTCTTATCCAATTCATTTATGATCGGTGTAATATGTTTCGCTTCCATTAATCCCCGTTCGCAGTGATAACTGCGAACTGGGATTAGATAGGTGATTGGTAAATTTGTAAATAGCAGTTTAATTATTAATTAAACTGCTATTATTTATGTATAGAATACACACAGAAATATTTCTGTTCCGATACAGAAATAAACGCCCCTAAAGAAAAGTCACAGATATTTGTCGATAATGCTCGTCACTTTTTAATAGGGGGAGTATTAACAGTTTGTTCCCATGAAACATGAAAATTACGCATCTTGATCCTATTGACAGTCAACATACAATTCTATTTGTAATTAGTGCAGTCACAGTTTCATACAACTGTACAGTAAGGAAATCAGATAATGTCAGAAGAGATATGTGAATTGTTAAGAGGATAAAAAATCTATACAAAGTCTGGGAATCCAGGTAATAAAGTAAACAATTGCCTAAAAATGTTGCCAATACTAAAAGATGTAAATAGATTATAACCTTGGTAGTAATTTTGAAAGGAAAATGGAATTGCTAACATCCTTGTGTGAGGTTTGTTATTAAGTTCAATTGTTACAAGGCTGAATTACATATGAATGTATTATGAAATAATACAATCATATATTATCTATAGCATCATGGTCTGGTGGTTACTACTCTGACTTATACTGAAAGGTCGTAAGTTTGATTATGATCAACATTAAAATATTTCATTATTAATCAAGCAAGTAAGATGCATGAAGGTATAAGGTACAAGATACATTTAATTTTTTTTTATTGACTACTAACTGCACTCGCGACTTCGTCCGCTTGAAATTTAACTTAATTTTTCTAAAATAAAAGTAGACTAAGTTACTTCTTATTACATCAGCTACCTGCCGATGAAAGTCCCGTCAAAATCGGTCCAGTCATTTCAGAGATTAGCCGGAACCAACAGACAGGTAGACAGACGAAAATTATAACTCAGGCTACTTTTATTTTAGAAAAATAAAGTTAATATCTATGTGAACAAAGTCGCGAGTATAGATAATTAATTACATAAATCTATGGCGCTATGTGAATTGTCTAAGAAAATAATATTATTATAATTATTGTATAATTAAAATACCAAATACATAAGAGTGTCATCTACTTCTTTAGTACACAGCACCATAAAGATATCATATATTTATATGATAAGGCAGTGTTATATACACATTTATTATGATAATTTTGTTATCTTATCAGTGTTTAGTAATATAAAAGTTATTAGCATAAGATTGAATATTAAACATGTTAATGTAATGAAAGAATAGATTTACATTAATATATTTATAGTTACACTGTATGGTGTTGTATCTGTACATTTTTTATGTCAATGTTTATTTATTTCTCACCATAATTTACTATTATTTACATAGAGGAACATGGAGTCTTTTGGAAGTGGCCTATGTCTCAGGACAACCTGACGAACCGAGGCAGAGAAGTAGCAATAAAAACAAACTTCATTATCAGTAAAAAGGCTATAAATAATAAAAATATAGGCATTCATAGATTACGAAAATGTTTACCATTACATAGGCCATATGCTTGTATGCATATGCCACCATTGTAAAAGAAAAAATTATACAATCTACCTTCAAATTTAATTAGGATCCCTAAAACTGTTTAGTCATGATTAATATACAGACAGACAGACATAAGTTTGCATTTATAATAATTACTGAAACCCGCAACTTACTCTGCATCTTTTTTTAGATAGAAGCCTATATCCATATTCTTGGTACAATTTATCTGAATGTTCACAATTTATCTTAATGTTCATTATTATTATTTATTTATTTGTTTTGTTTTAAGGTAACAAACAAACAGACAGACAAACTTTCGTATTTACAATTTATGTACTTATAGACAGTATTACATACAAGAAATATTGTTTATCTGACAGGATAGTTGTTCTAAAACCTAGAATGTTCTTCAATAATAGATGAACAATAACATAGGCACACATAAATTAGTCTAGGATCGATAACAAGACAATTATTAGAGGAAAAGTGAGTCACTGTATAAATTTCGATGTAGTTGATAGATGAAGTACCTCATTAGCATTGTTATTGATATGCAACTGTTTTGATACTAAATATACACTCCTTGTTATCATAAATTGTTTTGAACAAACCCATTAAACTAAAAGAGAAGTCACTAGAAAAATAATAAAACGAATGAAAAAAATTGGACTTACCTTTCGCATCGCAGTCAACGCAATATTTATTGTCCTCATCCTTTAACATCACCATTAATATGTTCTGACATCGATCCTGGATCTGTTTAGCACGATCTTTTTCACTTTTCGAAGTCATCTCTGTGAAGTATTATTTGAAAACGATAGAAAATTCAACAAAATGGGTGGAATGCTTGTTTGTTGAAGAAAAGAGAGAGACCATAGACAAAATTGACAGACATTGATGAGGTGTATTGTCATTGTTTTCTTTTCATTTTGTTTATGAAATTGAGACGTTAATCGGTATTTGGCGATAATTTCGAAAATGTGATATACAATACATTTAAACATTGTATTTAATAATATGATGAATATTAATCATATTAGGAAGTAAATTCTTTAGAAATAAGAAAATAATGTTTCAAATGTATTTTAAATATTATTTCATTCGATAGTATTCTTCATACCTACTTATTTAAAAAAATATCCTGCGCAATCCAATAACTGTGCACTAATAATATCAATAGAGGTAACCTATTAAAGTAAATTATTTACTTTTAATTTACAAATTTCAATTTAATTTCACCGTCACGGAGAAAGGTAAAAAGATTAAGCTGACACAGCCAAAAGACTGACTACGCAATTATAGTTCTAAATTAAAAAAATATGTACTGTCAGTCAATCTGTCAGTATATGATTACACAGCTGTGTGCTGTTTAGATATTTATGTCAAACGAAACAAAACAAATTATGGATAAGAAATACTTTCATATTGTTATTTAATTACATATTTCATTTACTACTGATGATATAAACTATACACATTCATATAATTATTTAAAAAGTTCTATTTTTTTCTTTTTATGACAGTTGTTGTAGTTTAACTTAATGAAAAGTTCATGAAACCTAAGAAAAATCAACACTTTGCAGCGTATTTTTTGTAAATTGATGTGCTTATGTGTTAACGTGGTATTTTTATTGTTAAACAATGGGCAATCAACTCGTGGGCGTTGCTCCATCACAAATATACCCGGTGGAACATTATTTAAGTGACCACGTAGATTTAAAATTTGATACAAGGTAATTCACTGTTGTAAGCAAATTCTTTGTCTTATTGTCAACATCAGCTTTTGTTTACCGTAAAATATCTGTATGTTATTTAAAAATGTAAACTTGTATTTTTAAGCTTGTTTTTTCCTCTTCTCTTCTTTTCTTAGGGGTATATGCCATAGCCTATGGCAATTTGACCATACAGCCTAGTTCTTTTTCACCATTATTATTTTTTTAGCCCATATATTTTTCAAATTTAATGGTAATATTATGGTACACACATCCATACTAAAGGTATATTCTGACAGGGTAGTGAAGATGATGATAATATTGTGGTAAATTTGTCAGTAATTAATCATGTGTGATGTCTATTCACTTATATCTTTTAAATTATGAAAAGATTTTACTGCAGTTTTCAGCTATAGATAGAGTGATCCAAGAGGAAGATTTATATGTATATAATACATACATGTATAGAATAAGCTATAAATTCAAAGATTTGTAATGCATCCATGTGAATTCAAGATTGGTTGCTAGTTCTTAATAAAACATACTGTTTATTTCTCTTATTAGCTTGGGATCTACAAGGTTTCTGAAAGTGGCACGAGCTCGGTCACAAGAGGGTCTTGTTGTGGTCAAAGTATTTGCAGTTCATGACCCATCATTGCCTCTTGCTGAACATAAGGAGAGAATACTAAAAATAAAGGAGCAACTTGCATCTGCATTCAATTGTCTGCCATTTCAAAGGGTTATTGTAAGTATTGGCTGATTATTAATGTTAAAATAAAATGATAAAAAAATGGCTGATGGCAGTTTACTTAAGTTATTTCGAAGTTGTAAATATTTCTTTAGCTTTAACAACTGATTTTTGCACTTTATTTTAATGTTTATTGTCTTGTAACAACTAGCAACAAAATATTACAACCCAAATGCAAGGTTAAATCTGAGGAGTCCATTTTACATTATAGCAATCTTCTAATAAACCAATTTATACAAATAGGTCATTATGGTATCCATGTAAGGATAACTTAAAAAACATTTAATTGTAACAGTTTCACTAGCTCTGTTTAGTTTGGGATTAGGCATTGTGATTGTCACAGGAAATTCATATTTTCCCTTATTATGTGTGTATGGGTGTACATGATAATGTTGATGCCTGTAATCTTCCTCGATAAATAGGATAAATAGGCTATCTGACATGAAAAACAATCATGAGTTCTTGAGATTAGTGTATTGAACTAAAAACAAACAATCTCTTCAGTCATAAATAAATGAATGATTACAGAGTAAGTTTTATTTTCAGCTCACTGACAAAGCAGGTTTATTAATGCGAGAGTACTGCAAATGCAGTGTTTATGATCGTATGTCCACCAGGCCGTTCCTAACAGTACTCGAGAAGAAGTGGATTACTTTCCAAGTGTTGTATGCTTTACATCGTATGCACAAGCTGGGAATATGCCATGGGGATATAAAGGTAGGTTTTTTACATCTTTACAACATACGTCTGTACATATGTCTGAGAATTGGCTACTATCTATATTTCATACCCCTAAGTGATAAGGGTTGTCCACCCCTATTTTATTTTTATTTTTGGACATTTTTTTTATTTTATTGTGTGGCATTAAAAACTACATACAACTCCAAATTGTCTACTATCAACCCCTATTTCTTAATGGCGATTTTAATTTATATGGCAAAACAATGCTTATGAGGTCAGCTAGTATAATTACAAAATTGTATATAGAAGAAAAAATGTACTCTGTGTGATTTAGACAATGATTATACAATTTCAATTTTTCAATAAACATTTACATATTTTTTTTTTCTCTTCAGCTTGAAAATATAATGGTAACATCCTGGTTATGGGTGCTATTAACTGATATCGCATCCTTCAAGCCCACGTTCTTGCCAGATGATAACCCGGCGGATTTCAGCTATTTCTTTGATACGTCACGAAGGAGACTGTGTTATGTTGCACCGGAAAGATTCGTTCGTGCTCCAGATCCCAATAACAGACCTGCGGTAAGTATATATGCCTTATAAGCTTCATCTATATCAGCCTTATCCTGTATTATACATATGCCGAACATAGAATAGTTCGGCATATTGTCAATTGTCGATGTCCAGTATAACAGTTGTAACGGTGTATTGAGATTTTTTTTTATAGTGATCCTATCAATATGTTTTTCTTTTTGTAGATGCAATGCTCCTACTTATTACTGGAAAGTTTTGTTCCATAAATCGTCCAAATTGTGATTATGTTCTACGAAAATGTTGCCATCATTTAATATGCCCCTTATTAATTTTATATAACGTTGAAATTTGTTCCTTTTATAGGGAGATGATAGAACTGGTGGTTTGTTGTTGAGCGAATCACCATGCAAAGTTGGTGAACTGGTGCCCAGTATGGATATATTTTCAGCTGGGTATGTATTTGTATATGTAGTTTTGTATTACCAAAAACTGACATATTTTCAAAATAAGCTTTCATTATTGAATTAATTATTTAATTTCATTCTTCATTTAAACATTGTTATCTTTAATTAATTAGTTTCATTCATTATTTGAACATTGTTATCTTACAATTTTTAGTGATATTATAAAAAGATTTCAGTTTTAACAAAAAGTGTATAAAACCGAATATTATTGGTAGCCAAAGGAATTGTTAATATCATTCAAATCAGTGGTGGAGCTATCACATATGCATATATAGTCAGGCATGCATATATAGAGACATAAATGCACACACAAACACAATTGATACCCCTTATTTGAATTGAGAAACGTTTGCCAACATTACTATTAATCAATCGGATTTTATCAACCGTTTTTATTTTGCAGATGTGCACTTTTAGAGCTCTGGAACGACGGTACACCTGCGTTAGACTTGCCAGGTCTACTAGCATACCGCAGCGGCGAAGACAGACCCTCTACCATGACGTTACCTGAAGGATCAGATCCACGCTTGCGTGATTTACTGCATTCTATGACAGAACGGAATCCTAAAGATCGGAGAACAGCTGAGTTGTACTTAGATGAAGCTCGTGGCAGGTGAGTGTAGATAAGATTCAAAGGATTTAGAGATATTCCTCTCAGCACATCTATTTCCGTATCGATTAAAATTTTGAAGAAATGAGTATACCTTCTGTACGGGAAACCGCACATGCCTGCAATATACAGTTGCTGACATATGCAATTTCATCGTTTCATTACTTTTCTTTAATACAATAAAATCAGCGTTCGAGTAGCATTCAAGCAAGGCGGTTTTATTTAACAAAACCCCTTTCTATCAATCAATCTAATCTAAATCTAATTTCTATCAAATCATCCCCCACATTATTTGATCCTTCGAGCCGGATATGAACCAGCGACGTGCTGATTAAAGACTGGCGACGTGCCTTTAATTTATTTTTCTGTATTCCCATTCCAGAAACAAGGTTTCCAATTACACAAAAATCGTTCCAATTATATAAAAAAATAAAACAAATCCGACAATAACACAATACCTATTGTTAATATTCATAAATAAAAAAAACATATTAGTCTAAAAAATGTGTTATCAATTATAGTTTTTGTAGATAATAACATTGATAACGAATTAAAAAAAAATTATACCTGCTTTCTTCCACAGTCTCTTTCCAGAATACTTCTACTCATTCCTCCAGTCGTACATGCTGATTTTCTCGGCCCAACCCATTCTGCCACCAGATGAAAAAATACTCCGCATCCACCAGGATATCAGGAATATCATCAAGATATTCACTCAGCCGTCGGACACCAAAAACTATCAAGATTTAGTGGACGAGACCACAGACAACCATACCACAGATACTATAGAGACATTAAGGAAAGATGGATTTAAAGTAATGACTCTAAATATGAGAGAATCTGAAGATGAAGACGAGAAAGTAAGTTAAAACAAATTAATTTATGCATTTTGTGATATTTGTGCGAATTCTAAATCTCATATGATGATGTCATGTGCATATAATAAATATGTAATTGATCACTGTCTGTACATAGAGGGTATATAAGAAAAACTGGCATTGGGTGACTTTATTAAACGGAATAGAAACCAAAACAATGATTTTTAGAATTTTTGTCTGTTTGTCTACGCATTTGGATCGCATTATCATAATAGAATCAATTTTAGTCGTAGGTTTAAAAGGACTTTTTATGATGCATCAACATGTTCCTTCACTACTCATGTTGCTCTCTCTGTCTAACCAAATTTGGTATTAGCCTCTTATATTATAATGGCGTCTGTGGTATGTACAGCTTTACTTCGCAGTATCGCGGTCGCGGGTTCTTTTTCTCGAATGATACAAACATTTGTATTCATAAGTATGGTTGTTTGTATTGATATGGCTGTTTTCTATGTATATATGTATTTTAAAAAATGTATTTAAGCATTTGTATTAGTTATCTAGAACCCATAACACAAGGACTGCCTAACTTGGGACTAGATTGCGGTGTTTCACATGGCGTAATTATTAAATTAATAATCATTTATTTATGCAGGACATTTTAACCACTTATGAATATAAATTACTACCGTCCAGTTCAGTATATACTAGACATCAACTGACTTTCTTTTTTTTTTTTAAGAGAAAGTTTATTTACATTGTGAACTTATATAGGTGCTATGTCTAACATTAAATGAAAATGCCGTGCATGAACAACAAATTGCCATGCACGCTTGTCATTCTAGTAATCGTTTAGTTGATAATTATTAACATAATTTTGTTTTCAGAACCCCGAAGGAAATACGGCTCAAGATAGTGAAGGTTTGATATTGATAACTTCATTGGTGACTTCTTGTATAAGAGGGCTGCATCATTGCACGTCCAAACTATACGCATTGGAGATTCTGCAGTTGCTGTGCGAGAATTCCACATCAGAGACGATACTGGATAGAATACTGCCCTATATCGTAAGTAGTTAGACATGTGTAATTGAAAATGTTTTATTAGTTGTTTGTGTATAAAGTCCATTTTCGATTGATCAATTGCTACGTTTATATGAGAAAGAAGAGATGTTGCCGTCTCTTTTTATCTCTGTTATTTGTAAAATGATTTTTTCCTATTGATCATCTAGTTCATAATTATGAACAGCTTTTAGTTTGGGTACTAAAGCAACTGATAATTTTAATAGTTTTATATATATAATATATTTAGAAAACATCCAGAGCGGAGAGTTATTGTTATTTTATAGATCTTAATCGCGTCTTCGAAAAATAAAAAGTGTGAAATGAAAAATAAAATTTCTAAAGAAAGGGAAGTGACGTGCTCTTGGTCGCGCGTGAAAGTATATGTCTTGTAAAGGTACTAATTAGAAAATACCTATACATACGCTGGTCTAATATATCTTTACATAGTATAAAATGAAGTCAGTCCGTTCGCTTATATCTGTTAAATTACGCAACGGATATTAAGGCAATTTTTAGTAATGGATAGTAATTCAAGAGAAAGGTTTATATGCATAATACATGTCCCTTGCGAATCCGGGGTGGGTAGCTAGTAATATATAAATAAAGACCTAAAATGCAGACCGCGAACAATGGAAAATAATAATTATTATTACCTAGTATAGAACAAAGTCGCGTTCGCTGTCTGTCCGTCCTTATGTATGCTTAAATCTTTGAAACTACACAACGAATGTTAAGCGTTTTTTTCTATAGATAGAGTGATTCAAGAGGAAGGTTTTTAGGTATAATACATGTACACTCGTGCTCAACCGGGGTGGGTACCTAGTTCAATATAAAATACTAATATGAAATAATTATGTATATTTAGGATATCCGTCCATATTGTATTAGTAAACAACATATATACTATGTTAGTAAATTACAATGTACATCCTTGTATTTCAATTCATATATCTACGTCCACGTCCAGATGCATTAGGTCCGCAGCTGTGCAATGACATCCAGTATCTCTGGAGTGGTCAATCCGACGTATTTGCTATAACGTTTACTATGCCGTTTGCAATCCCCCGTCATGACACCAGCGATGCAGTTCCTTTCAGCATCGTGACTTGAAAGCCATCTATACGCTGTTACAAGCATCTCGCTACAGAACCTAATAATGACGAAAAAACTTAAAGACAGCTAATGTGGTATTCGCCTCAGATCCACTTGTCGCACGACAAGGCGGCGCGCGTGCGTGCGGGCGGCGTGTGCGGCGCGGCGCGGGCGTGCCTGGCGGCGGCGGGGGCGGCGGGGGCGGCGGGCGCGGGGGGCGCGGGCGGCGGCCGGCCCCCGCCGCTGGCCTGCAACGTGTTCCCCGAGTACGTGCTGCCCGAGCTCGCGCCGCGGGCCGTCGACCCCGCGGTGCCCGTGCGGATCGCCTACGCAGACAACATAGGTGCGTGCTATAGGGCCCACACCCAAGTCTTACGTCCGACATTATTGCGGAGTTCTGTGCCACCAAGGAGCAGGACGTCGTCGACTGTGTGCGGACCAAAAGTGACCTGACATTGTGGGTGACGCAGCTGGAATCGAGTCATAACGCTTTAAAGCGTAATTCGGATTTTCACCGACATGTTGTCCACTTTCATGAAGGAGGAACACTGGCCGAAGAAGGTGATGTGTCAGCGCAACCATGCTTGCTCCTCTGTGCCGTAACCATAGAGACCATTTATATTTTATTATTATTCAGCCAACAACATAGATAGTCACGTTATCACGGCCCATTGACAAACATAATTCCCACCCTTCATAAAGAATTACTAATCGAAATGAGTGGTGTCTCGGCGCAAATCGTTTTTACAGTACCGTAACCACTGAGACAATTTATATTTTATATACTCCATACTTATATTAGTCTATAAGTATTCATAATATGGGCTATTAATCACCTGAACTAAATCACCTCTTGCCTGTCCAAATAACAAAAAACATTCATTACTTGTTACGGGTTTTATACTCATTAATAATTATTGGACTATGTTGCAGCAAAACTGGCAGAAACGGCGGTCAGATTCCTTGATCAGACACAAAACACGGTAGACAAGGAAGCAGCCAACATCAACTACGAAACTGAACTCTCCGCTTTACATGATATGGTAAATATTGCTTAATTGAATTATCAGCTTTTAGTAATAGGACTTAGAGAATTCAACTTTGAATCAGGCATGCAATATCCCTCATGGTAACTTTGACTATACTGGCCACGCTAGTATTGCTATTTATGTGAACTAGTGGTCTAAATTCAACTATAATAGAAAATACAATAAGATCTTTGATCCAGCAATATTAATAAAACAAAGCATATAGGTGTATGTGTGAAATATATGGTAAAGTGTGTAATAGTTTTTTTATAACGTATTTTATATTAATTTTTTTTTTTTAAATAATAGGATTCTGCAGTCCTACTCTATATAAACTATAAGTGTGTGAAATTTCCGCCTCTTACCTCTCCGTCCGCACAATTTTCGTTAAAAGGGGTACAGTTATTTCTTCACTTATTTAATATTATTATTACTATATAAAAAAAACGTAAAATACGTTCAATTTGCGTTGCAGGTCCGCGGTACTGTATCCTCTTTACTCACTGATTCACAAGCGGTCGTGAAACGAGCTCTCGTCGATAACGGAATAACTAAACTGTGCATATTCTTTGGGAAACAAAAAGGTTTGTACTGTCATTATAAATCTTATTAATATTATAAACGCGAAAGTTTGTGAGTATGGATGTTTGTTACTCTTTCACGGAAAACTACTGAACGGATTTTAATGAAACTTTACAGTAATATAAGTTTACATCAGAATAATATATACGCTATAAATGTGACACGGGTGAAACCGCGGCCACAGCTAGTCATCAATATATTCCTAACAATCCCTTCTCCCCACTAGAATATTATTTATTTATTCTTTTGCACACAAAATTGCATTCATTGTGGACTTAGTACCTGATGGCATTCTCTATCAGTCATTATTACTATCCTCATTACTAATTATCCCCTCCCCCACAGCCAACGACCTGATACTGTCACACATGGTCACCTTCCTGAATGATAAAGAAGAAGTGGCGCTACGAGGGTGTTTCTTCGAGCGAGTGGTGGGAGTTGCAGCTTACGTGGGCCAGCACGCGGCCCCTATACTCGTACCCTTACTGCAACAGGTAAGTACCTGCACGACTGTGCTTCATTTTTTTATACAACAAAGGTGGCAAACAAGCTTTCGGCCCATCTAGTCTAGTCTATGGACGACTGAGACACCAGGGGTGTGAATAATAATAATAATCTCAGAACAATTCACACAGCGCCATCTAGATCCAAGTTAAGCTAGCTAAAGCTTGTGTTATGGGTACTAGACTATTGATATATATACATAGATATCAGACCGATACAAACAATCATACTCATACAAATGTTTGTGCCGTGCGAAGAATCGAACCCGCGACCTTCGCACGTAAAGCGGTGAAAGCGGTGCATGCACGTTAACGACCCGTAAGAAACTTTAATATGTTCTTCTTGAAAAAACCTATGCTGTAGTTTCGTTAGAAAACCTTGACAGGTAGTTCATTCCGCAATCTAAGTGTAAGTGGGAGGAAATTCATTTATCTTACTAATGTTATAAACGCGGAAGTTTGTAAGTTTGGATGGTTGGATGTCTGTTACTCTTTCACATAAAACTACCGAATTTTAATGACTCAATCAACTTTACAATAATATTATTATTTCCAGGGTCTAACGGATCAGTCGGAGTGGATCATAGCGAAAGCGTTGCGGGCTACGAGCAGTCTGGCGGAATTAGGTCTGCTACCCAAACAGGCTCTATGTGATTTGGTGGCAGAAAGCGCGGTCTACCTTGCACATCCCAATTTATGGGTAAGTATCTATATCTATATCCAGCTATTTATATAAAAAAAATGTAACCTACTACTATAACTATTACTACTACTATAACCCAGGACAATTTATACAGCACCATTTATTCCTAAGCTAAGCAGAACTTGTATTATGTGTACCAGATAAGAGTTCCCGCGACTTCGTCCGCGTGGAGTTTAACTTTATTAGATAAGTGTTAAAATCGGATACTGACAGACAAAAATTAAAATATATTATTTTTTAATGTATTATATATATATATATATATATATAAATCATATATTCGCGTTCGCTTATATCTTTTAAATCACGCAACAGATTCTAAAGCTGTGTTCGGCAATAGATGATTGTGATAGAGTGATTCAAGAGGAAGGTTTAAATGTATAATACATGTGTGTTATAGTATAGAACCAGCCGAGAAATTGAAAAATATGATATGTATCCTAAACGGGTCGCTATTTGTATTTACAAATTCAAACGTTTGCACCTTTCGAGGAGTCGATCGGGCGACCATTGAGAGTAAAGCGGTGTGTAAACCGCTAGACACCGACGCCATTAAAAGTAATATTAATAAGTGGATCTTAATTTTAGATACGACACGAAGTTTGCGGGCTGGTGTCGTGCGTGGCGAGCTTGTTGAACCCCATCGATGTGAACTGCAAGATACTGCCGCTGGTGTGGCCACACCTCAAGCACAAACTCATACAAGTTAGTAGTAGTATGCTACCATATGGTAATTTTAAGTAGCTATGGCGTGGTCGAGTTGATTGAGTAGTCATGCTCACTAGAATATCTTGACATGTGGCGGCGTGGTGGGCCGGGTCATTGGGCTCCCTAAAATATAGTCGAGCGCAGTGATGGCTGGCTCATACGTCATACTCGTGAACAAGTGCTGCTGTAATCACAACGACTGATTTTATATTATTGTGTATTTAATATTTGACCCTAATAAATTAGTGCTAGTTGGTAGATTGTATTCACGTTTCGACTTAAAAATGAAAAGTTACAACGGGTATTTAAATGAGCAACACGCAAGCTTCTTGCTCATTCTTCTTGTGACAAGACAGCGTTCCGAATGAGCAGTAGATTAAAAAAATGTGATAACTATTCAAAAGCACTTAATTTTTTTTATTTATTTAAATAAATGGTTTTCTATTCTTCTTTCTTCTTTTATTATCCTAACCTGATAATAACGAGTCTTAAATAGAGTCACGTTCAGGTGGAGAGAGCTGAACTGGTGCTGGAGAGTCTCGCGGAGCCTATACCACGGAAGGTTCTGGATGCAGTGCTAAGACACGGCGACGTGGACCGACTGGTGCATACACTACGAGACAGACGGAATACCAGGCTCAAGGTTATTTTTATTTTATTTATTTACTAGCTGTACCCGCGACTTCGTCCGCATGGAATTTAACGTTATTTATCTAAAATAAAAGTAACCTATGTTTCTCTTTATTACATCAAATACCCGCCAAAAAAAGTCTCGTCAAAATCGGTCCCGCCATTTCAGAGATTAGCAGGAACAAATAGACAGACAGAAAAGTAGACAAAAATGGTAAAAAATGTTATTATTGTGTATGTACCGTATTTATATTCATATGCGTGTAGTAAAAAACGGTTATTTCAATATTATAAAGAGACACTCCAATTTTATTTATATGTATGGATAGATTTCAGGCTACTAATGGCCCATATTATAAATACTTTATAGACTGAAGAGAGAGTTGGTTTGTTTGAACGGACTAATCTCTGGAATTACTGGTCCGAATTGAAAAATTATTTTTGTGTTGGATAGTTCATCTGTCGAGGAAGGCTTTAAGCTATATAACATTACGCTATGACCAATAGAAGCGTCAGTGAATTAGAAAGTCATCAAATAAATCAAAATAATTCATGTAGGTCTATTACAGATAAGAAACTCAGCTCTTATCCTTTTCAAATGAGCTTGTACATGTTTACAAAAATCTCCGATCGATCACCCGTTCAATTTAAACGGGGATCGAAATTACGACGGCTTTAGCCGAGGTTCGAATCTAGTCCACTGGCTTCATAAGTCCCCGCACTCGCTCCCTATAGTTCGGTGCAGCTGTAAAGACTGGCTGCGGCCAACAGCATTAGAGTAGTCTGTAAAAGAAACAGATTTATTTTAAATTAAATTTTGGGAGAATAGAGTCATCACAGTATATATATATACTATTGAATTTTGTCAAAAGCAAATAGTCTAATCAGTGTCCGTAACACGAACAGACCAGTCCCCACAAACAGCACCCTTATAAATTATTTCTCTTTGTTAACAAACAAAAAAATTCTTCAAACTTAATTCTAACTTATTTACAATTTTGTGGTAAATAAATGAAATCAAAATAAACTCGAGTAATTCTGGGATAAAAGCTTATTCTGTATTAATTACAGGTCAAACAGGGTACAATGCCGCAGTATTCAGAAATGGGACAGCAATTGAGGAATCTGTTCAGGCGCCTCGCTTCAGATGGTACATCAACAATTTTTTTTGTAATATAACTGAAAGTCAGCACTGGAAAATATGTTTCCAAAGAAACTATATTTCCAGCATTATGTTGACTTGTGATTCACATTTACTCTGTTTCTTAATGTCTAAATTGTTGCTTGTATTTCTTCTGTCATTATTGTGTAAACCGAGTTTAAAAATAATTATAAAAAATCATACTGTGTTGGTTGTTGTGTGTTGCGAGTGCACCCAATAAGTTCTTCCGCGGGTTTGGAGTGCCATCTGCACTCGCCCCCTATCGTCCGGTGAATCTGTAAAGGCCAGCTGCGGCCAACAGTATTAGAGTAGTCCGAAAAAAAAGAAGTAAAAATTATAATGGATGATAATGGAATGGTGTATTCGTTAACAGTATATTAGTGGAAGATGATAGGGTGAGTATGAGGTCAGGTCAATAGGAATTCTACATTATGGTTTCCATGGGGAACCATGCTATATTGCTAGGAATGGGGTGACTAATCCATATTACTCAGGGAAGGGATGACTGACCTGACCTTATGCTTATCCTATCATCCTCCACTGGTGCCCTACAGCGCAGGCAGGTGCACCATTTCATTATCCATTATAAAAAAAAAACTAGGGCATCCCAACACTGTATTGATGTAATTTGTTTTTTTTTATTTTCATGTATAGATTCTCTGTTATATTATATACAGGTATGACGGAACATGTCGAAAACCAACTATTGGCAATGAGTGCCCATCTGATCAAGATCCAGGGCTCCTCTACTCAGGTACGAAATTCTTCTAATCAGTTATTCATTCATAGCATTCCATTTTTATTAATGAATTAAAATGGAATAGTTGACCTGCCTTCGCTAACGACATACGCTGGTGGCCCACCACCCGTTTCATAGATTAGCAAGAACAAACAGTTTTTTTTTATATAAGTACCATATATACTTTGATATGCATTTGGTGAAAAGCTACTGATTTATTTATTTGTATAGATTAATAAGTAAACTTATATATAAGGATGATGTAATTTTTTTGTTTCGTTGTTTATATAGCACATAACTGAGGCACCCGGTAGATTGGTACTCAAAAACAGGAGTATATCCCGCGCCGTGCCACTGGATACCGGCATTGCAGAGGCTGCATTCACAAGTGATAAATTATATGCCTCTCATACCAACAGGTAATCTATACAACGGTTTTGTTTTATTTAAGGGCAATGACAATTTTCTTTTTTTTTTAATCTATTCTAATATTGCAAATCGGTAAAATTTGTATATTTATTTATACGGTAATATCCGGTTCTGCTGATTCGATATTCAAAATCCTTTCACTGTTGGAATGTTATAATATATTATTCACGAGTGCTATTAGTTACCAATAAAAACGGAGTAGCAATGAAAGCTAAAGTTACGTAAAAAAATATATTTATGACACTGCAATCATTTGTACTCTTAAGTATCATTGTTTAGTGTTTTTTTTTATTAATAATGGGATTGCGCTTGGTCTTTCCTCATCTGATGGTAAATGATGGCAAGACCTAGGATGTAGCAACCTAGTAAACCTAGGTTTAAGTGTTTTCTATATATATTGGTATGTATTTACAAAAAAAATATGTAATTAAGTATTTCTATCAGTAGTCTAGTACCGTAGCATAAGCTTTGCTTACCGTGGAGGACGTATTGTAATTAGGAATTTATTATGGTTATGTTTGACATTCAGTAAGATTGTAGACAAATAATATTAAAGGCAAAAAATATTAATGTATTCTAATTTGACCACAGACCTTAACAATAAGAAATAGAGTATAAATACGTGTGTGTGTGAATGTTTTTTTGTTATTGATTTAATATATTGTTTAGGCATAATCATAAAAAATATATTAGCATTCTGCACTATTCACGTGCGAAATTTGATACTCCTTTTTGCTTCTCGTATACATTACAAATAGAATGCATAGATTATAAATGCAGTAATATTTTCTCATGTTCTTGTAGACGGATGCTGAAGTCATCAGGACCTCTTGAAACACACATGAACACGGAGTGGCAGCATATGTTTGGACAGTCGCAAGATCAGCACAGTATGAGGGGTACGCTAAACAAAATTTCATTATTAGAAAGCCAGTCCAATGAGTAAAGAAATATATATTTTGTTCCCTGGATAGAAATGCTGGGATTGGTACATTCAATAGCACTAATATTGGGCTACTCGAAAAATACTTCAATAGACCATTGCTATTGAGTAAAAACAACATATGCATCATGACTAGGGCACTCACAGGACAAACATTTGGCAAACTTAGGCCAACAGATGCACAAAATAATCTGCAGATTTTGCCAAACTGAAGAGGAAAACCAACACATCCTTTATGGTTGTGGCCCACTCATGTATAAATGTAATATCTCCTTTGGAAAGTTTACACTATATCCTGAGGAGATAAAAACCGTCGCTCCTATGAATATCCTTCAATTCTTGTCTCTGACGGGTCTAGGCAGATATTATATTATTATTATATTAATATACAATATCAAGGGGACCTTTGGGGACCATTGTCGTTGGTTCATAGTGAAATTTATACAATAGACCCACTGACATAGTCATCCTATCATCTACCACCGGTGCCCCGCCGGCGTATACCGTCAGTGCAGGCGGGATCATAATCGCATTATTAGCCATTTAAATAACTATCACACGTGCTTGCTTGCTGATGTATCACATTGTCCCCAGCAGCGTCGTCGGAAGCGATGGGCCAGTCGCAGATGGGGGTCTCGGGAAGCGTGGGGATCACGGGGGTTACAGTGGGGAGTCTCTCGGGGCAGCCCGCACCCCCCTCTCACTCGCAGCTCGTACAGAGTGCCACCTACGTGCAATGTAAGTATAATCATAATAATAATATCAATATTTATTTATTCCATAACTATGTATAACTATGTATTTTTTAAATGAATGCAATATATCCTGTGTTGATTCGTACTCATTTTTTCTGTTATGGAAATAATTTTAAATAATTTGTATTAATTTACTGAAGGAAATGTCTAAAAAAATCAGTTCAAATACTAGACCTGCAAAGGCCAACAAACTTCAGACCTTCGTTGCTTATAAAATATTTTTATCAGATATTTTTGTATCAATGAATATATTTTCAATAAGTCTTATATTTTCAGACAGCATGGCCCCATGCCGTATGGAGCTGAGGAATCTAACAGCAAGAATGCAACAGAAGTACCAGAAGTCATTAAGGTGAGTTCTTGCTATATACTGTCCAACTTTGGACACAATCCACTCAATTGACTAACAATGTTTAAAAACAGTGTCAGAAATATAAGTGTGAAGGAAGGAGATAAAGACAAGGCGAGCAAAGAAAAACGATACCGGTATAATCGTAAAATATTTTAATTACTTACACACTATGTGTCACATATGTAAAAAAAATTAATGTTATAAAAACATAGAAATAATAAAAAAGGTATAAAAAGTAGTCCACCACAATGAGGTAGATGTAATTCTTACAAATTTTACTAGATGGCGTTGTTATAAAAGGGAACAAATGTCTTTGTTTTTAAAGTATTATAATGATCTGTTGGCTCCAGCTGGTCTGAACTCTGAACAGCTCACCGTATATAAAGGTGAGTGCAGAGGGCACTCCAAACCCTTAATTTCAGTTCCCGTTGAATTGGTATATGAATAATTACTAACATTTGTAAAATAATGATGTGCTTGTTGCAGAAGTCATAAAGACCCGTCAGACAGTAGTGAAGATGTCGTGCCGCCCGCGTCGTGGAGGCCTGGGAACCAACTACTGGCTTACTTACATGAACACAAGTAAATTACACTAACATTTTTTATGTAATTGTGATAAAGAAGCTGATTTGAAATATATTTTAGTACTGGTTGTCTCTACGTCTTAGTCCGCGTGTATATTTTAGACGTCATCTTTTGACGATAATTAGACGAAAACTATAATGAAGCATTCCCTCAATCAAATTAAATACAAATTACTTTATTCACAACGCTATCACAATCACAATTTATTATTTTATTAATAAATTAATTAATTGTAGTTGGTGGCGTACTTAAAATTAATAAGAAAAAAATACTAATTTACCTCTTAAATACTCCAATTTTTCTAATATTTCAATAACCCATTGCCCACATTTAACTATATATTTTGTAAGAGTACGTAGTAATTTCTCCAGACGTTTTTAAATGAAACCTTAACCTTATATGTAAATAACTGAAGATAATGTTTAAAATTTACTCTTCATACTATAGACCGTATTCAAATATGATTTTTTACGAGAATACTATAGAATAGGAATTAACCGCGATGGTTTTCAGTGGGAGCCTTGTGTTATTATGGAAGAATACTTTGAAGTCACCAAACATCTTGTTTTGTAAACTGTATATCGGTGCTTCTTTGACATTCAGTTCATTAAAAAAAAATCACAAGATGGCCGAAATTTCGATTGTAAATTTGAATGCATATTTCAGGGCGAGAGTGAACCAGTTAGTGACACTGCCGGCGCACAGGAACCTGTTCGGTTCGTGCTCCGATGACGGTTCTGTGCGATTATGGGATGCAGCACGATTGCAGGGACATGCGTACATCAACAAGTTAGTTTTTTTTATTACTCATTTTATACGTAACTGGATAAAATTAATCTACATATATGAATAAATACTTTTTTAATTTTGGAACTATTAAATTGAGTAGAATGTACCACATTCTATTAAGACAATAAACAGTATGTTTTAATGCATTATTAATTAATGTGTATATTAGTACCTATATATAAATGCAGATCAATGTTGTTGTTTAGAATAAAAAGGTATTCCAGATAAAAGTATAGTCGAGTTTTAATTTATTTTTCAACCTATTCATTCCTATTACAAGATATAGTGACGGACTTTCACATTCTACACCGAATATTATATATATATATTTCTAATTCAAAATCAAATCAAATCAATGAATGTACAGATCTAAGTCGATGTATAACCGCGCGGCTGGTCCTGTAGTAGCTCTAGCGGCCTGCGAGGGAGGACATTCTCTGGTCGCCGCTACACAAGAAGGATCTATCTTCGTACTCAGGTAAACAATTATTTTTTAAAGTTAATTACTGGCATTTCTAGCTCCGTTACATCGGCTCTACCGGTCGTTCTATTCAAACTGGGATTGAAATTGATAGTGTATTAGTGTGTGTTTGTATATACAAAAAAATGTATTGAAGTATTTTTACCAGCTATTTAGTATCCATAGTACAAGCTATGCTGGGGGACGGGGATTACATGGAGATCGACCTGACTTGGTACATTCAACGCGCTCCACGTGGTCACCCTGGAAACTATCGTTGCTAATTAGTGAACTTTTCACGATGCGACAACTGATCTGACTTCATACTCTTGTCATCCTACTCTGGTGCCTCTCCAGCGTACACAGTTAACTCAGGTGGATACACCATATCATTATCGTACATAAAAAAGTACAAGTTCTGCTTAGTTTGGGACTAGATGGCGCTGTAATTTGTTCAGGGTTATTATTATAGCCCATTAAGGATAAATAAAACAAAACATATTAATAATAATATTAAATTCATTTATTGACAATAACAGTATAGTTACATAGTTACACATTTATACATATTTAATATGATTGGCATTAATATGATTACAAACTCAGCTATTGCTGGACTGATGGGCGCCCACCGCTGGTTTTCAGTTTGTACCTTATCACACGTGCTAGATAACCATACCACAACATAATGAAATAAAAATTTAACAAATTAATACATAAATAATAACATCCATATGGATATACACACGTGACATGCATGCAATGCATGTGTATCTACAACAAAAAAAATCACATTTTATGTCGAGATTTGTCGCCGCTATCCAAGGGCTGTCTCTGTCTATCTAATATAATTTTCCTTAAAGAATTTTTAAATTTTAGCGGTAACATGTACATAGAAAAGTTTATAATAGTTTATATAAAAACTTGCATGCACCGACCGTCCATAGTACGTTCATATCCACTGGGACAGCTTTCCACACTTGTTTTTTTAAATCTCCCACTCCCAGAGTTACTATGTCCCACCTTATTCTTGTCTATGCTCCCACCTTTTACTATGCGATTATTTGCAACTTTTAAACTAAGTTTAGATGTATTGTCCTGCGTTTTCTCATTTGTTTTTAATTTGGTATTTAAAACTGTATCACTTTTAACACTTTCTGTTATGAGAAGAATGGAAAATGTAATAATAAATATGATACAATAATTCATTGCGTAAACAGCGTTTATGCGTGTTAATTTAAGACTGCTATTTCAGAAGTGATTATATATTTATATGTACAACGATAAGTGTGATAAACTATTGACTTTTCAAGCTGCTTATTATTAAATATATATAACTTAAAGGTGACTGATATAGTGATCTATCAACGCACAGCCCAAACCACTGGACGGATCGGGCTGAAATTTGCCATGCAGGTAGATGTTATGACGTAGGCATCCGCTAAGAAAGGATTTTGATGAATTCTACCCCCACAGGGATAAAATAGGGGATGAAAGTTTATATGAAACTTTGTCTATTTTAAACCGATCGGGCTGAGACTTTGCATGTACCAAGCTACTATGACGTATCTCCTATGAAAGAATTTTGATAACATCCACCCCTAAGGTAGTACCATATAAACTTACAGCTAATTACCAGCACATTTATATTATAAAACTATTATACTTAACTATATGAAGACAGGTACATTCTTACTATAATTATTATAAAAGGCTTCTTTTATACACGTCAGGATCTTGGGCCTTACTCAAAAATAAATTTAATAGATGCAATGCTGGAACAGTGGGACAATTACTCAAGTACTATTTATTTTTTTATACTACGTAGGTGGTGTTGTAAATAAAAAATAACAGTTCGGAGACGTTCGAACCCCACCGCTGTCACCATGTTGCATGCATGTAAACACGAGTGGAAACACTTCCCATGCCATTGGCGCTGCCACTTGCGCTGCCCGGCGCTCCTTCGATTGTCGGTTTTTCGTGCGCGGGTCAAAGGACTGGCAGTGCGAGTGGCAGCGTGTTTTTACATTCAGCCCTGTCGCTCAAGTTGTCGCCCGGCAATATTTCCGGCAGCGCGAATGGCAGTGGAAGCGGCTGAATGTAAACGTAGCATAAACAACAGGTGGCAAACAAGCATACGACCTATCTGTTTGTAAAAAAAGGAATTATTTTATTTTTTTCACGTACTACTTATTCTAATGCTGTTGACTTCAGCTAGCCTTCACAGCTTAGCCGGACGATAAACGGCGAGTGCAGATTAGCCTCCAAACACGCGCAGACATGGTGCGGCTGAATTCCCGCTTGACGGATACGTATTTAGTCTTAAGGACCGCTATAGGTTCGAACCTCAGCTCAGTCCGTCGTAATTTCGATCCCCGTTTGAATTGGATGAAGGATCGATCGGAGGGGAATTATTTTGCTCACTGGTGGTTTTTTGTTGTATATGTAGACAAGAGAGCGGTTCGTCTCGCATGACGCTGTCTCAGTGCCGGCAGCTGGAGAGCGGCGCTGAGGGAGGATGCGTGGCGGTGGCGTGCGCGGGGGGCGTGCACTCCGGCGTCATATCGTACGCTACGCTACTCGCCACCGTCGTCGGATGGGACTTACGAGCGCCAGGTATGAAGTCTTTTCTTACCTATAAAGTATATTCTTTCACCCAGGAAAGAATGAGCGTGTAAATGTATACCAAGAGAGCAAGGCAGCTCTCGCATTTCCGCGTCCTTCAATTGTATTTTAGCGCCATTTTGTAGGGGTGCGTTGGTAGCATCATATCGTACGCTACGTCTTTTCGCTCGCCTTCGTCGGCTGGGACTTGCAAGCGCCAGGTATGAAGACACTTTAGTTACCTATACACGTCACGTACGTTCTTTCACGCAGGAAACAATGAGCATGTGGACAAACAGAGCAGAATGCGCTAGCCGCAAGCTTGCGCGTTCCCGCGTCTTTCGATTGTGTTTTAGCGTTACAGTGTTTCAGGAAAGAATGAGCGTGTAAATGTAGACCAAATGAGCATAATGTCTTACACATTCTTGTGTCCTTCAATTGTATATGATATGTCCTAATATATATATTTTCCAACTTAATAATATACTAAGCAACTAAAGTTCTGTTTTTATTTTCATCTATTGAAAGGTAACGCGTGGAAGCTGCAAGGTGATCTTAAGCAGGGTGTGTACACGTGCCTATACGCAAATAGTTCCGGATATCTGGCGGTCGGCACCTCCAACGGCGCCATATCAGTTTGGGACCTCAGGTTTCAACTGCCCATCACCTCTGTCAAACATCCAAATTGTAAGTACAAATAGATGTACTAGAGTTGGAATAAAAGATCTTTCAGTTTGCGTATTTCCATACAAACTTTCATCCCCTATTTTATATTACCTAAGGGTGGTAACATTTTTACAAACTTTTAATATTATATTTATTGATATTTAATTAATAGTCTAAAAATAAGTTTCAAGCTTTTAGCTTTAAAAGTGTCGATACTTCCATACAACCTTTCATTTCCGTTTCAACCCACTGCAACCTATAAATAGCTTTTTAATGAAAAAGGCATTAAAATGCGATTTTAACCTATATCCTTTCTCAATGTTCTATATCTCTTCTCAACTCGTGTCGAGTCCAATTTCTGTAATTCGAGGACTCGAGTATCTAAAGTATTTATATCAGTCGTCTACTAACCATAACACAAATTCTGTTTACCGTGGGACTAGATGATGGGATGACTAATTGTCTAGGGTTATTAATTATTTAATGTATTAAATGAAATGTGCCATGCCTTGTAGCGGAGCGCGTGCGGCGCATGGTGGGGTGCGGGCGCGGATCGTCGCGCGTGTGGGCGGCCGGAGCGCGCGACGCCGCCGCCTGGTGCCTCGAGTCCACGCAGCGCACGCACGCGCTGTGGGCCTCCACAGACTCGCCGCAGCCGCTGCACTACTCGCAGCCCGTGAGTACACCCACCTCGCCACACGCGCTGTGGGCCTCCACAGACTCGCCGCAGCCGCTGCACTACTCGCAGCCCGTGAGTACACCCACCTCGCCACACGCGCTGTGGGCCTCCACAGACTCGCCGCAGCCGCTGCACTACTCGCAGCCCGTGAGTACACCCACCTCGCCACACGCGCTGTGGGCCTCCACAGACTCGCCGCAGCCGCTGCACTACTCGCAGCCCGTGAGTACACCCACCTCGCCACACGCGCTGTGGGCCTCCACAGACTCGCCGCAGCCGCTGCACTACTCGCAGCCCGTGAGTACACCCACCTCGCCACACGCGCTGTGGGCCTCCACAGACTCGCCGCAGCCGCTGCACTACTCGCAGCCCGTGAGTACACCCACCTCGCCACACGCGCTGTGGGCCTCCACAGACTCGCCGCAGCCGCTGCACTACTCGCAGCCCGTGAGTACACCCACCTCGCCACACGCGCTGTGGGCCTCCACAGACTCGCCGCAGCCGCTGCACTACTCGCAGCCCGTGAGTACACCCACCTCGCCACACGCGCTGTGGGCCTCCACAGACTCGCCGCAGCCGCTGCACTACTCGCAGCCCGTGAGTACACCCACCTCGCCACACGCGCTGTGGGCCTCCACAGACTCGCCGCAGCCGCTGCACTACTCGCAGCCCGTGAGTACACCCACCTCGCCACACGCGCTGTGGGCCTCCACAGACTCGCCGCAGCCGCTGCACTACTCGCAGCCCGTGAGTACACCCACCTCGCCACACGCGCTGTGGGCCTCCACAGACTCGCCGCAGCCGCTGCACTACTCGCAGCCCGTGAGTACACCCACCTCGCCACACGCGCTGTGGGCGGCCGTGAGTAGTTCGACACGCACATACGTGCGAATAACACTGACAAAAATATACTGTAGAACTGCAATATATTACCACAGATAACATAATATTACATACAGATACCCCATCCCATACAAGAAAATGGTTCCTTCCTAACTCGGGCTATTCTTCGGGCTATTTTATTTCGCCGCCGTAGCCGCTAGATGTCTCTAGATCTGAAGCAGTTCGGATTACTAGTGGGTGCTTAGTAACAAAGCACGAAAATAGATGGCAGTCAATTCAGTCTACATGACATCTGTTTTGCAAAGATAGGTATATACAAGATATGTAGGTAACTGAATCGTGTACCTCATTAGGGACGATTCAAGATTCAATGTAAATGTGTAGGTATAATATCGTTAGCCGACACCCTGCAGATATGGCTTATGTGCCAATGTATATATTATGTTATAGTTTATTCTACATTCCACGCCTATTTTTTTCTCTCGACGAAGATATGTTGTAACGCGTCTGCGCTATACGTATAGCCCGATTTTGATACGTTTATACTCGTACGTATCAAAATCGGGCTATATGATTTTTTATTTCAATCGTTATGTGTAAGAGACTGGTTTTAGCTACAATGAATTTACTGGTATATACCTCATGTATTCTACGATGTACCCCTCTTTTCCCTAATGAGAATTCCCTATATCTTATATATAAACTTCGTATCACAGTGTTAGTTGCCATATTTCTCCCACATTTTGATGAAATTTGATATGTATACTTGCTAGGTCTGAGGTAGGGTTGTTATCTATTTTTTATACCCCTAAGTCATAGGGGTGGCCTACCCTGAATTTTTTTTTTGTATTATGGCCAATTTTTTATTTATTTATAATGTTACATACACGCCTAAATTTTGGCCCGTCTTTCACCAACCCCTATTTTTAATAGCGATATTCTTACAAATATTATAAATGCTAAAGTAACTCAGTCTGTCTGTTTGTCTCGCTTTCACGCCAAAACTACTGAACTTATTTAATTGAAATTTGGTACACAGTTAATGTAGACCGAGAGAAAGGCTACTTTTTAATGCGAAAAAGGGTTGAAAGGGGAAATGAAAGGCTATATGAAAATATCGTCATTTTTAAAGTCAGATCTTGTAAGCTAAAGCTTTAATTTATAATCTTATAATTTAATTAAAAATATTTTTTAGGCTGCTGACTAAATATAAATAAATATGACATTCTAAGTATGTAAAATGTTATCCTTAAGAGGGTAAAATGAAATATAAGATGAAAGTTGAAGATGATGAAAAAATTCGTCATTTTCAAAACTAGTACGATGAAACTTTTGTCTTTGGATTTTTCGAGTTACATTATTAAATATTTATTATTTATTTGATAAAGGTCACTATTCCACACGGACGAAGTCGCGGGTACAGCTAGTAATTTATAAAGCAAAACAAGGTTTGCCGGGTCAGTTAATTTATATCTATAATGAAATGAAATTCGGTTTCAAAAGAAGGAATATTAATTAAGCTAAATAGCTTAAAACTTCAATCCTAGATGAAGTGAACAGGGTCGATCTAGGTTTTTCATTACTATTATAGAAATGTATAACGGGGGAACACGTTACTTAGTACGAAATTATGTATATTACAATAAAACTTAACGAGAAAATATTATAATGATGTCACTGGAACACTATTGCTTTACTACTATACCGTCCATTAGTCGCGAATTTTCTGGATGCGCGAGAGGCGCGCTCCTATTGGTCGGTCGGTGCGGTTACCGCACGACGCGCATGCGCTGTACGCTTAGATGAGTCTCACGGCACGGGCGTAAGTACTTACTATGTAATATGTATACATATGGGTGTCACAAATTTTTTATTACAAGTAATATTACTCTATTATCTAAGCCAGTAATGTGTGCTTATTTTGAACTTGATAATATTCAGAATTACTTGTATACATAACTTTCGATATCTACAATAATAATATCTTTGATGTATGAAAGAAATGTATGTACCTACATAAAAAGTTCATTTTTGAAATGTATGAAAGAAATGTATGTACCTACATTAAAAGATAATTTTTGACCTGTATGAAATGTATGAAAGAAATGTATGTACCTACATTAAAAGATAATTTTTGACATGTATGAAATGTATGAAAGAAATGTATGAACCTACATTAAAATATAATTTTTTAAATGTATGAGATGTATGAAAGAAATGTATGTACCTACATAAAAAGTTCATTTTTGAAATGTATGAGATGTATGAAAGAAATGTATGTACCTACATTAAAATAAAATTTTTGAAATGTATAAGATGTATGAATGAAATGTATGTACCTACATTAAAAGATAATTTTTGACATGTATGAATTGTATGAAAGAAATGTATGTACCTACATTAAAAGATAATTTTTGACATGTATGAAATGTATGAAAGAAATGTATGTACCTACATTAAAATATAATTTTTGAAATGTATGCACCGTACAATAACAATACACGTTAAACATTATACCACAGAGTCATACGCATGTTAAAAACAAACTGCTATGATATTAATGAGAAAGGAAAATCAACTTTATGGTATTCGAGTTAGGGTCGATATCTCTCTTTTTTTTAAATACTATTTTAATCTTACCAGTTGCCAGTATTCGAAGACAACTACGATTCGTACTCTATTTTAAATTATTATGTAATCGATTTTTCAGTACAAATGTAAATAACCAACGACACTAATAATGTACTACTATATTCCGTTCTTTGAAACGGAACACTGCTATAATACAAAATAATGAAAATTTACTGTTCACAACGACTCATTAAAAGCATCATCGAATAATACGCTGTAATAAAATCCTGTTATCGATTATTCAAAAAAATCGATAATACATGTATTTATTTTTAATATGACAACACTTCATACATAAGTATTATTGGAAATAGTATTACTTGCTTGTTCGGCTATTTTTAATTTACTTAAAAAATTTTTATATGTTTAATTTACAATAATAAGATATTAAGTACTTATTATTGGAAAATATAAAAAAGACATTTAATTAGGCCGATACAAATGACAACAATGCCATCTATGAAAGCATTTTGAAAACATTGAGCCCCGTATTAGCACAGATTAAATTAATTAAGTACTGGAAAATAACAAAATGAGTAAATATATGAAAATTACTTTTCTAAACGCATTATTACATTTTAACATGTATATATAACTTTTTAAAAATTGATTAAACATTTTTGTAAACACAGTTTTGTTTTTTAAAACGTTTGCAAAACTATGAAGAATTCCATCGATACCAATCACGCCATCTATATGCAACTTTTAGCAATAATAATGGCTACTTCCTCACGGATTGCCACTGATATTACTATGAATACTGAAGTATAAAATATAACAAATAATGATTTGCTGACGCTAACAGACAGGATATGACTCCTTACATTAAAAGTGTCTGTGTAAAGAGTAGAAGTTTCTTATCTTATTTTTAAAACTCCGGTGTGAATTGTCAGGCGTCTCACTACACGAGTGCAGCGTACTACGGCTCTCGCGATGGGAGCCGGTTCCTCATCACGGGCGGGTCCGACCAGCGCATCCGACACTGGGACCTGGAGCATCCGGAGGATTCCTACATTCTGGTGTACGCGCCCGCCGATCATCTAAAACACACGCCCAACGGGATCAAGTACAGGTATATATTTCTGCACTTTATGTGCGTTACTTGTACATAATTAGACTGACCATAAATACTGTTACAAAAAAAAAAAAAATTTTCAACTTTTAATTATTTTGAATTTGAAATACGTATATTATTTTAAAAACTTTTGGATTTGCGCCATTTTGTGAATAGTTAGTTAAAGAAAATAGATTTATTCCATTCATTCATAACTTAAGAGCCATGCTCTTGGTTTGAGCTCTTGCCACTTTCCACAATCATGCTCTTTATTATATTTATTTCAGGCAACTTAATATTATTTCTAGTTAACAAATTATGTGTATATGTTACAGGAGTCGTATTATAGATGGCACAACTGTTATACAAGAGTACTGCAAGACGAGCCCCAACTCACCGCCGTCCTTAATCGAAGACAACGTGTACCGGAGTGTAGAGTCACGATCGTTCTACCACACTGCGCCCATAACCGACGTCACCATGGTGGAAGGTGGGAAGCATTATCTAGTCAGCTCATCTGCGGATGGGATCATTAATGTTTGGAAATGAATTTGTTAATGTATGAAGTTTCTTGGTCTACTGGTTTAGGTTTACACCGCTGATTGCAGGTTACATTCTTGTACATTATTTTGTGTTAGCTGTGTTACTAAAGAAAATCAGATATATTTAGATCTATTTCAAATTCATTCATGTAGGTCTATTACAGACTCTTATGATTTGTTAAATCTACCGTCAGTTTGGAATGATTTCGAGATGAGAATAACTGACAAGAAACTCAGCTCGTATTCTTTTGAAATAAACGTTGTACATGTTTACAATAATACAGATTAATTTTAAATTCAAATTTGGAATTTCCCACTGTATATACATATATATATATATATATTTAAATTAGCTGTGTCCACGATTTCGCCTGCGTGAAATTAGCCTATGTGTTATTCTGATGTATAAACTATATATATGTAAAGTGTCATTATAATCCATTAGGTAGTTTTTGCGTGAAGTTACAAACATCCATCCATCCATACTCCAATTCAACAAACTTCCGCAATTATAATATTAATAAGATTCGTTGTATTACTCTAGTTGTTTTCTATGTTGTTGTTATTATTATTATACAAGAAAAGCCCAAGGTCATCCCATTAAAAAGTTACAGTAAAAGTTGTCGCTAAGTAAAAACAATTTTCTTTATGATTGGGTTATCAGTGTCGATAAATGTAAATTAATATCATGAGTCCTTTCTAAAATAAAGTGCTGTGACACACAGACAAATAGATACACGGTTATATATTTGGTTTGATTTAATCGTATAGAAAATTTAATGAACAAAACGTTCTCTTATATTAATTATACGCTGATGGCTTATTTCATATGCGCATATGATTAAAAATATATTCAGAAAATTCATGAATGATATGAGATGTAAAAATTGACCCCTTTTAATTTTTATTTTGTATAATAATGAGTCATCATTAGGACATAGTTTATTATTAATAATATTAAAATCTGAACTATCAAGAGTCGACTCTATTTCATTTAAAACTTATACCAACTCTGTTTACTCGGTGATCCATCGCTGTCAGGTCTTTTTTTTTATTTTTGTAATTTACGACTCTGGAAAAAAGTCCTTTTGAGCCCAACTTCAACAAGTACATGTAGGTACTTGTTGGAGTTGGGCTCTATAAACTATGAGTTTACTAGAAGTTTTACAATACAGCATAGCTTAGTGTTGTTAGTAATTATGCATTAAAATATTAGAATTGTGAATATATTGTATTAAACTATATTAAACATAATTGTGTATTTTTGTAATAGATGATAGATCGAAATGTAATAGAGGAAATTATAACTTTTTGTTTTATTCTAAGTATATGGGATTGATTCTATGGTGCTTAATAAGAATATAATATCCATGTTTATGTAAATGTATTGCGTGTTCACAATAATACCCCCGAGTCCCCGCACATTTCAGCCGGTGTTACCATATGTCAATGTCATGGTATTGAGTTATTGTTTATAAACACTAACATTTGTGTAAACCTGTTAGATCACAAGTTTACAGAAACTTTTTTAAAACAATGACGGAGTATTTTTTTTCTGTGTACATTAGTGATGTAGGTTGTTAGCACACACTGGCACTGGCACACATGCACATAAGTGCGTTAGTGTTGCTACACGCTAGAGGAGCCTAATTTAATTATAATTTTTGGAGCATCATCTCCAGTTCTTACCTCGCTGATCATTGGGATAGATTTAGGATTTTATTTTAAGATTACTTCTTCCTGGTATATTGTTTCACCCTATTCACAGTTGGTTGATTCTGTAGTAAATTATTACAAATGAATTGGAATATGTACTTTTTAAAGTTATGAAGTATATTTACTCTACTAGAAAAGATGCAGCAAATTTGTGTCTATATGTTGATCTATCTAGTTTAAAATTATGAAATTAGTAGTCCAGCCAATTTTCTGTGTAACAAAAAAGACTAATCGACAAACAGATGTCAAGTCATCAGTTCAATTCCTCATGTACTATGACTACTAGTACTACTAAGTAGTAATGTACTACTTAGTACATTTTAAAAAATTTAAATGTACTAAGGATATTATATATAGATATAGATAGTAATTTCGTTTTCGCTATGATTATATGCTAACATGTTATTATATGCATTAATGGTATATGTAGTTAAATATAAAAGACAGTTTATATAAATGTAAAACGACTGAAGTTCCTGTAAATAAAGTATTTAATTTTCAATGTTTTTAAAATAATTTTAGCTGTATATATACATAGTCCGTAATTGTTATGAATCTATTTTTAATAATAAAACAATTACAGAATTCTGTGATTTTATTTTTATAAAACTATATTGGACCATGATTTTTTTACTGATGTATCAGCATAAGTCAAACTTAAATTTAACAATTCATTTAAAGCTAGAAACGTAATGTAATTCAATTCATCAAATATATTTTAAAATATAGTTTCTCATAAAAATAATTCATTATAAACTTTTAAATAACATTAAATACAAGAGTAAAAGAGAATTGATAATAAACCTGTTTTTAGACTTAATTTTATAAAACATTTATTTACATATAGATATTCTATAGTTTCAGAGGAATGTCCTCTTGTGAACACTCAATTTGTGGAATGAGTTAAGAACACTAACACACTAAAATTAAAATGCAAAGAAATTTATATATTTCACAACTGCAAAAAGAATAACAAACTTGCAAGGAAATGTGTATGTTAGACTGTAGTGAAAGCAAGCTAAGTAACACAACCTTTAGTTTTCATTTTGGAAGGACCTATATACATTCCCCTTTGTCTTTAACTGTGGTATATACAAATACAAATATACTTAGTACCGTCATTGTATTAAATTGTATTAAAGATGAAGTTATAGAAAAAGCCTAAATTTCCTATACAACCATTTTACAGATCCTTCTCATCATTCCTGAGTGTTGTGACAGCCCTGCAGAATTACTTTATCACTGATTATGTCCCTTCATTTGTGTTGGTCCTTTCAATAAGGGCATTATGGAACTTGTTGTCCAGCAATTAATGGATTTGGTCAGACAGTGCACACTCCATATGTTAAAAGAATATTGAATGTGATTATCAAATAGCAATGGCATGACATGCCCTTTGTTTGCACTAACATGTTTTTTTTTATTCGGGTTTTTGGACTATTGTTAGTTGCTAAGTAAGACCTGTACACTGCGATCCGCATAGATCTATTGTTCTAGCCCTTTTTCAAAGTTCGCTACCCAGACATGTCTGGGCCGCGTTTTTATCTACTCAGGATAGTGTGTACTTTCCAAAGGAGATATTTCGTTTAAGCATGAGTAGGGTACAACCACATAGGATGTGTCATTTGCTCTTCTGTTTGGCAAAATGTGCAGATTGTTGTTAAGCTAATTAAGAACATGTAGAAAATGTATCCAGTATTGAATACAACCTAAGTTATCTTATTATTATTGTCCTAATCCAACTACTTATACTCTACTCAGTAAACCATAAGTCCATGTAAAACTAAACTTCACTTTTTACTACTCTTCTCTTCTTTGCTATCTGGGACATCTTCTAGAAGCTTCTCCAAGTCGATACCTTCGAATTTAGAATTTTGTGTATTAGATGCATGTGCCAGGAACAATTCTTTTAGAAATTGCAACTCTTTTGTTAATGTTTTCACTTTTTCTTCCAAAACTTTATTTTCCTCTTTCAGTTTGCTTACTCGTGAGAATGTCTCTTGGGTGCGCTGCTTTGACTTAAATCTGCTTTTCTTCACCGCCTGAAAATAAATAAAATTAAATTAAAGACTTTTAATATATTTGTTAGTGGTGTATATATATTTTTTTTTATACTACTATAGTGGCAAATAGGCATACGGCCCATCTGATGGTAAATGGTTACCGTTGCCTAAGGACGTCTGAAACACCAGGTGTGTCACATGCGTGTTGCTGATCCATAAGAAACCTTAATATACCCTTCTCGAAAAACCCCATGCGGTAGTCTCATGAGAAAACCTCGGCAGGAAGTTTATTCCACAACCTAAGTATATATTAGAGATAGACAGTAAAAGTTCCAACATTTATTGGTCCTACTTCCCAAAGATGTCATGCATTAATTCCCTCAAGGACAAGATTTATTTTTTATTTATAAATATACCCAACTTTACATTTTGTTTTTCCCTTCAATACTTAAAAATTGTATAGTACCTGCCTATCTTTAGGAGTGCATTGGTATCTGAGATACAGGCATGGCCCGTTTTGACACTACTATTACTATTATTTCTGGATATAGCCACTCTATTACCTAGGGCACCAAATATTTCATAAAAAATTGTCCAGTAGTTTCTCTTTTTTTTATATATAAGAAATCATTTACAAAAATGTATTTCTTTCAATTGTTTAGTATCATAGTACAAGCTTAAGGCTGGATGATGCTGTGTTATTATTTATTATGCTATAACTTATTAATGTTGTTATGTTATCATAACACAGTAATAAATTTTAATATAATCTACAGAGCATTCTACAGATGACCTCTGAGTGATATCGTAATTATTTATTTAAGGTATTTCCACAATAAACAAAAATTACTTTGAATTAATTATCAATATAAACACTAGTTTTTTTTTGTTATGGATGATAATGGAATGGTGCACCCTCCTGCATTACAGGTTTATATTGGCAGGTAGCATGGAATTATTTCTTTTTCAATTAAAAATTATAAAATTTCTAAAACAAAAGTAAAGCAAGCTTAAGTTGCTCCTTATAACATTAGCTATCTGCGAGTGAAAGTACTATCAAAATCGGTCCCGCCATTTCAGAGATTAGCAAGAATAAACAAACAGACACACAAATAATAAGCATTGTATATATTTTCATATACATTTAATAAAAAGCTGGTAATTTGAAATTATAAGCAGACAGATTTTAATTTAATTATTGGTATAGATAAGTATATAAAATTATGAAAGTGTATCTGTTTGCTAACTTTGCACCGCGAAAAGGCAGAGTGGATTTCAATTAAATTTCATGTAAAAATAGATTGTATCCTAAGGTTCACAGAGGTTAGCTTTAAACTTAAAAAAATTTTTGAAAAAGGGTGAAATAGGAGCAGAAAATTTGTGCAAAATGCCAGGTGGCAGTTATAATGCTTATAAAATTAAATATGAAATTAAAATTAAATATATAACACTTTTTCTTTCCACAATTAATTGCATGAATTATATTCTTTGCAAAAGGTACAATTTCATCAGCACAATACTCACCTCATTGTTTCTGTCTCTCCGTTTCCTGTAGTCCTCGTCGTCATCACTGCCATCACTCACTCGTTTCCCGCGCTTTGGAGCCATATCAATATATTCTTTTAATATCATCAAATTGCTTTTACTTCACTTTTTTATAAGCACACAAGTTGCGTTGCTGAGCGCTAGCCGTTAAATGCGAGCGGCTGACCACTTTATGACAGACATTTCACCATAATTGCAAGTAAATACTGTATCTGGAAACCATGACGCAATATTTAAATTTAATCAGTAATTCAGTATGACCTACTCATTGTACTTAGAACAAATACCAAGGTACCATGTTAAAGTTTTAGTCAAATTTTTAAACATAAGGTAAGGAAATACTTTTTAATAACTATTTTTTTAATGTAAACATACTGAAATATAACTTTTTTATGTTGAAATAATTCAAATTAAAATATATATCATAATGTTCAACAAGTGACTACTATTTACTATTTTATATTGCATTTAATTTTATTAATATAAAATGCTACGCAATAATTGTATCAAATATATACCTTTATTTCGATGTAATATGTGACATAAATTTGTTTTGTAATAAACTACCACAGAACCACAAACTACATACAGATACTTATAGCATCACAGAACAGATAGTGAAGTGAATGAGAACAAAATATAGTTCCGTGAGTCGTTCGCGAGAGTACAAATAGAATAATTTTCATTATAATCACATACTATGCAGAAAATAATACGATTTTTTATATTTGTTTTAATACAATATTTTATAAACTCTCTGATACTGTCATCATCATTGATGATTTAACCAATTAATAGAGTTGTCAATATTAAAAAAATTCAGCGCTACAACAAAGAAATAAATACGTACGAAAATTTAACACAAAGTTTTTGTACGAGAATTATGATGTCTATAACACTTCTCGTATTGAACACCAAGAAATAGAAAAACAATTATTTTAATCGATATAAAATATTAAATTAGTAATCCATTTTCAAAAGACGTTTTATAGTCAGGTTTATTCATTCAAGTGGCCTAAAACCAATATATCTTTTTGATTTGTGAAGAAAAAGAAGACAAAATTGTGATCTAATATAACAATTACACCACATTTACAGTTCAAGGTTGTGCGAAACAATCGATTAATGAAAAATCTATTTTTATAGTGACAAAAATAATCGATTCTTTACACAGAATAAAACAGCTTTTATGAAAAATCTACGAGAATCCTTGTACATAACAGTTACCATTTAAGATAAGCCAGTAAATAATGAATTGAATAATTCATTTGCGTAGTATTTCTATGTAGGTCATAACTGCTATTGTATTTGATGAAGATCGAGATGTTGACGCTTCTTATTTATTATAGTTCTATAGATAAATTAATGACTTTTTCTCATCGAATCATTTTCCCCTGGTATCCCGCCAGAATATACCGATGAAGCAGGAGCATCAGTGAACATTGGTTAAAGTTAAAAAATACTAAATAATTTAAAAAATCTTTCACTTACATAAAGTTACATTAAACCCAGCGATTTTTCTTTTAATGGGTGATAATAAAATCGTCAGTCTTCCCGCATAAGGTACCACTGCAGGAAGATAGGATTATCATGAAATCAGGTCAGTTAACTTCTCATGGCAAATTCACCAGGAACTAACCACGATGGTTTCCAGGATTTATACTTTTTAGGTCGACCTGACAGTATATTGATAGCAACTTGGTCTTCGTGACTAAGATCTTCGTCAGCATGCAGAGTATATTGACAAGAGCGTATTACTTGTATAGTATTTTTAATATATAAAAAGATTGTCACAATATCTGCTACAGTGCTAAACCGAGGCAGGTCGCTAGTAGGAAATGTAAATGAAACAATAAATCTCATCAGACCACAATAAAATTCTTTCTTCACGATAAAATACTAACAATGTACGTAAATCTTATTTACACAAATAATGGAAGCATCCAATGCTAAATGACCTAATACTGTTACACTATATTTCAGAATAACCGTTAGCTCAGAATAAAACACAGAAATGTAATTTATATAAAACATATAAATGATACAACAATACGAATATAGTTCAGGAATGTACGTAGGTTAACAATTTATTTATGCATTGGTTGTATACATTACTTCAGGTTTTAATTAATAAACGCAGTAACTAATAATTCTCTTTTGATACCGGTTTTGCGATCATGTATGGACTATGTGACAGTTGCAATTGTTGTCTGTTAGCAACGTTCTAATAGTTCATACACATCCACAAGCCTATCCATATTAATTTGTTATAACTACGAATATTTATTTATATTAGTTAAATGCGTTACATAATTAAGTCCAAGTCCATGCTTGAGACCAATTCCGATCCCAATTCCAATAACTATAACATTTAGTACCTTTTTGCACAACATTAACAACTAGTATAGTGTTGTAATTGCATAAATATATCAATGTTGTATTTGGTACAATTTCAAGAGTAAGATAAAATAAGATTTTTTTAATATTTATTTGTTTGGACATTATTTATATTAGGTTTTATTTTGTATTTAACACTCATTAACAAAAACGTTAACAATACATTAAATTGGTATTTCTCGATTTTAAATGCAAAAGATTTAATTAATTTAGTCGCATTCACACAAAACAATATGCCTAAGTAATTTATACAAGTATATATTTTAATCTAGCACTTAAGGATCTTTCGAAACAATTTTAACAAATTACGTTGAAGTAGGTAATGTAAATGTTAGGTAATTAATATACACTCACATAAATTGGAAATGACAGAGCCAATAACAAAATATATTTGGTGAACTAAATATCTCTGAACATACACTAAACTAGGTACAGTCAGCTTCATATAAAACGTAGTGTTAGCATTGTCACAAATGTGACATGGTAATAAGTTCACAAATTTAATAATATGTAAGCTGTTTGATTAATGGTATTCTAATTCTAATTGTCTTAAATGTTTAAGAGTAGCAACACGTACTTAAATTTTCAAAGCCGGTAATTATGGAAATAGCAGATCTTCAATGAAGTCGAATTTCAATATGGATCGAATTAATTTCCAAGTACCGGGAAATGTCAAAATAGACAAATTGTGGTTTGGAATTATTAAAATCGACAACATGGATATTAGCCATTTATGAAGCTGACAGTACTTCAACAAACCAACAGACGTACCACTCGCGTAAGCTATTTGACTCTATCATTCATTATCACAGAATGTATAATTAATAATAGGTATGAAACCAATGACAGTCTTTTAGAATGAGAAATTTAGAGAACATTAAACGAACGAATTTTTTATCATTAATAAGTTAAATATCATTAAATGAGTGACCAATATATTGACATAATAATGATATAATATCGGGAACTCGATAAAAACAAAATGTGGTAATACCCCGTGATTTTTACTAATTATACGTACCTATATATTGAGTTCATAATATTTGATTTAAAATTAATGATAGATACATTATATCCATTTCAATATTACCGTTATGCACTTATTTTAATAAATAGTTTGAGATTAGATTAGATATTAGACCAGTCTAATATTTATTTACATATTTTATTATATAATTGTTGCGTTATAGACGGCGTTCTAATATGTACTATAGTTAAAATATTATGCTTTATGACGTAAATAAATTTCGTTTCTGAAATATTGTCTATAGTGTAACTTGTTATATCTTATATCTTTATGTTGGCATGTACTTACTTAAAAAAACGATATTGTAATGTATAGTTTAGGCATTTTTATGGGAATAGCAAGACCCTTAACGATGTTATTAAAAATTCAGATTCTAAATAATAATATAATAGGTAAAAAATTATGGGTTTGTGATTTTCTATGAGCTATTTGCAAGCGTTATACGAGAGTGTACGAGATAAGTAGTACGGTTCGCAATTGCAACTATGAGCCATAGATAACTGCAAATTATTAATAAATTTCAAACGTATTTAACAACATTACATAATTAAGGCCATGTAAGTTTGTAATTTTTTGTAATTAAATAATACCTATATTGTGTAGATAGATAACTACGGTACTATTCTATGCTATTATAGTCAACATTAAGTCACGTAAAATGTAACAAAATAAGTAGGCATGTTCACGGCCAAATATTAGTAAATGATTTCATAATACTTAAACTGTAAATCTAAGGCTAGGTCAATGTGATGCAGAAGAGAGAAAAATGTAAGGAAATGGGAGAGAACCTTTTCCCAGCAGTGCGACGACATAAGTTAACTGGAACTGTAAAAAGTTTTGATAAGTTAAGTACTACCGAATGTTTAATCTTTGGAGACATAAGTTAATTACGATAGATACGTACTGAGTAAAGATTGTTGATGTAAAATGGACCTTACGGTATCATTTATGAACTCCAAAATACAATAAGCAATTTTTAAGTAAGTACATTCACACGTATATACCTAAAATAGTGGAGCATCACATACGAATACAATTAAAATAAGTATTATATCACGTCGTTCTCCTATTATTCAGAAATGCGATGTACAATGTTTCTAAATAATAGTTTGTCACAGTGACGTTACTAACAACGAGTATTGACATATAATTGTACATGACTGTACCTTCTAATTTAAAAGATACACAGCCCGCTCTTTTCTATAAATACGAGATACATATTAGTTTTAGTAACATAAATGATCGTAATAGCGTGGAATAAATATAATTATACAAATATTTTTCGCAGAAGAAAAGTTTGAAAAACTCAAATAATAATCTATGAGAATTCCTACAGCACAATACTATACAACCGATAGTAATACTTAAATATAATAATAAATAAATAACCCTAGACAATTAACACAGCGTCATCTAGTCCCACAGTAAGCAGACCTTGTGTTATGGGGTACTAGACAACTGATATAAATACTTAGATTTTTTTAAATACATACTCGTACGTAATATACATAGATAACAAGACCAGACCAATACAAAGAATCATATTCATGAATACAAATGTTTGTATAGTGATAGTAGAGACATCTAATAGATTTCGGAGATATTCAGTTTTATATTTATTTAATTACGTGGGCTGTATATCTTTTCCATTAAACTTCACGCATTGTAAATAGGCTAAAACTATAGTACGATAGATAGACAGATACAATTTGGCACAACTTAAACATTATAATATCAGCTACAATTGATCCATTTTGTGCTCCCAACATCACAATATGTAGGTACTGCAATGAACTTACATAACTATATTTTTTACGTTGTCTCTTTAGAATAAAATTTTGTATTATAATAAATACATCTAATCTCTTTTATACATACATAATTGGAAATTCCATGAAGTAGATTATAGTCTTGGGAACTGATTGTGTCATAGTTTATTTAGTTATTATTTCTTTAGTGATACATCTACAATTGTGTTGGTTCTTTCCAATTTTTTAATTCGGCCGCAACTGGGCTTTACGACTTTGCCGGACAAACACAGCGGCTAGTGCACACTTGCCGTAAATTACAAATATGCAGAGCTCCAAGCCGTCGTAATTTCGATTCCCGTTGAAATGGGACAAGAGTATTATGTAAAAAATATGTTGTAAAGGAAAATATTAACCCAAAAGGAAATGATAGTATTCATGACAGTAGACTCAAATTTCTTCAAGATATATGGTATTTTTTATTACCTATAGATATTACTGATAGGCCAGTGCAGCGCAGTCTTGCGTGGCGTATTTCGTGACTAGCTCAGTTTAGTTTGCGACTCTCTTGCAAACTAGTTTGTTCAGTTAGTTAGCTTCTCTATTATTTACTCAATCTCTAGAGATGTGTTTTAGCCCTCAAGTATGTGGTAGTATCTTGTTACTTATACATATGTACTTTTGTAGCAAGACTTCTATCTTAATATTTTGTTGTAACAACTTTACATTACCTGTAATTCACAATAAAGATATTTGAATTAGAATTATAATTATAATTTAATAGTATTTTAATTAGAGAACTAAAAAGATCGAGAACTTAGTCTTAGAGGGCGTTTTTCCGAACTCGATCGTTCACGAACAACAAGATGAGTGCCGTGGAAGAGAGCATAATAATAGATAAACATTATGAACAGTTACAAATCCACAACAGGAACATTGTACTTACAAGTATTTCATAACAACACCAACGATTTGTAATGCATTCCTAAGCATTAACTTATGCGCAAGGGTACCAACTGTTCGATAAACCTCGTAGAGAACAAATACGAAATTTTTTTTAACCTACGAAAATCGATCAAAGTACTATTATGTACTAGTTTAGGGAGACAAATTGCGCTACTGTATGAAATTTTTAAGATTTTATTTATTTCTTCGTAAGGGGCTAGGTATTTTAAGGTTGGCAACCCTGGGTATGTGTTTCTGGTAGTGTTGATTTTCTTTAATTGTAATAGCTTTCTTTATGGCAATAACCTTTCTAAAAAATGTCTACATCATAATATAAGGTAAAAATTGTACTAATAAAAGTTTAAATATAAATAAATAGACTATATGTATTGTTCTATTTAGATTTCATTCTACAATTTGTAAACGAATTAAATTTCTAATAATGATAATAATAGATAACACATATATTACTCTGTAAACTCCGTTTCCATTTTCTATTTAATAAAATGATAAGTAACAATCTTGAATAAAAACATACATAGTCCTAATACATATATTTGCGCTTCGCTTTAGTTAATATCAGAAAAAAATATAGTTGTCAGAGACTATAACAACAGTTTCATAGAATACACTTAGGGATATTTATTTTATTTATCAAAATAATATGTTTTCGGCTTAAATGACTAAGCTCGTAAGTTGTACATAGTTATTACATAGATATAGATATATTATTTAAATTTTCAGTATTGATGTTATATCCACAAAAATACAATTTTGTACGAATAAACAGAAAAAGAGTGCTGTTGTTTATAACATTCTTTTTTTCCCCACATTCGTCCATCTCCTTTTTAATGATGGAACAGGCAAATATCCTTAGACCGTACAGCTTTTATTGTAACATTCATGAAGCACTAATATCATTTTTTAGTTCTGTTTATCCTTTAAAGGATAGGCAAAGGGAACTGCGCCCATACAGCCATTGAATATGCTTAATATTATTTTAGTTTGAGTGCCGTCACGTAAAAACAAAATGACGACTAAATGAAACATCTATAGGTATTATATATCTATGTATAGTGTTATCTGTGCTTAGGTACATACATTGTGGTCCTGTTATTGTTGGGTCGTTGAATTTCAGGGTTTTTTTCAGTTACAAACACCCAAGAACAAGATAATGTTAAGAATTTATCTAAATACACTCACTTGCTCCAACGTTTATACTTCATTAGCTTATATATTTATTTATTAATCTTTAAACTACCTAATGAACTAGTATCGCATTACCAGCAGTCGATGGCCTTGCCTTTAGGTAATATAATTTTAAAGACCAAATTATTTAACATACTCATTATATTCAATTAAGAAAGCAACTTGAGTACTCTATGATTGAAGATACTCTATGTCTCTGCCAGCCATCTGAACACATTTTCTGTTCAACAGAAGTATTATAACATTTCTAAATATTCTTTCTAAATATACTAACCAGTTCGAATTTTAAATGTTTCGTTATTATTAATGAGAATACCTACTTTCTTAATATATACTCTTCACATCTGTGTTAAATTTTATAGCCGTCACAGATAACGAAGAAAATCGTACATTAAAGTACAGTTAGCAGATCTTAATTTAAATTCGAAGCAAGTTTCAATCGTAACCATATTTTACCTTTTCATCCTTATTGCCAATTTAAATAGCAATTTTGAATTATAAGTATTTGAGCCTCAAGTACGAAACGCGCCAAAATTAATTGGCTTAATTTCCCTCGTATATTTTTCTTTTTCAATTTCTCAATAAAGCACAGAACAAGTAACTATACTATTCGTATAAAGAAACGCACCTAGTACTTACATAACAATTTGAAAATAGAACGATTAGAAATAAATTATATTTTTATAACGTAACACGAAACATCTTTGAATTTTAATCTTTTTTTAGTCTATGCTACATGAATACTAAACGGGGTTACTTATATTCATAATAGTTTCATTGTGGCTGTTGCATCTGTGTCTTTCGACATTGGCAGAGCCATTTTATAATGCGCGCGTTTCTCTCCACCACACTAGGGGGCTCTGTGTTTCTGTAAATTTGTTTCTGTACGGCTGGCCCTTGTACCTGAAAAAAAAAATAGAATCATAAATATACGCCAAAGGTCATGTACAGGTTTAGCACACTGCCTTACTTGCGTTGGTCGCAACTCGATTCTCGCACGGCACAAACATTTGTATTCATGAATAAGATTATTTGCATTGACCTTTTCAGTGTATATTGTATGTATTTAGAAAACAGTATTCAGGTATATTTATGAGCTGTTAAGTAAGTAATATCCTAAGAGTTTAATATTTATTTTCCTGAAGGTCAATAGTACATCGAGCACAGATATAGTTATAGGCTACCCTTTATAAAAAAAAAGCAGACGAATTCGCGTATAAGAGCTGGTATGTTATATTTAGCGCATGGTTTTAAAGTTTGTATATTACTACTACATATATTTTAAATTATAGTTTGTTAGTTATTCTGATATATGAGCTATATTACTGTAATGTTCCATCAAAATGCATTCAGTAGTTTTTGCGTGAAAGATTAAAAAACATCCATCTATCCAGACTCACAAACTTCGCATATAATAGTAATAAGATATGTAATTGTTTTGTTTGTGTATTATTAACCTAACTTGTACTAATCGGCTAGACTGATTTGAATGAAATGTTGTGTGCATATTTCAATGTGTCTCTGAATAATTTGAGAAAAAAATTGTCTCAGACTTAATACTGAAAGTACTTAGGTAAAATAATTTGGTCCATCCATCCATCTATCCAGACTCACAAACTTTCACATTTATAATATTAGTAAAATATTACCGTGTAATATGTTACTAATATTAAGTAAGTAAAGTCCTCGAGTGGCGACCACGGACCGGAAGACGCAGCGTGGGAAAGCCTCCAGCAAGGTGGACCGACGATCAGGTCAAGATCGCTGGATGCGAACAGCACAGGACCGATCGTCGTGGAGATCTTTGGGGGAGGCCTATGTCCAGCAGTGGACGTCTTCCGGGCTGCGATGATGATGATGATGATGATTACCGTGTAATCCGCCGCTGCGGCCAACTGATTAGAGTCCACTGTGGACGCTGACGAGAAGAACACTGGACTCTCCGAGGCTGCGTCCCTCATGAGTGCGTCGTATTGTCTCGCGTCGAGTCCAAGACGTTCGAAGAAATGCTGCAGTCGCGTAGACTCCTCTGACGGACTGTCAGGAGAGTCCTCGCCTTCGCATGGAGCTGAAGCTGGACTACGACCGTCCGTTCTCCTGTATCTATAAGAGTTTGCCAACGTATTTCGCGTTATTTACGGTTTCTAATATCACAAATATTCTAAAACAATTTATTATAAGAAGCTATGGAGAGTCATGTACATATTGAATTTCATAGAGATAAGACGGTAGGGAAACAATTATAAATAAAATATTTGATGTTCATAAGCGGCTAAAATGGCCAACATTAATAAATGATTTTTGAATTTGAAATCTTCCATAGGTACTGAAAAAAAAATTTTGGGGGATAACAAGAACATTTTGATATCACTCTGATTACTCTCTGGGCCTCAGTGGTCTAGTGAATAACACATTGCTTTACTTCCGATGGTCGCGGGTTCGATTCATCGCACGGTACAAACATTTGTATGTTGTTGCATGAGTATATGCAATTATTTTGTATGTATACTAGCCTACTTATAGATATATATATTCTATCAGTAGTCTAGTACGCATAACACAAGCTCTGCTTTGCTTGGGAATAGATGGTGTTGTGTGTATTTTGCAGAGATATTAATATTATTACTACATGGGATGACATGAAACAAACCGTGTAGTTGTTCTATAGAAAAAACTACGAAAACAGGATAAAATTGGTGCAGATACCATATGCTGGACTGGGCAGACCCTTTCAAACTATTAAACTCTATTTTACAAAATTTGCAAGTTATTTTGTATTACCTACCCGCTTCGCACGGGTGTACATGTATTATACATATAAACATTCCTCTTAAATCACTCTCACTCACATCTATTGCTAAAACTGCATTAAAATCCGTTGCGTACTTTAAAAGATCTAAGCGAACCGGGAGCTGAAACGAATTCTTTTTATACTATGTAATAATATCTATAAAAATGTTGGGGCACTTGATACGACGACACGACGAACTAATTAACAATATTATTGAATGAAAAATAGATGGAAAGAGAGGAAGGGGAAGACCGAGACACAGCTACATCAAGCAAGTTAAAGAAAAAGTTGGAGTTGTGTCTTATCAACAGCTAAAAGGACTGATAGAAGATCGTGGAAGGTGGCGGGAGCTCCACCGACAAGAGCACAGCTCTTAAATTATGAATGAATGAATGAATATGAAGATTAAGTGTGATATGTAGCTGTATTATCGTACAAGCATATTGAAAAATGTATCAACAACAAAAATAAATAATAAAAAACATGTTGAAGAAGAAAGTATAATAAAACTCACCTATCAGAGATATCGGATTTAGAACGCAGTATGGGCCTGGGTCGTCGTTGTTTATAACGCAGGCAACGTTGCCTTTTGAACGTTCCCAGTGGTGACGTCACCTCTTCCGGTGGACATATTATCTGTATAAAATAAATATATAAATATTTTAAATATAATCATATTAGCTGACTAGGTTTAAATTATAGCCTATGTTATTCTGATGTATATCACAATACATCTTGGTAGTAAACCTTCGTCTTAAGACAAAGAGGACAAATCGGAAGCAAATGAAAGCTTTTTTTCTAATCATTTTATAAATCACAGAGTAATGAAGTAGCAATTGATAATAATAATAATAATAATAATAATAAAACTCTTTATTGTGCATAAAAGAAACAAATAATTACAAAAAGGAAATAAAAAAAAAGAAGGATATGCAAACAAAAGGCGGCCTTATCGCTTAAAGCAATCTCTTACAGACAACCTGGGAGATTGGGACCTGATTGATTTTGAAAGAAATAAACATGGTTTCCTTTTCATTTAAAACAATAAAATAAATTATAGATAAATTAAGGACCTCCTTTCTTGAAGTCGGCTAAAATGATTTTTGGAGGAAGGCAATGGGGCTGAGGCCTACCTGTGTAGTGTTGACGTATTCCTGGGTATCGTCTCCGCGCGGCCGCATGCGTACTTCCTGGTACTGCGGCTGCTTACTTATCAACTCCGTACTGGGCTCGTGGTATCTGTGATATAAATATATACCGTCTAAATATATCAAATAGAAATTATTTTGGAAATTTTAACCCTAATTTTAAATGATCTAAAGTTCTAAATGGAATGTAGTCAAACTTTTTAAAATCATTTCAGATAGTGGATATCAGATCGGTTGTACATTTGTTAAATTTTCAGTAGAGATGATGACAGCATATATAATAAACATGGTACTTTTTCCATTGGGCACTCTAGTCAAGAACCATGCTATATATATATCTATGTATAAGACATCCAGATTTAGTCCTTTTGATTCTTGCTAATAAAATAGACCTCTGTCTATTATATTATTGGGGCTCCATTATTTTAGTGTATCGAACCTTTTTCGAGAAGTCTTATTCTTAAAATTTAAGTATGTAGGTTCTTCTCTCATTATATCATCATCTGCTTATTTCTTATCCCATTTATTTGGGCTCGGCGTAATGTTTTTCTCTTCAATTCATAATAATAATAACGAGATGACTGCAAACAGGGATTCCAGTCGTCTTGTTATTTACTCCCTTTCTTACCATAGATTGATGGACTGTATGAAATATGATATATCTATCTTTCAACTCATTTTAGGTTTTCCTCTGGCTTTTCATATTACTACCCTTCCTTAAAATATTATGTTCATTCTCATTATATCGTCTCTCATACATATGTAACTTTTGTATATGTACTTTATTTATATATATACATATACTGTAAGGATCTAGTATAAATGACTTTGTTCTAATTTTCAAGATAATTATAATTTAGTTGACTATTTAATTGAACTGTAATTTTAATTGACTTATGTTTCATTACGGGAATCGGATTTTTAACGGGTTATTCAAGATTCGCAAATAAGCATCTCTTGTTTCAAGACTCAGTTGCTATAATCATAAAATATTGTAACTATATACGTCTTCAACATACCTGTTGTAATCTCTAGAGCTGTACTCCTTTCTGCCGACTGTGAGGCATTTCAAAGGTGCCTTGTATGTGCACTCGTAGTCTCCATAGTCGTACATAGGCGGCTCGTCCTGGAACTGAGGCGGCGGTGCGCTCGCCTTTGGAAAAACGCTCATATTTATATGTGTATAAGCCATATATTCGTGATACTCGTGAACGGCTGCTACATGAGGGGACTGGTCTGTTCGGGTTACGGCCACTGATTAGACTATTTCCTTTTGACAAAATTGCAATAGCATATCCTGGTGGTCACTCTATTCACCCTAATTTATAGTTCAAAAAGATTTGCTAAACTAACTCGAGAAGCATTGACTGATTTGAGAAATTCTTTCAGTTTGAAAGGTACATCATTCCATACTGATAGGCTTTACGTTATTAAAAAATTACGAAGTTATGAGCACTCGGGCAAAAGCCGAACCGGAAACGCAAAGCAAGATTGCAAAGCTTTGATGGTAGAAATAGGTGAGATTGTTGAACATGGTTGATATTTCTATTAAGTAAAAGCCTAAAATAATTGATATTCCTAATAGGTGGAAGCCTAAAATTTTTGATATTCCTGTTAGGTAGAACCCTAAAGTGATTGATATTCCTAAAAAATGGAAGCCTAAAATAATTGATATTGACGTTAGACAGTAGCCAAAAATGACTGATATGTCTGTTGGGTAAAAGCCAAAATGATTGATACTCCTGTTAGATAGAAGCCTAAAACGGGTGATATTGCGTGCGTAGCGGTTTCTATGTTGATTGTCGCATGCCTAATCCTTGTTGTTAATTAAATATAAGTAAATCAATATTTATTTAAAAGAGCAATACACAAGTTCTTGCTTATTCTTCTTGTGATGAATCTGCATTCCGTATAAGCGGTAGAATAAAAAAACTTGACTATTCAAAAGTGCTTATATTAAGTTTAATTGAATAAAGATTATTTCTATTTCTATTCCTAAAAGGTCGAAGCCTAAAATAATTGGTATTCACGTTAGGTAGTAGCCGAAAATGTTTAATATTCCTATTAGGTGGAAACCTAAAATGGTTTATTATTCTATTAGGTAAAGACTTCAAATAGTATAACAACGCACCTGGAAGTGTATGCCGACGGCGGGGTGCGCGGGGTAGGGCGGCGCGAGCGGGGGGGGCGGCGCGCCGTCCTGGAACTGCGGCGGCGCCGACACCACGCACTCCAGCTCCGCGCCGCCCGCCGCCCCCGCCGCCCCACCCGCCCCACCCGCCCCCGCACGCGCCCACTCCCCGCAGTACACGCCGTAGCGGCTGCAACCACAACAGTTTATTTTACTATTGACATGTTGTAATTTAAATATTGTAATGGATGAAAACTGTAGTTGTTACTCGACTTAGATGTTATTATTTTATTTAATTCATGGATTTATATTAATTTGTTTAATCCGCTTATGATACAAAGCAAGGGGCAAATGGAATAGATAAATGAATGAAAGGGTCGTCCTAACAGCGAGATAGGGCCCTACACCGACTACAGGATGGATCAACGTCGCCGGAGTCGCGGTAGAATGCTAAGGCGACCTCGCGACTTCGGCAATGACGCTCGTAGGTACACCATGTGTTTTTTTAGTGGGTAACAATCCCACAAACCCCCTCGTTATGCTATACTATAAATAATATAAGTAACGTAGTGGAGTAACTTGTAACAGTAAAACTCGCTATAAAGTTTAAACTTGTAGCAGCGTGGTGGGCCGGGTGAATGTGATTCATCTGATATGGTTGAGTGCAATGATGGCTCGCGCATCCGTCATACTCGTGAACGGATACTGCTTGTTATGTATAACGGTATAACTAGTTCAGTTCCTCACCTGGGCTGGTCGTGCTGCGTGGAGGAGCCCGAGTCGGTGCGCGGGGCTGCGCGTGCGGGCGGCGCGCTCCGCTGCGTGTAGTGTCGCTGGACCCGCCCGACTGGCCCCTGGACTGCTATATAACTAGTTCAGTTCCTCACCTGGGCTGGTCGTGCTGCGTGGAGGAGCCCGAGTCGGTGCGCGGGGCTGCGCGTGCGGGCGGCGCGCTCCGCTGCGTGTAGTGTCGCTGGACCCGCCCGACTGGCCCCTGGACTGCTATATAACTAGTTCAGTTCCTCACCTGGGCTGGTCGTGCTGCGTGGAGGAGCCCGAGTCGGTGCGCGGGGCTGCGCGTGCGGGCGGCGCGCTCCGCTGCGTGTAGTGTCGCTGGACCCGCCCGACTGGCCCCTGGACTGCTATATAACTAGTTCAGTTCCTCACCTGGGCTGGTCGTGCTGCGTGGAGGAGCCCGAGTCGGTGCGCGGGGCTGCGCGTGCGGGCGGCGCGCTCCGCTGCGTGTAGTGTCGCTGGACCCGCCCGACTGGCCCCTGGACTGCTATATAACTAGTTCAGTTCCTCACCTGGGCTGGTCGTGCTGCGTGGAGGAGCCCGAGTCGGTGCGCGGGGCTGCGCGTGCGGGCGGCGCGCTCCGCTGCGTGTAGTGTCGCTGGACCCGCCCGACTGGCCCCTGGACTGCTATATAACTAGTTCAGTTCCTCACCTGGGCTGGTCGTGCTGCGTGGAGGAGCCCGAGTCGGTGCGCGGGGCTGCGCGTGCGGGCGGCGCGCTCCGCTGCGTGTAGTGTCGCTGGACCCGCCCGACTGGCCCCTGGACTGCTATATAACTAGTTCAGTTCCTCACCTGGGCTGGTCGTGCTGCGTGGAGGAGCCCGAGTCGGTGCGCGGGGCTGCGCGTGCGGGCGGCGCGCTCCGCTGCGTGTAGTGTCGCTGGACCCGCCCGACTGGCCCCTGGACTGCTATATAACTAGTTCAGTTCCTCACCTGGGCTGGTCGTGCTGCGTGGAGGAGCCCGAGTCGGTGCGCGGGGCTGCGCGTGCGGGCGGCGCGCTCCGCTGCGTGTAGTGTCGCTGGACCCGCCCGACTGGCCCCTGGACTGCTATATAACTAGTTCAGTTCCTCACCTGGGCTGGTCGTGCTGCGTGGAGGAGCCCGAGTCGGTGCGCGGGGCTGCGCGTGCGGGCGGCGCGCTCCGCTGCGTGTAGTGTCGCTGGACCCGCCCGACTGGCCCCTGGACTGCTATATAACTAGTTCAGTTCCTCACCTGGGCTGGTCGTGCTGCGTGGAGGAGCCCGAGTCGGTGCGCGGGGCTGCGCGTGCGGGCGGCGCGCTCCGCTGCGTGTAGTGTCGCTGGACCCGCCCGACTGGCCCCTGGACTGCTATATAACTAGTTCAGTTCCTCACCTGGGCTGGTCGTGCTGCGTGGAGGAGCCCGAGTCGGTGCGCGGGGCTGCGCGTGCGGGCGGCGCGCTCCGCTGCGTGTAGTGTCGCTGGACCCGCCCGACTGGCCCCTGGACTGCTATATAACTAGTTCAGTTCCTCACCTGGGCTGGTCGTGCTGCGTGGAGGAGCCCGAGTCGGTGCGCGGGGCTGCGCGTGCGGGCGGCGCGCTCCGCTGCGTGTAGTGTCCGCTGGACCCGCCCGAGTCGCGGGCGAACGACGACCCGCACCGGCTATTATACAACATTAAACATATATACACACATATATTATACTAATATAAATACATATACAAATATACTAGCTGTGCCCGCGACTTTTCCGCAGTCTAAAAATATAGTTTCTCGCTTTAAAAATGAGGATATTCCATACAACCTTACATCTCTCCTTTCAATCTTTTTTAAATCATTAAAAAGTACCCTATATCCTTTCTCAGGGTTAAGAACTCTAGACTATCTGTGTACCAAATTTCATTTAAATGGCTTCAGTACTTTTGGCGTGTATAAGCGCGACAGATAGACAGAGTTACTTTCACATTTATAATATTACTACGGATACACATACACAACTTTTAACATTAAATAAGATATATTGTTTCCGGTGTTACCTGTTATACGAGTGATAATTGTCGTCCCCAGGCGACGGGTGTTCAGAGAAGGCCTCGCACGAGGACAATAAAGAGGAGTGGTTGGACCTGGTGCCCTTGGAGGAGCACGAGGCGGTCCGCTGGTGGCCCGAGTGCCGCCGGCGTCTCGGAGAACGACCCATGGAACCTATCATTTGAATCTCGCCCGTGTTCACGCTACAAGAAGAAAATGCCAACGGGAATACTTTGATAAACTTGTAACAATATAAGTTTGTAGATAAATCTATATATATAGATGGATGGAAAATTAACACAGCGCCATCTAGTCTCAAGGTAAGCAGAGCTTGTGTTATGGATACTATACTTAGATGTTTTTTAAAAATGTGTATTTTTTTATAAAAAAATCTACAATATACATGAAAATAACCTGTACATAAAATACAATCAATCATACTATGTTTCATTAACAATTTGCTAGTGATTTCTTCTTAAAACATATCATTTAAGTTTATTAAGTGAACAATTCAATATTTTAATATTAAAAAATAATATTATTATATATTACACATGGAGGTCATTAGAATTTTAAAAAGGCTAAGGTATATGGTTTATTAGGGTTACTTGAAAATACAATATTATGAGAACATACGGCCAGACTTATGTACTCACTGTTCAGGGTAACATCGCGTCTGTGTGTGTAGATCTGGCAATGACTTGTGACTGTTGATATTGCAGCTATCTTCCTCGCGCACGCTCGGTTGGGAGTGGGAGTTTGATCTGAAACAAAAATACAATTAACATTACTAATTGACGTTCATAAGCGACTAAAATGTTCTAAAATATTTGTCAATATTATATCTACATACTACTATATATATATATATATATATATTATTATATGTACGTACTAACATACATATAAAATAAAATAATAATATTGTCTTTGTGGTCAACACACTTACTACGACAATCTACCACGGTACCACCGGTACACCACTCCCTTGGAGCAGTAGTCCTCCCTCATGAAGGTGGATAGCATGTTGGTGGGGACTCGGGCCTCAAACTATAATTATTACTATACTAGCTGACCTGTGTGACTTCGTCTGCATCACACTTATCATTATATATCGCCCAATTTACATTCTTATATTCTGATGTGTAAGCTACGTTACTGTTAAGTTTCATCAAAATCCATTAAGTAGCTTTTGCGTGAAAGAGTAACAAACCTCCATACTACAAACTTTGGTATTTATAATAAAGACTATATAATAATTTACCTGGTATATCTAGGCGCGGAGTGAGCATACTGCGCTGGCGGGCTGATAGCACCAAGTTGCTCAGCAGGGGAGCCACCACCACTCAACACTGGTTCAGGCAACTCCATGTTTTGGGGACTCGAATGGGAACTCGCTGTATACCAAATAAATTTATATGTTATTTTTTTTACTTACTACTAACTGTAGAAGCAGGTTCCCCGTGTGAAATTATTATTCTGATGTATAATATACATTATTGTAACGTTTCATTAACATTGTTAGTTTTTGTGTAAAAAATTAACAAATATACATCCATTAATCCACGCTCATAAACTTCCGCGTTTATAATACTAGTAAGACTGTTATTATTAGATATTTTACAATATGATTGTATAAATTGTAAAAATAAGCACCAGGTTCTTTTCTTATATAAATGAATTTGCCGACAATCTGTCTATCCAACTGATAATAAGCTATAATGGTCGCATGTATACATGTTCTTCATAAACTTAAACGATTTTTCACAAAATCTACCTCGATATCTGTTCATACTTACGTATAGAATAAGCACTCTTGATAACAACTTCGCTTGGCCTCTGTCGAGGTATGATGAAGGACTCAGGAAAGAAGACCCGAGCGTCTCCGAAGCTTAACGGCCTGTTCATTTTATCTCTATGATCAGGGTCCGACTTATGCGCTTTAGAGCCGGACGTTCCCGAGGATGACGTGCCGGAAAACGTTCCCGAGTATGTTCCAGAGTTGTGTTGCGACCGGTGATGTTCCCGTTCCGGGTAAGAATCTTTAAGGCGTCTCGTGTCAGCATAGATTTTATGGGCTGGAAAAAATGAAGGAAATAATTTTGTAAGCATTTTTTTTAGTATATTATCAGTTTTTTTAGAAATTTTGGATATAGCTTAGTGCAGTGTTGGCAACAATGTTTAGGCGATCCCATTAAGCAGAACATCAAAAACCACAATAAAGTTTTAAAACCTATGGTGATGATGTCAAAACCCACTAAAATAATTTTACATAAAATAACTATTATATTGAGAATTTACTCTAGAATAGAGATATTTAAAGATATTTTAAGAAAGAAAAACATTTATTTATTTGACAGCCTGTGTGGTCTAGTGGCTTAGCACACCGCTTTACTACCCGATGGTCGTGGGTTCGATTCCTCGCACGAACACAAACATTTGTATTCATGAGTATGATTGTTTGTATCGGTCTGGGTGTTTTCTATGTATAATATGTATTTATTTACAAAAAAAATGTATCCATGTATTTATATCAGGTGTCTAGTACCCATAACACAAGCTCTGCTTAGCTTGGGACTAGATGGCGCTATGTCACCTATTATTAACAAGCATACATATAAACCATATATATACACACATATGCATGTATACATACACACAAAAATATACGACAATTTATTATCAAAATTGTTATATATGTTCATAATTTGTTTAACTTATATCAATTTTCGGTTGGGGGCCTGGTGATCTGTATTACAGGTTATGCCTATCTCAGACACCAGCTCCTCACAGCAAATCGATTAAAATAATAAATTTAAGTATTTTACTATAAAAAATACTACATGTATTGTTGCCATCATGTTTGTGAGGAGAAATAAATAAATCATATATTAACATATTGATTGACATATATAAATTTGCATTTTCAAAAAAAAAAAAATGTTTAAGAACACCGTTACTAATATATCCGTACTAAAAAATCCACTAACGACTAGAAACAAATTTTGCCCATCAAAGAGAAAAGGGAGTTGTTATGAAGTCGTGGTATTACGAAAAGCAGGGATGTCTACCGTACCTGCCAGACCTGCCTAAAGCCTAAAGCGATTTTTATTTCTTCGTACGAGCCTAAGTATGGTAGGCAACCCTGATGTAAAGTGATTACTTACAGACATAAGCAGGTGAGTAGACGTTCTCTCTACTATCGGCGTGTTCCAGCAGTCGTCGAAGCGTGTTCTGCAATCCTTCACCAGCGCTCACAGCCCGTCGCGTACTACTTATGCTCCTTGTGGTAGCGTCTGCAAATTAGTACATGTACATACACAAACTATATCTTATCATTACATAGTATAAAATAAAGTCGCTGTCTCTGTCTGTCCGTCCCTATGTATGCTTAAATCATTAAAACTACACAACGGATTTTGAAGCGGTTTTTTTAATAGATAGTGATTCAAGAGGAAGGTTTATATATATAATACATGTACACTCGTACGAAGTCGGGGCGAGTATCTAGTTAATATTATGAATGCGAAAGATTGGAGTATAGATGCATAGACGGATGGATGGAAGTTTGTTACTCTTTCACGCAAAGTTTCATCAAAATCCGTTTTGATGATCCGTTTTCCGTTTCCGTTACAGTAATATAATTTATACATCAAAAAATTTTATGTTATATTTTTTTTTCTTCAGTATACAGGTTCCATTGAGAAGAACTGGCAAGAAACTCAACTGAATTTCTTATATTTTAATAGCCAGTTTATTTATATTGTGTACGTATGTAGGTGTTTATGTCTAATATTAAATGAAAATACCGTGCAGGAACAACTATTGCTATGCACATTTGTCATTCAAGTAATCGTTTAATGAGTAATAGGTTTGGCTCAATAAATATAATTTAACCGATGTTTTGAATTTATTTAAAGGTACTTCCAGTAAATCAGTATCTTATTGTAATTTTTTATATCCGATCCCATAAAATTCTTTATTTTAGAACCTTTTTTTTAACAATATTGCCAAACTCACATGGATTACAGCAAGCATCATTGTTGAGAGTCCCCGAGCTGACCAGATGACAGCCGCCCGCGGCTATAGCCTGACCCAGTCCACTGCTCATCTGAAGACAAATCAAATATAATACATTATTGTTTATTATTTTTTATAGATCAAATGTAATATTTGACAGCCTTATTAGTTCAAATTAGTGCCAATTTACCTATAGTTTGTATTCATACACTTCTACAAAGATATAAGTGAATATGTTACAATTTAAAAGAGCAACACGAAAGTCTTTCTCGTTCTTCTTGTGACGGGACAGCTTTCCGAATGAGCGGTAGATAAAAAAAAACTTAACTATGAGTATTTAAAAATGCTTAAATTTAAATTTATTTGAATAAATTATTATTTATTCTACTGTAGCGGTTTGCCACTCGGTTTTACGCCCGATAGTAGCGACTTCGATTCTTGCATTCCAATATTTGTACGTGTGAAATATAGTACTTGTTTTCTATACCTACCCTCAAAGGCAATTCTTGCTTCCGATCCAACACAGTTTCAGACTTAACGTAAAAGGCTTTGGTCTCTGCTAGCAGCTCCACGGCGGACTTTCGTTTCTGCTGATGTTGAGGTGGAAGCGAGCGAGGTGCAGACATGCCGTCCTTCTTGCGAGGTAGCTTGAAGCTTGCGAACAGTGAATCGGCCAGGCGCCGTCTGCAATGATTAACATTTTTAACAGACTTCAAAGAAGGAGGAGGTTCTCGATTGGACTGTATTTCTTTTGTGTTTGATACTTCTGAACTTTCGACTGGGTGAATCCACACACACGCAAACACATAGTTTGGGTGTGTGTGTGCACACACTCGCGCATTAAATACATATTGATATATATTTTTAGCTATTATTATTGCAATTCCCTTTTGTCATATATTCTTCGACCTTTGACCAACCATACGTGTATGTAACAGTTACCTGGGTGGTGATTCAAAAGATCTGGAGAACGAAGCAGACGCGGCCGCCCCTTCAAATTTCTTGCGGACCTCTTCGACCTTCGACCAACCAGACTCGACGTTGAGCCGGCGGTTCAGCGGCAAGGTTTGTGACGCATGCTTGGCGAGTTCCTCCCTCGTCTTCTTCACTGACACTTCAGGGATGACGTCTCGGTGACGCACACCCCGGGCCTCGTGGCATCGTTCGATGAATTGTTGGCGCCGGAGCGATAGGGTTGCAGATGTTTGTCGACAATCGTCCTCGTCCAGGCACCTAGAATTTTAGTAATTGGAATTGCAAATAAGCTAACGTTCCACCTGCTTGTAAGCGGTAACCACGTAGACATCAAATGATCACAATCATGAGTTGCCATTCCGTCGTTGGAGGACTAAGATATCATGCCGTTTATCTTGTAATTTAATTGCCTAATCTCACCCTAAAATCGAAACAAAACCAAAAGCAATCATCTTGGCGGCTGACATATGAGACTAAAGTACATAGGTACAGACGATCTTTCATAAAGTCTACCTTGGCGATTATAGAAGTTGACGTCTATACATACTATCATGTTAAGTCTGTTTGATTGAATCGAAAAATTCGACTTGAATAATTCTTTTTAAGAAGACACCTTAATCCTCAGAATCCTAATCATAATCTTTATATTTTTAAAGCTGACGTGCATGCCTAATATAACCTGCTAATATACAGTAGGTTAATCGTCAGGTTGCTAGAATACAACTAACGTTTCAATGGACTTCGTTTGACGCATTGGATGGATACGTAAACCGGTAAGACTATTTGGAGATGGGTGACATAATCGGGCAACCGACTGTATATCAGCAGCCTAACTTGTGTCTTGTAAACAAATAAACTTACCTAGCGGGCTGCGCGAGGTGCGATCGACACGGTTGATAACAGGAGAGCGCTGCCATATCGGCGGTGCCGGGGGCTGGAGTCGTCGCCGACCCCGCTCATCATTCGATCACCACCAGCGCCGCTACACACTCCGGTTAGGCCATCCGAAACCAATCTGTAATAAGGAATATAATATTAATACAATATTAAAAAACAATTCCCAAATATAGCACTAGTTTAGTTTAGCTAAGTTTATTTTAAGCCCAAAGGCCTTAAATCCAGTGCCCCAGGGGTTGTTGCCTCTGAGTTGATGCTGAGGCAAAGGAGCTAGCTCTGAGGCCCCAACCTGTGCTCTGAGTACCCCAAGTAATGTGGATTAATGAACACATTGCTAGCAATGTACTATATAAGGTTGACCTCCACGTGGTTCCCTTGGAAACCATCATTATAAGTTCACGATGGGCTAAATGCCGTGAGAACCTCATGCTTATCTTATCGTCTTTCACTGGTGCCCCGCCAGCGTAAACCATTAGCGCAGGCGGGAGCACCATTCCATTATCACGAATTAAAAAAACTGCCTTAGGATGTCCAGCAGTAGACTGCAGTAGGTTAATAATCATGATGAATATAATTAAAGGGTATATGATGATGCTTGCTGCATTCATTCTTATTTAAACCACATTGTTCACCTTCCAGCAATTATTTCCGATACGATATTGAAACCTTCAAGAAAAGAGCTAACAACCATGTGGTATTTGAAAATAGTGAGAGTAGAGTTTTTTGAGTTTTTTTGGGCTTTTTTTGAATAGTCATAACAATTTGTTTTTTAACTACCACTCGTTCGGAAAGCTGTCTCAAAAGAATGTGTTGCTCTTTTAAATAATCCTTGTAAGTTTACATTTACAAGTCGATGTAAATATAATCATGCAATAAGATTAAATCAGTCGTAGTGATAAGAGCAGACCAGTCCCTACAAGCAGCACTCGTTCACGAGTATGATGATGTGTGTAATAAGACCTACATTATGAAGATACAAATTTTGACACCGACTTGTTTCTCATCCGGTGCCTGGCAGTTATACAATATCAACATGCTTCCGTACACTTTCGCTCAGTGTTGTAATGTTTACAAAAAAATATTATGAGTCTTGAAGTTTATGGCAAAACAATGAGTAGATCATAGATAATTATGTTTATGGGAACCTACATATACACTATTTACTTTTTCTTACATGAATAGAATGGTAAAGAAGGTTCTGATAAACCAGAACTCAAGTGCAAACACAAAGATTTAAGAAGATAAAAAATAATAATCTAATATTACCCACTGGGGGAAAGGGGATTGTTAGTAATGTGGACTGATGATCTTATTGCTAGCAATATACCATGTCAGGTTGACCTCCACGCAGTTCCCCCTGGAAACCATCGTGATAAATTCTTGTCATAATGTGCTAACTGACCTGACCGAATGTTCATCTTATCATCCTTTGATACATAGAAAACATCCAGACAGTCACAAACAATCATACTTATGAATACAAATGTTTGCACCGTGCGAGGAATCGAACCTGCGACCATTTGAAGTAAAGCGACGTGCTAAACCGTTAAACCACCGAAACCGTCATATAATGTGGTATACTCGCATATCTACACCTTGGTTATGAGGCCGTTTCACTCTGGTATATAGAGAAGTTGGTAGATACGCATAAAATTCACTAATTAAGTACGCACTAATTATATTCATTATTATTTTATGACTGGCAAACAAGCTAACGACCCACATGTGGCAACCATCGTCCATAAATATGAACAGTTCCATTTTTTAATTTGCCGATTTAGTTTAAATGTAATTGGAACCTATGTATTACAATAATAATGTTTAATTAGGGAAAGAGGAGGGGATTGTGGACTAATTGCATATAATGTACCAAGTCATGTTCTAAATCTTCCTGAAAAAAAGATTCAAATGTCTAATAAAACACTTTCTCTGTAAAAATGCTTATTGTAAAATTGAAGGGTTTGTAAATTATAATAATGTTTTTGTAGAAAAATATTTAAATCGACAGCGCTGACAATATTATCTGATTGCACTAAGAATGAATGCGTAGCGATTTCTATGTTGATTATGGCATTCCTCTTACTTGTTATTGTGTAATTACAATTACAATATATTAAAAATTACATTTATACAAAAGACCAACAAACAAGATTCTTGCTCATGCCTCTTGCGATGAATCTGCGTTCCGAATGAGTGGTAGAATAAATAAATAAATATGACTATGCAAAAGTTTATTTGAATAAAAATTATTTCTATTTCTATTGTGGACTGCATTAAAGTCACATAATTGCATACAATCAGATATCAAGTCAGGTTATAAAGAAAAACGCTAGGAGCACTTTCATTTTCCCGCGTCTAGACTTTCTAGACTTCTCTATGCACATACACTAACAGTAACAAGGCTATGATTGCACACATCGTACGTGTATTCGGTTATCTTAAACTAGACAAATCAAAATTAACAAATATGTTGAAATTTCGTCCTTGATCGTTATTATAAATAAATAACCCTGGATAATTAACACAGCGCCATCTAGTCCCACGGTAAGCAGAGCTTGTGTTATGGGTACCTACTTGATAACTGACATAAATACTTAGTTTTTTTTTTATAAATACATACATCATATACAACCTAAAACAATTTTTATTCATGATTGCTTGTGTGCTATGTGTATTATGTATGTATTTACAAAAAAGAAACTTAAATATTGAATCAGTTGCTTAGTACTCAAGCTCTGCTTAACTTGAGACTAGATGGCGCTGTGTGAATTGTCGCGAAATATTATCATTATTTACTCAATTTAATAACCACTTATTACATTACAATTTCAATTACAATTCACACAATAATAGCTCATTCATCATACGTAGAATGTCATAACATAATAGTTAATTATATCTGATACCCAGTGTAAGCATTAACACTGATAATAGAGTATATACTGTATTAAGTTACGATTGCAAGTTAATGGGTATTTGAATTTTGTACAATTGTATTTTTCCAAGCCACGCATTAATGTCAAAAAAGGAATATTAAAATTTTACCAGATATATAGAAAAAAATAATAGCAATCTGCACTCTTTCTCTATTTTTTTTTATTAAAGTGTCACGGCTCTGGATACAAGTCCTTTCTAGCCGAAAATAAAGTTTTACAATATAAACACTAATTTTAACGTTAATTATCAATTCTCTTCAACCTACATGATTAAAGAGAATTGATAGTAATATGGACTGATGACCCCATTGCTAACACTGTACCCTGTCCGGTTGACCTGCCTGCTGTTCCCTCTGGAAACCATCGTGATAAATCGTTGGTGAATTAGTCTGACTTCATGCTCATCCTATCATCCTACCCTGGTGTCCGACCAGCGTAAACCGTTAGCGCAGACGGGTGCACAATTCCATTATCATTACTAAAAAACAAGTGGAAGGGGGTAGGGGGATTATTAGTAACGTGAACAAATAACCATATCATGATCATACATACAAGGCGACGCGACGCCTTGATAAACATTTATTTCATTTTCGGGCACCGCGCCCCGTTCACCTCATGAACGTTATGGATATAAGGGGCCACTTCATTAAAATCGGTTCATTGGTGTGATTTAAATTCAAATAATAAATAAATAACCCTAGACAATTAACAGCGCCATCTAGTCCCACGGTAAGCAGAGCTTGTGTTATGGGCACTAGACAACTGATATAAATACATAGATTTTTTTTGTAAATACATACATAATATGCATATAAAACACCCAGACCGATACAAACAATCATACTCAAGGATACAAATTTTTGTACCTTGCAAGGAATCGAACCTGCGAACGGTGTGCTAACCCGCTAGACAACCGAGGACGTCATAACAATAATCTTTGTATACTATTTACCCCCTTATAACAATAATCTTTGTATCCATTAATCACGTGAGACTTATTTTATGCCAATCAAAAACAATCTGCAACCTTTCTGTTTAGACATTTCTATCATGGTCCTTAATTTCAGAATAAAATAAGATCATGCTTTATACCTTTATTTAAAGACAATATTCTAAAAATTTTAAGATTCTCTGTAGGTACTAAAAATACACGTGATGTGGACGGTCCTTAAATGTCTTCTTTATCTTACTGGACCATTCGTCCGTAGTTTGTACATGACGTGAGTCCATCTTGGTTATCATTTCCATGATTTATTGTACTGAATGATTTATATGCAATTAGTGATAATGTGAATACTACTAATAATTTCCCAACATGCATTATAATATGCATGTTAATTTGTTATCTCTTCGCCAGTAGATAATGTATCGTATTTATAACGTACTAATTCATCATCTGCTTCTTCCTTATTCCATTTATTTGGGGTCGGCGTAATATGTTTTTCGCTTCCATTCCATTATGTTTGCATGTGTTTTAGCACACCGCTTTGCTTCCGATGGTCATGGGTTCGATTCCTCGGTACCGCTAGACCACGGGCGTCCTATCTTAGTGAAAGTGAGTTAGGACCTGACCTGACTGTAGGTTTAAGGGACCCCTTTGCCGACGTATGTCCACACTCCCCTACACCACTCGTGTTTCTCTCCCTGTCCAGATAAATCTGGTAGGAGCCTGCTAGTGCAGCTTTAGATACACGTTCTAGTATGGAACTTACTGCAGTTCTAGACAGGCCGAGATCTTTTAAAAGATTGTAGAGAGATTTTTCTGGTATACCTCTAGCTCCCACTTCGACTGCATTGGAATTTATATTTTTTGCCACAAAATCACATTATGGGATTACCTAGCAATGGTATTTCCGATATGATATTGAAACCTTGAAGGAAAGAGCTTATACCTTATTAAAAGGCCGACAAGGCACTTGCAATTCTCCTGGTGTTGCGTATGCTCATCAGGTAATCACTTACCATCAGGTGAGCAATACAGTTTCCCTGTTCGCAGTCATCGCGTTATTTCCATTCTTACCATTTCATCTTTCACACAGTCCATCCATCTCTTTGTCGGCCTTCCTCTGCCCTTATAACCATCCACATTCATATGTTCTTCCTTTCTTAAAATATTATCCTCATTCCTACGCATTACATGTTCATACCATGATAGTCGTTATAACGTACTAATTAAACATCA